TGTTCATATTTTGTCTTAGATTTTTTTCTTCTTCCGATGTTTGTTTATGTTGAGGAAAATAATTAATTATATTGTATGCTTTCTTAGAATGGAATATGATCAATCCACACAATGGAGGCTGCGGTCAAGGTGGAGAGGTTCCAAAAGTGGCTGATTTCTTAGGAGTGAGCAAATCGGATAATCATCAACACGACCACAACCTCGTACCTTACAACGACATTCATCAAACCAACGACTCTGATTACTACTTCCAAACCAATAGCTTGTTACCTACAGTCGTCACATGTGCCTCTAACACTCCTAATAACTATGAACTTCAAGAGAGTGCACACAATTTGCAATCTCTTACTCTTTCCATGGGAAGTACTGGTGCAGCCGCTGCAGCAGCCGCCACCGTGAAAGCCTCGCCTGGTGAGACCAGCGCCGATAATAGTAGCAGCACTACTAATACAAGTGGAGGAGCCATTGTTGAGGCTACACCGAGACGGACTTTGGAAACTTTTGGACAACGAACTTCTATCTATCGTGGCGTTACAAGGTCTTAATGAGTTCCACTTTTATTAATTAACTTTTTCTTAACAAATCACTTATTTAATTTTCTCTCTTTTTTTTTTTAGTATTGATAATGGGCAAATGGATATATAAATGTGTTATTTTTGTGTGTGTTTTGATATAGACATAGATGGACCGGTAGATATGAAGCTCATCTTTGGGACAATAGTTGTAGAAGAGAAGGACAATCAAGGAAAGGTAGACAAGGTAAGTGATTTATTTGATTATTTGGCTTTTTTTGTCTCGTATTGTAAACTTGATTTTGAACTAATTATGTTCCTCATTCCTATGTTCTTGATGCTTGAATCTTGGACTTCTTCGAAATGTCTTCAGTCTACTTAGGTGAGTATACACGATTCTTGTATTTTTTTTTAATACTTACCACGTAATATATGTCAATATATACTGCAATCGACAGCATTGTTGATTCTTGTTTTCTCTATCTTGTTATGGTGAGATTGCGTTTTGATTTTAAAAGTAAATTATACTTAAGAATATATTGGTTTACTGGGATGATAAACTCAGGTGGGTATGACAAAGAAGAGAAAGCAGCAAGAGCATATGATCTAGCTGCACTTAAATATTGGGGTCCTTCTACTACTACCAACTTTCCCGTAAGTTATTTCATATTTTCATGAATACACTGATAATGATTGATAATATCGTTGGTGAATTCCTTGTCTCTCTTTTTGTCTTATTTTGTTTTGTTGTTGTTTAGATAACTAACTATGAGAAGGAAGTAGATGAGATGAAACACATGACAAGACAAGAGTTTGTGGCTTCTATAAGAAGGTGATTTCCCCTCTTCTACTGTATAACTTCATATATATAGATGGCAACTTTCTAAAGAACCTCAGGTAATCAATTACAGGAAAAGTAGTGGATTCTCACGTGGTGCATCGATGTATCGTGGAGTAACAAGGCATCATCAACATGGAAGATGGCAAGCAAGGATCGGCCGAGTTGCCGGAAACAAAGATCTCTACTTGGGAACTTTCAGTAAGTATAAATAATAATACCTCTTACTTATCTTTGTTAACCGTATGCATATATAATTTTCAAAACATATCTTGCTATATTTGGAGATGACTAATATAAAAGGACTCAAATTCTTATACTATTCAAGTTTTGTAGAAATGTCTACAAAGATGGTTATGCTTATATTAATTTGTATGTTTTGCTTAGGTACAGAGGAAGAAGCAGCAGAAGCATACGACATAGCTGCAATAAAGTTCCGAGGTCTAAACGCGGTTACAAACTTTGAGATAAACCGTTACGATGTAAAAGCCATCCTAGAGAGCAACACACTTCCTATAGGAGGTGGTGCAGCTAAACGGCTCAAAGAAGCTCAAGCTCTAGAATCATCAAGAAAACGCGAAGAAATGATAGCACTCGGTTCAAATTTCCATCAGTATGGTGCACCGAGCGGCTCGAGCTCTGTTGCTTCCAGCTCTAGGCTTCAACTTCAACCATACCCATTAAGCATTCAACAACCTTTTGAGCATCTTCATCATCAGCCTCTACTTACTTTACAGAACAACAACGATATGTCTCAGTATAATACTAACGCTCATGATTCCTATAGTTACATTCAGACGCAGCTCCATCTTCACCAGCAACAAACCAACAATTACTTGCAGTCTTCTAGTCATAGCTCGCAGCTATACAATGCTTATCTTCAGAGTAACCCTGGTTTGCTTCATGGCTTTATCTCTGATAGTAACAACACCTCAGGCTTTCTTGGAAACAATGGGATTGGTATAGGGTCAAGCTCGACCGTTGGATCATCGGCTGGGGAAGAGTTTCCGGCGGTGAAAGTCGATTATGATATGCCTCCTTCTGGTGGAGCCACAGGGTACGGAGGATGGAATACTGGAGAGTCTATTCAGGGATCGAACCCAGGAGGTGTTTTCACGATGTGGAATGAATAAAAAGATCACTTCTCTGTATTTTTCTTGCGAGGCAAGGTAGGGTATGGAATAATTAGCTACTTTAATTTCCTCAAGCAATAGGATCGGCTGAAGTTTCTTGATTAGTAGAGGATTTAGGGTTTCTCTTCTTTTACTTTTGACGGCGAAGATGATAAAACTTGCAGTAGACGGCGGTTAAACAGAGTCCTTGAGGGTTAGTGTTTTTATGGGTACTATAGTAAGATTAGAAGTACCCAAATTTTGTCTAAAAGCTAACCCTTCTGACTGATTTCTCAAACTTGTATTCGTTTATAATTAAAGATTTATTGTTCTTCTAATTTTATTTATGCCTATTATTATAGACTCTAAACTATCTACCATATTGGCATATTATCACCACAGCCACAAATGAAGTACTATGCAAGTTCACAATCCCAAGTCAAATGTTGATATGTTTATTTCTTAATTAGATCACAAGGAATGAGACATTGATGCCTAGTTGTCCAGTATCGGCTTCGGCTAATTCCTTTAGTCTTATGCCTCAACATGGAAATAAATTATCTCAGGGTAATCGACATTTGCATCCTTACCATCAATCGAACAACTCTGAAATAACGTCGTTTGTTTCAGACGATCTCAGCTAGCTCGGGGAAATACATGCCATACTAGATTCTAACTGTATTCACATATTTTCACCTCTTTGTCAAGATTACTAACATATTGAATACCTAAGATAATCGTGGTATCATCATGCAAAAAAAAGTAGTACCTGTTAACAGACCCATTCACAAATCATCTATTACGTACACGTAAATTGAGATCAGAGAAAACAAATGAAAAATATCTCATATGAATGTCTGTCTTATCTAGCAAGAGCGTCAAGTATTATTGTCATACTCTAAAATTTTGTCACATACATTGAATGTACAAAATTATTTAGTTCACCATCTTCTTTATTCTCTCTTTAGATATGATTTTGCCATACTCTAAATTTTTACGAGCTTAATTCGTTTCTTTAAGTGAAGATAAATCATTCCCAAACAGTTTAAGATTGTTTGAGGAGGTTTCAAAAAAAAATTCTTTAGGAATTTTCTCTTAAGATATAGGAAAAGTTAAAAAGTGAACAATCTAAAAAAGAGACAAATCGATGTATACAAACTCATGATTTTCTTGTTGTTTTACCGATTTTCACCTATATTAAAAATTGTACAACTTTTTCACCTATAATAATACCAATTTTGATGGTATTTAAGAGAATTATCCATAAAACTTTATAATTTTTTATATTTTAAAATATATATTTTTGAAAATAAATAGATAAAAGAGATATTTTTGAAAAAAATGGGTACACCAAAAATAATATTTTTCATAATTTATCTTAATATTTTGATATAATAGCATAATTTCAGTGAATCTGATTTTGTTAACAATATCACTTCGGTGACATTTAAGAAAGCATTTACGAGTCTGAAGTTGTATGATGCGAGGAATCGTGCTGAAAAGATATGCAAGTTTCAGGTTAAAAATATCCTACAACTAACATCTACTTCCAGCAAGTATGGAGGATTCAATTGTTATTGAGAAAATACAATAACCGTGATGATTATAGTTTGAGGAAAATGGCCAAAGACATGCAAATTAAGTTTGATAAGTATTGGGAATAGTATAGCTTAATCGTGTCTACGCTAGCAGTTTTTGATCCAATAGTGAAGTTGGAGATGCTTGAAGCTGCTTAAGATGAACTAGATCCCTTTACTTCAAATTCAAAGGTTGAAGAACTTATGAGTAATTTGAAAAGTCTGTATGAAGAATATCAGATATAGTCGCAAAGAAGTTCTTCAAATGGTTAGAAATTAACATATATGGACATCAAGTTTTAAATAGATGGACATAAACGGGTTACAAACTTAAACGAATATAAATGAACACATACGTAAACAGACCGGACAAGTCTATGATACCATCCCTACAGTTCTTTTTATTCTTTTCAAACAAGTGACGGTAAAGCTAATATCACAAATCTTATTTCATCAAATTTTAAAGATACCAAGATTTTTTTTGGATGAACAAAAGATACCAATATACAATAAAGTAAAAATATAAGCAAGAAAAAAAAATCAAAGAGATTTAATCATAACTTAGTATCTATATTACATTACTTTTTGCCCATAAGTTATTAACTTTCAAAATATGAAAGACTGTTTTCAAATAAGAATTAAAAAAAATCATAAAAATAGCCATACGAAAAAAAAATCTTTATATACTATTATTTAATATATATATATATATTTTAGATATTAGCCAAAAAGCTTATGTTATTTTTAAAATAATTGGTTATGTACTTAAAGAATGTTGTCACTAGTTCCGTTTAAATAATAAATACAAAGTAAAATAAAATAAAATTTTGAAATGAGGAAAAAAAACAGCAAAAAAATCAAAAGAAAGAGCCAATTAGAGGCGTACACGTCATAACCGACTTTAACACAAACGGTGTGAAAAGAAAATATAAACGTCGCTACAAAAAAAAATCGACGAGAGACACCAAAAAAAAAAAAGCCCGAAAAAATCGACCTTTATTTCTTATTTCTCTCCTCTACCTCTCAGCTTCTGCTGGATCTCTCCAGCAGAGAAGATCTTGTTCTGAGAGATTCGTAGGGTAAGGGGTTTCTGTTCTTCTCTGTTTTGCTTTTGTGTTTATAAATCTGTTTTGTGTGTTTTTGATTTTGAATATCATTTCGATTTCGATTTCTCCTCTGTGTTGAAGGGGTTTTGTTCTCTCGACTCATGAGGTGGGTTTTGTCTCTTTTTTATATGATTAGGGACCGATCGATCAAGGCTTCAAGGGCAAACAGGTGAATTGGTTTTTGGTAATCTGATTTCTAGTTTTGTTTTAGGGTTCAATTGTGAGCTGTTGATATTGATTCTTATTGTTGTCGACTGTTTCATGATTTGGTTGTTGTGTAATTTTTGCATGTATGTTTTGTGTGTTTTGGAAATTTGAAATGATATGCTGTGAAAAGTTGTAACTTTTGTTTTTGAACATTTCATTTCTGTGGAGAGAAAAGTGAGAGATTAGTTATGTGGGTATTGTATGCTTTTGAGTTTTGTAATGAATTGCTATGAAAGTTGTAAAAATGAAAAAGGTAATTTTTAACATCTTATTTTTGAGAAGAACAGTAGTTTTTGATGGAAATTAGATTTAGTATGTGGGGTTTTGCATTTTTTTAGAAGTTTAAAATGAATTGCTATGAAAGATCTTAGTCTTATGGTGACATAAGATGCTCGTTTCTAAGTAGTTTTGAATGGAAATAAGGTTAGCTGCTCTGTTGTTTCTAAAATGATTCATTTACGTTTCTATCTGCTTAATATATGATGTGATTTTGTGGAACTAGCTGCAAAGGTATCCTAGATACTTATGATATGTTTGGGTAGCTTATGGTTGGGAATCAGGTTTTAGTAGGATCTGTTTGCGTTTTCAGGGTTCTAGTGTTAGCAGAAAAACGGTTCTAGGCTTGCGTCTGTTCTCTTCCTTCTACGTAGTTGAGATCTTGATTTATGGAAGATGCTCATAGGTAGTGTGGTATAGATGTATAAGGTATATAATACGTTGATTCATGAAAAGAATATGGTCACCTGCTTATGTTTTGTCACCAATTTTTAAAAGGGGTTGATGGGCTTATGTATATATAGTGAATCTGTTGAGATTTTTTTTTGTTTCTTCTATGTTACTGAAACTGAGGATGACTGTTTTTGAGTGCAGAAATGGATCACGACAAGACAGGATGCCAAAGCCCACCTGAAGGTCCTAAGTTATGCGTCAACAACTGTGGTTTCTTTGGAAGCGCTGCCACGATGAACATGTGTTCAAAGTGTCACAAGGATATGTTGTTTCAACAGGAACAAGGGGCTAAGTTTGCTTCTGCAGTGTCTGGAGCATCATCATCCAGCAACATCATAAAGGAAACCATTACTGCTGCGTTGGTTGATGTTGAAACCAAATCCGTTGAGCCAATGGCTGTCGCTGTACAGCCATCATCTGTCCAAGTCGTTGCAGAGGTAGTAGCACCTGAAGAAGCTGCCAAACCAAAGGGACCAAGCAGATGTACTACTTGCAATAAGCGGGTTGGCCTGACTGGATTCAAATGTCGCTGTGGTGACCTCTTCTGCGGGACACACCGTTATGCAGACATTCATGACTGCTCCTTCAATTACCATGCTGCTGCGCAAGAAGCTATAGCGAAAGCAAATCCGGTTGTGAAAGCAGAGAAGCTTGACAAAATATGAAATTCAAAGTAAACGTCTCTGATTTCATCAGGTACACCTGTGATGCATCCTTCCCCCCTGTCTGTGTCTGGTTCAAGTATCTCTCATGTTAAAAAGGTTTTATATAAGGTCGATTGAAAGCGTGCTTGATCTTTAGCTTCTTCCATCTCTCTGCAATATTTGTGGTGTGAAACTTTCTATTATCTGTTGTTTGCAAGCAGAGATATGTGCTCTTAAAAAAAAATATATGCTTTGATGTGTTTCTCTTTCTTATTATTTTCGAGCACTGTGTTTTATGCTTCCTGTTTGGTCTGTATCATATTGGGTTTGTCTCTGTAGCTTCATGAAGCTTATTTAAAAAAAGGCTTGTGTTTGCCCTTCAATTCGCTGATCCCTTTCAGTTTCTCTGGTTTGTGATCTATCTGTAACTTTGCAAAGTCGTGAGCTTTAGCATTTTACTCAAGAGCCCGCTGTTCTCGGTTCAAATAATGAACTTACATAACCGGATAAACTGGTTAATCCTTGTCGGAAACTCCCTAAACCACTAACCCGCATACTCAGTCAGTCTTGTACTAGCTAGTACACTCTTTCGATTGTTTTTCATAGGAACCAAAAAAACAACTTATATAGAAACAACTAAACTATAATCTCACGTTTCTACATTTGTTTACATTATAAAACCTAAACGTCTAATAAAATTGGCTGAACAAAACATTGTAGATGTCAAGGGTGCATAATGATCCCCAGACCAATCATAGTCAGTTCCACCTGTTTGGACCGGCCATGAAAGCGTATGTAAAGTCGATAAACTTCTCCGGTGTGATATAGAAAGTTCCTGTTGCATAAGCCTCAATATGTCAGACAGCTCAAAACATTATTGACCGTGTACAATTTAATCTCCCAAAACATTGTGAGTTTCCGCTGATGCCTTTCCCTTCAAGCTACTCTAGTTGGCTAGTACAGTAGTACTTACCCTACAACGCAATAGTTCGTCTAATAGTCTAATACCTCCTTAAGTCATACACGAATCACTTTGGCCTAAAGCCCTTTTCTAACCAGACCGTGGAAGATCTGAAGATGCGAGGTTGAAGAGGCAGTGTTGGTTGTGGACTGCTGGAGGAAAGAACCGAAGTACGTATCATGGTGGCTTGTTGTGGCAACGGTGGCGGCTAGTTTGAAAAGCGGCTTCTTGTGGAGTACGTAGTATTAAACACCGTCGTATTAACTATTAAGCGGCTTGTCTTGTGATGATGAGTCATCACTGATAAACTGATGACCTGTTGCTTCACTGGTTGTTTCACCGTCCCAGAGATTTTACTAAATCCACGTGTCACTCTTTCAACGGTAAGAATATGGTTCAAAATCAAGCGTACGATTTAACTACTTCAAAAAACCCCAACACTGCATCTTCTAGTCTTCTACGTACCATGTTTTGATTCAGCTTTTTAGTTAGTCTGATGTCACCACCACCCAAAAAAAACACACTAAATATGTCCAAATATTTTACAATAACCTCATTATCAAAAGATTCATACCCAAAAAAAAAAAAATCTCTTTGTCAAATTTAAATAGAAGGAAATCTCTATGATGTTCATGTTCCTTCAAAATAATATTAAATTTGTTATTTATTCTTTCTTTCTTTTTCTTTTTTTTTACTTAAGTCTTATTATCAAATATAAATAAAATCAGCTCTCAATGATTTTGCCTTTACTTTTGTTTTATTTTAAGTAGATTCTTCTGTTTAGTTTAGACTAATTAAAAGATACAAATACAGTTGTACTAGGTTGATTTTATTTTATTATTTAACTTTTTGGGTCCAGCAAATGAATCTTCACAGAAGTTAGATAATCTCATAGATTCTACAATTTGTCGAAATAAGAAAAATATCAAATCTAGACTTTATATTTCTTTACTCACCAAAAAATCTAGACATAATAATTATAATGTAGCAAGGCATATAAATGTCGATGCACACATCATTCTATATCACCACCACCCGTCCAAGAAACAACAACAGCGAAATGAATGGAGCAATGTCGCATCCGCTACCGGAAACGAAACCGCACATCATGGTGTTTCCATATCCAGCACAAGGCCACTTGCTTCCTCTTCTAGACTTAACCCATCAACTCTGTCTTCGTGGCTTCACAGTCTCCATCATCGTCACTCCTAAAAACCTTCCTTACCTCTCTTCTCTTCTCTCCGCTCATCCATCCGCCGTCTCCGCCATCACTTTACCTTTCCCTCCGCATCCTTTGATCCCTTCCGGCGTTGAAAACGTTAAAGACATCGGTGGTCATGGAAACCCCCTGGTTATGGCTTCTCTTCGTCAGCTTCGAGAACCTGTCGTCCGCTGGATAAGTTCTCATCCTAATCCTCCCGTCGCTCTCATCTCTGATTTCTTCCTTGGATGGACTAAAGATCTTGGTATCCCTCGCTTTGCCTTCTTCACCTCTGGAGCATTCTTAGCTTCGATACTCCATTTTGTGTCCGACAAGCTTCATATCTTACAATCAACTGAGCCTGTCTGTTTGTCGGATCTTCCTGGTTCCCCTGTTTTCAAAACAGAGCATCTCCCTTCGTTAATCCCTCAGTCTCCATCGTCGCAAGATCTTGAAAGTGTTAAAGACAGCACCATGAATTTTTCGAGCTATGGTTGTATATTCAATTCTTGTGAGTGTCTGGAAGAAGAGTACATGGAGTATGTGAAGCAGAACGTGAGTGAGAACCGAGTTTACAGTGTTGGTCCGCTTTCTTCAATAGGGTTACGTAAGGATGACTCTGCTTCCGATGTAGACGCAAAGGCGTTGTTGAGTTGGCTTGATGGATGTCCAGAAGGATCTGTGCTTTACATCTGCTTCGGAAGTCAAAAAGTTTTGACCAAAGAGCAGTGTGATGCTCTGGCTCTTGGTCTTGAAAAGAGTATGGCCCGGTTCGTTTGGGTGGTTAAGAAAGATCCGATACCTGATGGGTTCGAGGATCGGGTGGCAGGTCAAGGAATGATTGTTAGAGGATGGGCTCCTCAAGTGGCTATGTTGAACCATGTAGCGGTTGGCGGGTTCTTAAGCCATTGTGGATGGAACTCAGTGTTGGAAGCAATGGCTAGCGGAAAAATGATCTTGGCATGGCCCATGGAAGCAGACCAGTTTGTAGATGCGAGGTTGCTAGTGGAGCATATGGGTGTGGCCGTTACTGTATGTGATGGGGGTAAGACTGTGCCAGACCCGCATGAGTTGAGTCAGGTCATAGCTGAAACAATGGGTGAGCGCGGACGCGAGATACGTGCTCGGGCTAAGGAGATGGGACAGAAGGCACATGCTGCAACTGAACCAGGAGGAAGCTCTACTAAAGATTTAGAAAGACTTGTCAAAGAATTGAGTTCTCTCCATGAAGATATGATTCTCAAAGACTAATGTCTTTAAAAAATGTGGTCTCATTGTTAAAACATAACCTGAAGATTGAAAAAGATCAGGCGTCTACATAGCTAGAGATTCACTGAGAATTATACAAAAGTAATTTGAACCTACACAAATTAATAAAGGTCCTAGTTAGATAGAAGATAAATTGTCAAATTTTGAAATCCACATGTTATAAAGATAAATTAAATAGTATTGCAAATTGTTTTGAATTTTGGACTTCTGATTCACTCACCAGTAACCACACAAAAAAGAACATCACAGATGTAACATCAATGAGAGAGATAGAATTTACACATTGCACATATCACCATTAGTTTTGGAGGATCAAATAACATTAGTTTACAAACGCTCAAGTATATTGTCTAATAGGTTTTGGAAATGAACATGCACCTGTGTTTGCATTTTCAAAACCAAGTATCAATCATTCATGTCAAAATGAATTTAGTGTGTTAAAAATGAAAATTAAATTTAAATTAAACTTAGGCTTTCTTTGTCTTTTTGATTAAGTCTGCACCACAAAATCTTTAATTTGCTCTATTAATTAAAACTATCTCAAGCAAACGGACCAAACTCATTAATTAGTAATTAAAAATAAGAACCAGCACAAAAAGAAAAAAACTAAGATCCGAAAAACAAAACTAGAGAACACATATGCATACAAATCAACTGATGCATCATGCATGAGAGAAGAAAGAAACAAAACCCCTAATTAAAACTCATTGTTGTTGCTATCATCTTGTTGCTCGATATCAGAAGCAGCCTCATAGTAGTCCTCAGGATCTCCTCCAAAACTATCAATCCCACAAGGAACATGACCATTTCCAAAGGCCTTGACATGGTCCTTAAGCGACCTCTTGTGCTTAAAATCCGAGCCACAAGAGCAATACCAAAGCTTTCCACAGTTCTTCTCATGCGTTCTCCAATCTCCTTTCACTGCAAAGGCCTTGCCACACCTACGACAAGCAAATGGTCTAGACCCATGTTTGCGTTTGTAATGTGTTTGGAGGGTTCGAAAGTCCTTGAGAGGCTTGGCTCGAGGGTGGTCAATGTTGTTCTTGCAGCCTGGTGCACAGCAGAAACATGGTAGTCTTAGCATTCCAGTTGGTTGTGTTCCTCTTAAGGATTCTGGTCCCTTTCTGTACTGTGATCCGTGTCCCCACATGTGCATCTATGATAAAATGTTTTTCATTAAACAAAGAAGTCAGTCTTACAAATTAGTAAGATTGGCTTAAGTCTATATATGTTTACGAGTTATACAAAATATGTTTATGAATATTAGTCAAAATAATTATTTCTTTCTATCAACATTTGAAATTCATAAATGCAAATGTAAAGCCAAACTAATTTTCTCATGGTTTGAGTTTTCATTTGCAATTATAATTTTCAAAAAAATTTCATTAAATGTGCTATGTTAATATTATAAAGAGCTATAACAAAAAAAGGTTTAAGATATTCTTACCAAAAAAAAAAAAAAGGTTTGAGATATAAATGTGAAATATTAAACACTCTCAGTAACGTTGGATATGTAGATCCTAGCTTCTTTATTTCATGTCAAAGTTTGCTTTTAGGCATGACATAAAATTCAGCTTTATCTATCTTTGGACTTATATATATAAACAAAAACAAGTCTATATACGAAATAATCTGCTAGACATTTATCTTCTGCCTTTGCTCTTTAAGAAATTTTGTTTGGGGGTTTTATGAGTTCACAAAAATCAAGAGAGACAATAAAGATGGAGCTGGACTAAAGCATATTTCAGGGTTATAAAGAGTCAGTCTGACAAAAAGACTTATGGTTAAAGAAGATCTTCCGACTTAAACCCCTTTGATAGGTCGATCTTACATAGCCATCATCATTCATGAACACCCTGAAACTGATTTGACGTATACCATCAAATTTTTAAAAGTTAATTATTCTCGAGTTACTAAACATCAAGGCAACTAGTAATTACCAAAAGTACTAGTACTTGTTAATTACCACTATTATTGAGACCCCTAAAGATCCATGAACTAATAACGAGTTTGTACTTAGAATTAGAACCACACAAGAATATAGAAAAACCCATAAAACAATAGACTCGAATCAGTTTTGAAGAGCAAATAAATCAAATCTAGAAATGAGTTTAGTTTTTGAGTTAGATTCTTGAATCATTGGTGCCATACCTGCATGTTGTTGTATCTGTTGAACGTCTTGAAGCAAAGAGGACAAGAGAACTGTGTAGGACCAATCAAAATCTGAGAAGGAGTAGGGATCCAGTAGTGATGACCTCGGTGTAGATCTCCATGATGATCATCATCATGAAGGTGGGACTCGACTGTGACTTCTACCCCTTGGTCATGATCTTGATCTTGGTCCTCGGTAGTTGCGTCAGGAGCAATATAGCTCCCAATGCTCTCATCAACACCGTAGTTTGGTAACCCTAGATGAAGATCCACAGTTACATGAGGATCATCAAGAAAGTTTGAAGAGCTGATCTGATCGGTGTCCATGAAATAGTCTCGATCTTGTTGTTCTTGGTGCCTTATGGGGCTTAAGCTAAGAAGAGGAAGAGCTTCTCTCAGAGGAGGAGAGTTAGGGAAAGTGGAAGTGGTAGTAGTAGGATTAATGTAACTAGGGTTTGTGGTATTAGGGTAATAGAAGCTTCCGTGAGAGTTGTAGATGTAAGAAAGAGAAGTGGAATAGTTGATGTTATCATGGTCACATCCATTGTTGAAGAGATTGGAACAAGCTGGATTAGACATGACTCTGAGGAGAAGACAAAGAAGAAGAAGAAGAAGAAAACCACCGTATCTATATAGTTGGTGGGTTTATGATAGAGAGAGAGAGGAGATAGGGATGTGAGTGTGAGTGTGTTGTGTAGATATATATATATGCGTGTGTGAGTCTATATATATAGATGAGTGTAGGCAACGTTTTAAGATGTGACGAAGCGGTGGAAAATATTCATGATGATATGAAAAGGGTACGGAGAAGGAAGAGGGAGAAAAGACCTAAGAAGAAAGTTGAAGAAGCAATAAAGAAACCATCTTTGGGACTCACGTCAATGGTTGAGATATGTATATTGTATAGTATGTACGTCTATGCCTTCATAAAGTCAAATATTAGATACTCGGACTTGTACTCCTTCTGATCATCAAATTATTTCTGCTTTTAAACCTTTACTAAGTAACTAAATCTTTTTTGTTGAATCGGAATAGGAGAATTGATTAGAGCTGATTCAGTGATCAAAAAGTTAATTTTGTGTAGGAATTGAATAACACACTAATTATCACCGGACCAAACCTTAGCGACCGCTTCAATGGTTCATCTAGAGTGAAGTGCTTTAAGTTACAGTTATTCAAGGAATGTTTTTCGTTTTTTTTTAATAAAAAAGAATTATTATCTTTTGCTTTGGTAATTTTTTTTCTGATAACAAAAACATAATATATTGAACAACAACAATAATTAACAATTAACAATATATAAAAAAAGTCTCCATGCACGTTACGATCAATTACATGCTTTTCTCTTGTGTACCACAACTAAATATCCCATCTAAAACATGGATGTATAGTAATAAAATTTCTAAAATTAGCACGTGAAGTTAGCTATTGGTCACCCAATAAATCAGATATATAAAAGCTTGTTCTTTTACCTCAAACATATAATACGATAATTATATTTACAGAGAGAGGTTAATATAATATTCGGTGTTGTGGGGATAATATATATCGATGGCTTTGGGAAAGGAGATAGTTGTGATCTAAAGACAGCACTTGCTTTGGTGGTCTCGTCTCCATGTCGGCTCCGCTTCATCAGAAACATATTACTTGGGAATGATAATTCTATTTTCTTACTTATTTTTGCTCTTTTTTTTTTCCTCGCTAAGTTTTGTTTACGTCCCGATTTATGCGTACGCTTCTAACACAAAATTGCCTATAGCATATGTTTATTTGATTTTTTTTTTTCGTGCTAATCTTAGGCAAATCAATCATGCGATTGTAACAATATTGAAATGGTTTAACAAAAAAAAAACAATATTGAAATGGTTTCTTTTTTTTTTTAGCCATGATACGATAAAATAAGCTATGGTTCTTTGAAGAATACTCATATATACTTATCAGAAAAAGACTACATTGTGCACATGAAAAACTGATGTACTCTATCGGACCAAATAATATATTTTATTTGCTTAAACTGTTTTTGATCTTATTTGTAAAATCACATTAACTTAGTTCAGAAAAATGATGACCTAGTTTTAATTATAATGACATTGTAATGACATTTCTATAAGATCATGAAACTCAAAAACCAACTAAATATTCGAAAAATTATATTTTGTAGTTAAACTTTTCATTAGATGTACAATAACAATCAATAACTTATTTGATGTAACAATTTTATTTTATTAATATGTTTTTGGTAAACATAATTCATGTTATATAATGTAACATTGATACTAGCTAGTTTTCCAACTATTTGCTTATTGTAATATCAAACATGTGAATATGGGTCAAAGATCGTGGGTTTGAAAGAAAAAAAATATGTTGGTCGCAATGTGGGTGTGAACTCGAAGATAGTTTGATAGAAGTCCAAATTGTTGTATTGACACAGAGTTTACTTTGATATTATTAATTAAATAACAGAGAATATTAAAACATGAGATGTTCCCGAGATAGCACGACTGTGAATGTTTTGTGGTTGCACTTTGCAATTGCATCAGTACGTTCTTTCAAACCGTCTCTTGTCTTCTGTTTCTTCGTTGTTCTCTCTTCTCCAAACATTTTTATCTATCTATGAACCATATACTATTTTATGGTTGTAACATTCTCCAAACATTAATCTAACCCAATTTTTTTATATTCTGTTGACCCTTAGTTTTAATTTTCTCTCACAAATGTTTAAAAACATATAACACGCATATATATACACATAGATATACACATGTGGTGTGTATGCGTGACTTATGCATATGCATGCATGAGCATACCATGTAGTCTGTAAGAAATTAAAACAAGATTAGTAACGGTTATGCCCTCACCCTTCGTTTTTAATTAGTCTCTTAAACTCACTATCTTTTACAACATTTTATGGCTGTAACACTATTTTTGTGTGTAATGGAACTAGTGTGGTTGATACGATAAGAAACTTTAAAGATTTGCAAAGTACAAATGTCGAGCAAAACACATAGACATCAAATGAATTCACATTTTTTTTTACATTTTTCCATATATTTTACCACCAAAACATATCGATGGGTTTTTACGACATAACAATTATTGTTACTAAGTTTTCCAATTGAGATCATGTCCAGGAGGGCTATGATATCTTCTTGTAAACCAGATTCCATCCGTGTTGGCAATCCATGAACGTAGTTGACCACATTTAGGAGAAACACATTGACGATATACTTCTATATCATATCAATACTTTAGGTTAGTCCCGTAACTAAGCATACAATCAGATTTTGTATCTTTAGGTTGTGCGTGATCTTCAAACTGAATAAAATAAAAAGGATCCTTAAAATTCAGCGAATGAAACCATGTAGGTGGCTGGACTATGCTATCCCTTCGGCATGCAATGTTGAGAACAAGACCAGGACCAAGTTCGTTATAAATTACTACGTGGTTTTTTTTAAAAAGCTTCATTTAACCCAAAATACATAGTAGTAACTAACAAAAAGATTATGAAATGATTCATTTTTTAGGATCTAGAACTATCTTTGAAGAAAGAATGGCACCAACATGTAGTATTTATAACGTATTTACTGTAGTAATTTTATCGAATAAAACACAATATATGGAAAATATATAATTTGACATCAAACCAAAACATAACCTGAAAAATTTGGAAATATATAATTTGACATCAAACCAAAACATAACCTGAAAAAAAAATCAGAGCTTGAAAAAAAGATAGGAATTTATTTATATATATATATATATATATATATATATATATATATAAATAAATTCCTATCTTTATAATTTCAAGCTCTGATTTTTTTTCTAAAGGCATTTATAAAATTTCCTCTATATATGAATATAAATATAAAATATCCTCTATATATTAAGAGTAGATTTTTTTTTTGTCAACATTAAGAGTAGATTTTTTTCACATATTTGGAAATACAAATTATTTATAAAATTAAGTATCATCAGATTTATAAACTAATTAAAAATAAAAATAATAAATTTGTTTACAAAAAAATAAATAAAATAAAAAAAATTTTGTTTACAACATTAAGTAGCAAGATTTATTTGTGCAAGACAAAGATTCTTATACCTACTTACTATTAAAATGTTAATTTTTCGATGATTTTCTGAAATGTTGGATAAAAGTTTCTTATTTTGATCATATACACATGCACCCACTGAGAGAAAGGGCTCCCTTGAAGTTAAATGCCTTAATGGTTTGGCTCCTTTTACAGATCCATGAGGAAGAAGATCTTTGATGAGACCATCATTGTGACGTAAAGCCCACGAGTTGTACCGTTTCGTTTTTGCCGAAATGCAAATAGCATAAATATGAAAAGGTTTGGTTCTACGCAAAAACAAAAAAGTGGAAAACAAGAAAAACTACATGAGTAAGTAGCTGTAATGAAAGTAGTCCATGTATCAATCTTTCTGTATTGCTTTCTTGATTTGTACAGTTTCAAACTGCTCTCTTGACCTAATTTATTTACAAGAAAATTCGAAACCTAAAAGATACATTTCTGCAAAAACTAGAGAAATCCATTGACTGCTGCGATTTTTGGCTCACCTCGTTTACTTCCGTCGACGCAATATAGAATGCAAACATGGCTCTTTAAAACATATGATAAATAGTTATTGTTGAAAACATCGACGCAAAATACATAAACATCACATGAATTATTACTATTTATTGCAATATATTCCACCAGCAAACATTACAACTGAATCATATTTCTATTTCAAATGAACCATATTTTATTTCCATATTTTATTTCAAACAATACCATATATTTATCGCTACGTTTTACAACATTTTATGGTTGTAACACTTTTTCTTTTTGTAATGGAACTAGCGGATTATATGATAAATAAATTTTAAAAAATTACAAAGTATAGCATTTTCTTGTTAAACCCCATATAGATGCAAACATGATTAAAAATATTTCATATAAATATATATATATATATATATATATATATTTTTAAATGCTATTACAAAATACATAAACATCATATGAACCATAATTTATTTCAACATTTTGCCATCTAATTTACCACCAAAACAGATCGATGAGGTTTTAACAGCATAACGATTGTTACTTAGTTTTCCAATTGAGAACATGTCCGGGAGGACTATGATATCTTCTTGTAAACCAAATCCCATCTTTTTTTGCAATCCACGAGCGTAACTGACCACATTTAGGTCTAACTCCTTGACGATATACTTCGATATCATACCAATACTTTGGTTTAGTTCCATGACTAAGCATACAATACCAAGTTTCATCATTAGGATAATTATCTTCGAATTCAATGATGTAAAAAGGATCCTTGAAGTTTAGTTTGTGAAATCTTGTAGGTGGACAGTCTATGCTGTCCCTTCGACATGCAATGTTGAGAACAATACCAGGAGCGAGCTCATTATGAATTACTACTTGATTTTTTTTGCAGTTGGTGAGAACAGTACCAGGATTGAATTTGTTTTGAATTACTACATGGTTCTTTTGGCAAGCTAGATTTAGCTCAAAATACATAGTAGTAGCCAACATAAAAATTATGACATAATTCATTTTTTTTTTTTTGGGATCTAGGATAATTTTTGTAGTATATGTCATAATGTTGTATTTATAGTTGTTTACTTGTTTCGTGTGGTAAATATTTTTTCTTTTTCTAGTAAAGAATATTTTATGACATTAGCTTTATTTAATAACAAAAAATCTCTAGTTGGAGTAGAGTTTAAGATAGATTCATCATTATAAAGTAAATGTAAATATACAAACAATGAAAACCAATCTTGATTATAAAATTATCATTTTAAGATTCAATTCATGAAATCCTATAATCTAAATCATAAACAAATCTAGATTATGAAACTGAAATTTTAAATTCATGTCACTAACAAAGAAAATAAAGTATGATTGTATAAGATACAATAACACTAGGTAAATATTATATCATATGATTTATATACATCTGAATTCTTTAAAACTAATAGAGAAATGTTATAAAATGGATAATTATTAAAGTGATTATCCATCACTTTTTGAACCAATCTCTTTCCAATATTTAATTATTTACTTAATAGTTTTACTTATCTTATTGTCATAGTTATCACAATTTTGAATATGTGTTTAACAAACTAGTACATGTGTTGTATGTTGGACCAGAATTTGGTGTCTCATCTCGTATACTCTACTTCTCCCTCTCTTGTGTTTTTCCTTTTATAAATCCATACACCATATAATATAATAAGATTATATTTATTTGTGCTATGTTCTATAACAAGAAATAAATTTCTGTATTGTAAAGAAAATTTGTCTATCATCTTTTTCTCTTTTTTTTTTGTGTGCATGAAATTAGTCTATCATCTAAGATATAGTTTATTTTTCTGTACACTTATATATGATACATCCCACTACAAAATAAGAGAGTAATCGGAATATACGAACCTTGAAAAGTAAATATATATTACAAAATTAGAAATGAAAAATTATCGGCATGAACCTGAAACCTTATCAAAGATATCTATATTCATCTAATTACAATGTTTCTTGGCTTTATTACATCACTCGTAGTTACTCTCAACATATATGGCTGAGTAATCCACTTGTCGGAATTAAAAGAGTGATTTGTAGGGTATATATTAATTAATTTGGGACTTTTAGGGTTAAATCTTCAAGATTATGATTATTCGTTTGTTATCACTTATCAATGCATAAATTGAAACAAGATAGATGTACTCCCACACGTTTCATCGTTTAATTATCTTTTAAACTCGCTCTGTTTTATAATAATTTTATGCTTGTAACACGTTTTTCTTACAAAAACTAGGGGGTCATAATATGGTAAAGAAAGTTGAAGATTTCACAAAATATAACAGTTTATTTAAAGAAAACCCTACAAAATGCAACATGCTTATAAACAAAATAATATATAAATGTATTATTTTATTAATGTAAATGTTAGTGTTATTTTACTACAAAACATCTTGCCATATATATATTTTACCACCAGATTCGCTATTACATATATTAGTTACTGAATCATCCAATCGAGAACATGTCCTGGTGGGCTGTCATATCTTCTTGTAAACCAAATTCCATCCGTTCTGGCAATCCAAGAGCGTAGTTGACCACAACGAGGAGCATAGCCTTGACGATACACTTCAATATCATACCAATATTTTGGTCTAGTCCCGTAACTAAGCATACAATACCATTTTTCATCATGAGGCACTTGATTGTTATCCTCGAATTCAATGATATAGAAAGGATCCTTGTACTTTAGACTGTAAAATCTTGTAGGTGGATGCACTATACTGTCTTTGCGACATCCAATGTCGAGAACAATACCAGGAGCGAGTTCGTTATGAATTACTACCTGATTCTTTTTGCAAGCTTCATTCGTCCCAAAATATATAGTAGTAACTAACAAAACAAATATGAAATGATTCATTTTTTAGGATCTCAAACGATTTTTGAAGTAAGAATGACACCCACATGTAATATTTATAATTAATTTACAGCGGTAACCTTATGGAATGAAATATATATAATCTTACATTCAACCAAAAAATAAATTGTAAAGGATTTGGAAATATATCCTTATATATATATATATATATATATATATATATAGTAGTATATCATCTGAGATTATATATACATATATATATATATATATAGTATATCATCTGAGATTTTTTGCACAAATAAAAATAATTTGAGATTTCATTTTTCGGTTTATACACTATAAATCCTATGTTATTGAATTATATCTCCTTATTATTAATTGGGAAGTATATTTATAGAATAAACCTTACAAGGTGTAAATAATAACATTTGAATGTCATTACATATATTCAGCCCAAAAAAAGAATGCCATTTCATAAATAAGTTTTAAAGAAAAAATTAATAATATTCATTATGGATAAAAATATCAAATACTAATTAGTATAATTAAATTAAATTCTTAAAACGAAAATTCATTATTAAAATTTGAAAATGAGTATACAAGATTCGATATCTTATTTACTATATTAAACTATTATTAATCACTATATTTCACCTCTCATTTTTATATGATTAATGTGATAACTATGGCAATGAAAAAAGATTATGGAACATCATAGTCAATGATGTAATATAAACATATAGATTGATCATATATAGATCATATGTAATGTACAAATATACAATGATGTAATCTTTTCATTGTACGACCAATTAGATCGATAACTGAATTAACTTTTATGCCATAGCATATATGACAATGACACCATACTGATGATCCATTTACATTTAACATTCGTTAATTATAGAAAAAAGAAAACAAAATCAAAGAACATTACTGGATTTTCCAGTTAAGAACATGTCCTGGGGGGCTGTGATATTTTCTTGTAAACCAAATCCCATCATTTCTAGCAATCCACGACCGTAGCTGACCACAACGAGGATAATAGCCTTGACGATACACTTCAATATCATACCAATACTTTGGTTTAGTCCCGTGACTAAGCATACAATACCACTTTTCGTCATGAGGGACTTGATTATTATCCGCAAATTCAATGATATAGAAAGGATCTTTGTACTTTAGACTGTGGAACCTTGTAGGTGGGTGCACTATACTGTCTTTTCGACATGCGATGTTGAGAACAATACCAGGAGCGAGTTCGTTATGAATTACTACATGGTTCTTTTTGCAAGCTTCATTTAGCCCAAAAAACATGGTAGTAACTAGCACAAACATTATAAGATGGTCCATTTTTTAAGATAGATTATAACTTTTGTAGTGAGAAAGGCTCTAACATGTAGTATTTATAATTCTTTTCTGTGGAAACTTGTTTTCTGTATTTAGTAAATAATCTTTTTTATAAGATTATCTAAATTTTGAAAAGAAACACAATGGTTGGATAGAGATTAATGTCGAAAAGTATAATTGGCCTATATATAAGATCAAACTAAATGAGTAAATCTTACTAAACGATTAATGGCCACAAAAATCGGGCCAAAAGTAAAGACTTAACAAAAATTAAGAAAATTTATTATTAGTACAGTATTAAAAATAAAAATTTGATTATTAGGCTAAATTTCGCTTTTGAAAGACTAAATTTCGCTATGGAAACATAAATTGGAGGAACATGTTTAACTTTTACCATCAACCAAAAAATAAAAAGAGGATTTGGAATTGTAGTCAAAATAGAAAAATAAATTTGCATAAACTTAATTCAGTAACAAAACATATTTAAAACTTGAGAAGCAACTTTTTTTTTTGGACTAGAAGGAAATATAAATAATTTTGAGATAATATATTATCGGTCAAATTTATTCAGATATGATACAAAAGCTCAATATTTTGAGATAATCTTTCAAGTGATATTGAATGTACAATCTAATACCAAATTATCAAAAAGTTTAAAAATTTGTAGAGTGAAGATTTTGTGAAAACAAGAGCCCCAAAGGAATGTGTAAAAGCTATAAAAAACATCGAGTTGAAATTATACAATGTCAAATTCGATAGTTATTTTGAACAAATTCATACATAAATTTCAGTATTTCACAATAAAAAATTTGGTGGCCGAGTAGACAAGAGTCACAAGACTAAAAATGATCAAACTAGATAAACAGTTTTATTGTGTTATACACTAATAAAAGTATTGGTTGCTACATTTACATTGGTACCCAAAAAAAAATAAAAAAAAATGTATGCGTGAAGCTTAAGGAACAAATCAATGTAAAAATATCTGGCTTAAACAGAGGTTTCCTTTTTTTTGTCCTAGGCAGTAATAAGCTGTTCTTGTAGAGGTCTCTTGGCAGGAGTTGAACGTTGTGACTCAGAAGATTGAATTAATACTTGCATTGTTATAGTTGCAATCACCAAGAAGAACACAAACAAAAAAATGATCTTCCATGAGGCCACCAAGGAGAGCCATTGGAGTAGCTTGAAACCACCGTATATGAGGAGACATAACCAAATGATGACCACCTGTTATTTCCAACAACATTACTAGGTCTCATAAGATAATCAATTTATGAGAATTATGAGGTCTACTGATGTATGATGTTTCTTACTATCAATGGTTTGATTGGCCGGTTGATTTGGTGACAGTCCAAGTCGCTGAACACGTCTTTTGTGAAGTATTTCTCAAGTTGAGCATCCTGATTTTAAAAGTATGCATTAGGTAAGTAATGTAGCGACAAGAACTTTAACGTAAATAGGAAAGTTTGATGTGAGTAGAACATTGATTGGTGAACCTTGGTGATAAATAGATCTTGGCACCACTGTGCGATGCCATCATCGGTTTCTGGCAACTCGCTCATTTTGTGACGTCTCATCTGCAAATTTACCTTCAAGAAAGAAGAAATAAAGAGTTTCTAATATAGTGAGTATAGGCTTCTTTGTGGGAAAAACACACACATATTTGAATCTTTTGTAACCTCGGATGATTGTCCACTGAACATCCTAAGTAGAGTTGGTGTAGGCTGATTGTTCTGAACGGTTAAGGTACAATCATAAATTGCAGGAACAAACGACCGTATATGAGACACCGCCGAAACAAATCCCTGATTTTGCATATATATGTGAATCCAAGTGAAGTAACGCTCATTAATAACCTGAAAAAAGCAAGTTGTTGGTGAAACTCACTTTTGTACGAGGAATCAAGACATTTCGAGGAGACGGTATGCTTCTGGTAGAGGCGTATTCTTGAGCTGCTTCAAGCTTCTCCTGAGTGAAACGAGTTCCTTCAACGAAAAGAGCCAACCAGAATGTCATAGGAAAGTCTTCAAGTCGTTTAAAACCTGCCTGCAAGACATAACACATAAGGATGTTACAAGCACAGAATCAAATTTTATGCTCAAGAAAGAAGCAGAGCAAAATTAACCTCGAGGGTATTCTCATCCTTAGCCCAACTTCTTTCCAAGAAAATATAATCCGAAAACCACATCGACCAACCTATGATCTGTTGAAGACTTGTAATATTTCAGTAAAACTATAGACAGTAAATTAAAAACAAGAAAATACAACAAAAGATCGAAAAAAACTGACTGGAAGATACTTGGCTTCTTTCTTCATGATGGCTAAAGAGCTTCCAAGACAACCTGCACGCTGTTATATGATTATTAATAATCAATCAGAGACAGTGATTTCTCCAAATTTAAATAATTTTGTTTTGAGAAAGATAGAAACACCTGTGCCATGACCCATCCAATAAGCCAATCAATGTCACTTCGATGATTGCTTAGGACAAGTGCATGTTCTTTCCCTGAAAATTAATACCAAGAACAAGAATCATTAGATTTGAATACTTAAAAGACTCTGGTTTCATAAGCTCGTAGATTATCTCTACCAATAAACTCTAGAGTCTCTGCATCTGCGTATAAATTGATCTGCAGCAACAACAACGCATATCAGATATCAGACTATGATACCTCTATTTAGACCAAACCAAGATTTCAAGAAAATCACTAACCTTTATACAAGCCCACCAATGAAACAACCATATGAGCTGCAACCAAAGTAGTTCTGCAATAGTTTTGTTGATTCTTCTATACAAACTTCTTGAGAATGGACGAACAATTATGAAGAAGAAAAGCTGGAAACAGGGAAAAATGTTTCCAAAACCTTTAGTTGACACAAATGTCAATTCTTTAACAGACATATTAAAGAACATAAAATGTTTCGGATCTATCTCTTCCACTGAAAAGAGAATGATGATGAAATTTCTTTTGGTATCAGAAAACGCGATTTTAAGCAAATAAAAGTGATGTTGTTGTTTTCGACAAACAAAAATGAATGACCTGAATGATGTTGACGATGAGCCCTGAGACCAAGAAGAGGACACCAACAGGGATAAAGACAAGAGCCGCAGGGATCGCCATGTCTGAGAGAGATTAGGAACAACAAAAACACAATGCAACAGAAGAATATGAAATAATTATTGCAGAAGACACCAACAGAGCTTTTCCCCTGTTCTCAAATTGTTTCGATGCAGTAGCATTTTTCAAGCTCTATTTTAAGCCCATCACGCTTCTCTCTCTCTCTCAATATTTTAGTTAACAAACACATGGAGACATGTGCGCATGTAAAGCTCTCCCATGGAGTAGTAGAATACAATCTCAATTAAAAATAACAAAAATTATGTATAAACTCATGTCTCATAATTGTGTGGTCAAATTATTATTAACAGTATACCTTATGTATAATACAACATTCCCATAAGCCCTATGTTGTTATCGCCTATCAGCTACAACTTCAGATCTACAGATTTTGTGGGTGATTACCGAGCACTGCAGCATTCCTTCCATTGCGTCTCTCATGCATTAACCAGCTTTTCTTCTGCACTGGCTTCTCCAGAATCAGCCTCAACAGATGATGTAACTGGTATCGTGAAGATTTTGACGGGTTTACCGAGTTTGGTTTTATCTTCCATCGCTGCGAGTTGAAGGGCTTTTGCACAGACCGGGAAACATTGATCGTCCCAAGACTCCAGAATTACACCTGAACCAATGCAAGTAGTTCCCTCGTAAAACGCTGCAAACTGTCCAGCAGCTAGACCTTGATCGTCTTCGTCTAGGTGTACAACTGCAACATCTCCCTTTGTTTCCATTTCAAAACTGCAGCTGTAGAAGCCAGGCCCATGTCGGACCTATAAAGTCACTCTCCACTTATCAGTGCCAAGTAAGCAATCATATGTAGAAAGTAACTGATTATATTATATTATTTACCTTGCAACGGAGCTCGCTAACATTGGCTGAAGGTTTCCCACTAAGCCATCTTAAGGAACCAACACGGAAAACCCGCCTTCTCTTATCAATTGAGTAGTAATTTCTGGAGGCAAACACTACATTGTTCTTTGTGTCCTTTTCAACAACATACCTACACACGGTGAAAGGAATATCACAGCCAAAATTAAAGATCTGAAAGAATTTACACTCATTACAAGCCAGATTGTCTTCTCAACACTATTGAAGTGTTCATATTCAGAACTATTAATGATCTATGAACTACTTGCAGATAACACAAACAGTTTCAAACATGAGTTAAGAAACATACCAAGGCCCGCCAGGTAAACGCAAACCTTGGCGTTGTCCGATTGTGTAAAACCAAAATCCTCGATGGTTACCAAGAAAATCCCCAGTTTCGGCTTCCAATATAACTCCTTCCATCTCTCCTATGTGTCTACCGACAAAGTCACTGAACTTTATCTATCACATAAAACCATGTTCATATGTTCAGCCTTGCACTAGGCAAACTGCTATTAACCAGAATAACAAACTATAAATTATACCTTCCCAAGGAAACATATTCCTTGTGAATCCTTTCTATCTTTATTTGGCAAATCGAATTGTGTGGCTAGTTTACGAACTTCGTCCTGTGCATCAGAAAACAAAGGCAAACAAGTATGACAATCACCTCCAAGAAATCAATATATATTCAATTTTCTCCACATTTCGGAATGGAGCATAGGTACGGACACCAAACTCTCTCCCAATTAAGAAAAATAGAACTTCCTGGAGTACCTTCTTTACACAACCAAGTGGGAAAAGCAGTCTCTTAAGCTGGGTTTGAGAGAGATGTGAGAGGAAGTAGGTCTGATCCTTCACCTAAGAAAACGATAAAAAAAAATACAGACTTTTTTAATGGTAGAGGACTGAAAACCAAAGCAATACACCTAAGAAGCAGTAGTAGCCTACACCAGTAGGTACAATGCAAACATAAAGCCAACCAAGTGATGTTCTCTCTAATATAGTTAAATCATGCTGATAAAAAATTAACAGTGATTTATTGGAGTAAGTACCATGTCTTGTGATAGTTCCAAAAGGGATGATGAATCATTTTGGTCAGCAGGAGGATGGACCACTTTAGCATAGTGACCTGAAGCTACGTAGTCATACTCCATATCACTAATTGCATCCATGAATGCACCTAAAATTGTAAGGTCAATTTATAATTGATCAGTCAAACTAGCAGAGACACAATAACATATAAACTTCAACTGAAAAGCAGGAGTCTTTCTTTCTTCACAAGCGAAAACACTTGATTGAAAGTAAGATAGCAAAGACACAATGGCGGACACACTTCAAGTGAAAGCAGAAGCCTTTCTTCATGGGCGAAAACTCTCGATTACAACCTATTTAGCAGAAGAGCATACCAAACTTAATTCTAGTATTACACAAAACATCTGGATTAGGTGTACGTCCACAACGATACTCCTCAATAAGGTAGGAAACCTGATTTATTGTTAGAAACCCAATCAGAAACACAAAATATTAGCATTCTAGAAAGAAGCATTGAGGAAAGAACTTACAACTCTTTCCCAATACTCATCTGTTAAATGCACAACCTCCAAAGGAACACCAACCTGGAAAATGGCACCACCACTAGAACCAGTAAACATCTCAATGTTGATTAAGGGATCATGATCTCTTTACGACTAAATCAAGAACACTACCTGCTCACAGACATGCTTTGCGTACTTCAAATCATCTTCCCAGGGGCATTGATCCCAGAAATTCTCAAAGCCTTCCTACAGACCATTTAAAACATTACAACCCATACTCTTCTATAGGCCAAACAACAGTAAGACGAAATCACTAATTCAAAATCTATGAAAATTCAAATTGGGAAGAAGAAGAAGAAGAAGCAGACCTGAAACCAGATTTTGAGATAGAAAGCGGTACAGGAGTGACCAGCGGCGTGGAGGAGACGGAGAGCGACACTGCTATCGACGCCGCCACTGAGGAGTACGGCGACGCGAAGAGGCTTCTCAGGCATGGAACATGAGAGGTACTGGTCAACGATAAAAGCATGGCGACTACAGTCGCGGCTCGAGGAGAAGAGAGGCGTAACTGGATTAGAAGATTGAGGAGCTGGCAAGAGAGAGGAGGAGGAGGAGAAGAATGAGCGGAAGCCGCGGAAGGAAATTGAGAAAGAAGAAAGAGGAAGGCGAAAGAGCGGTGGTGAAGGAGAGAGAAAAGGTTTGGCCACGGCGGAGAACATCGGGATTCGCCGGCGGAGGATATATCTCCGAGTAATGAGCAGTGAGGGTTTTATCTTATCTGATTATCTCCTTTTTTATTTTTAATTAATAAGAGCAAAGGAAATGTTTTATTTCGTAAAATAATTAATTTTACTTGAAATAATTCGTGTATGTGACCATCGTGTATGTGATCATCGTGCACAAATTGGAAAAAAAAAATTATTTTATGTGATCATCGTGCACAAATTGGAAAAAAAAAAAAAAAGAGAGAGAGAGAAAGGGAGAAAGAAATAAGAGAAGAGAGCGTCGCTGTTCTTCCTCTCCGGTAACGGCGCGTCGTCGTCAGTACTGTGAGAGGCTTGTAAGATAGTTTGTTGCTTTTGCTTCGGTTTCTTCCATGAGCCCAGCGGTGTTTGTTTAGGTCATCTTTGTGTTAAAGGATGTTGCTAAGGAATTTTCAGATCGGATCTCGTCGGCTTCTCTATCGGTGGATCTCTTCAAATCATGAGCTCGTCGTCTCGTCCTAGTCTCTTTGTAGTTGTGAGTATCTCAATAATCGCAGCTCTTCCTCTTGGTTTCTCTTGTTGGTGGTGCTGCGAAGCCGGTTCTAATGGTTGAGGGAGTGGTGTTGGTTCTCGATGTGGCTTGTGGTCTGGTTCTGATTCTTCTACAGTTAGTAATTCATTCCTTTGACTGTTCGTGGTGACCTGCGTTGTGGTTGGTTTAGGTTGTAGTAGTTGTTTAGGGTGCTTAGTTTGTTTCAAGTTAACGTCTTTAGTTAGTCTGTTAAGTAGAATCTTGACCTTCATTAGGGGGAGTCTCTTCAGATGGTTTGAGTTTTGCTTCTGGGTTGTGTGGATGCGGTTGGAGCGGTCCTTTCTTTTGGTTTGTGGTTGCAGAGAAGATGTTTGTAATTCCGGATCTAATAGATCCACGGTGCGACTCGAGAATAATGTATCTTTTTTGCTTGATCCTTCCCTTGGTATGTTACCGTTCATGTGCATCTCCTCGTCTTGAAGCCGTTAGTGTTGTGTGGCTGTGATTGCAGAGAAGATGTTTGTAATTCCGGATCTAATAGATCCACGGTGCGACTCGAGAATAATGTATCTTTTTTGCTTGATCCTTCCCTTGGTATGTTACCGTTCATGTGCATCTCCTCGTCTTGAAGCCGTTAGTGTTGTGTGGCTGTGATTGCGTTACCCGCCTAGCCTTTACCTTTCCACTCACCCATGGTCTCCTCATCCATCCTTTGACTCTCAAAAGGCTTGTTCCCTTTCTAAGCATAGGCTTCGTTTTGTTTGAAGAATGTGTTAGTCTTGTTTGTGAGCAGTTCGTATCTTCTCATGGTTGTTGCTCGCTGTGGTTGCTAGCTTTCTCGTTCAATCGGCGAGATGTTAGGCCTCTCTCCTTGTCTATGCTTTGCAGATCTTGTTTGGTCTGATTGCGTTTTAAAGGCTTTTGTCTAGACGGTTTTGGACGGTGTAGTCGTCATCGTCGCATCCGAAAGCGTATTCGAGTCTTGCTTGCCGGGTTATGAAGTCTTTGGTTCTTGTGTCGAGAGATCGTCTCTCATCTTGATAGGACGTGGTTGATGTTATTTTTGGATTGGCCGTGGACATCCTTCATAAATCTCTTCTTCAGGAGCTTCAGTAGAAGATTTCTGCTTCTTAAGCTAATGTGTTCTCTTAGGATTAAGCCTAGTTGTCTATGTCTTTTGTTTACGGGTTCGTCTTTTTCGGGTTCTGCTTTGTGTTGCTATCTTTTGTTTTCGCTTTATGTTTTTTGGGGATTTCTAATCGTTCATCGTCTTTGTTTCCCTTGTTTGGGCTTTAGACTCCAGGGATATCTTCGTTTTCCGCTGGCTTAAGTTGTATTCCACAATGTATCCTTCGAGTTTTATTAATACTACCAGGTGACAAAAAAAAAAAAAAATCGTGTATGTGATATATTGTTTAGTTGTTCTTTAAAAAAAACAGAAACATACGAATCTAATCCATTTAACTTTAGAGAATATATACAAACTTACAATAAATCTTAATAATATTTTATAATAAAACTTACTCTTCTTATTATACATTGTGTTTTATTTGTTTAAAAAAAAAAAAAAAATTGAAGACATGTTTTGTTTCTTTACTAGTTACATAATATTCTAATCATGTTTCTATCTCTCCTCTGCCCTCATGATTTCTTGCTTGTATTATTTAGCTGTGTGACTCTCCAAATCATCGAAGCTTTAAGGCTTAACAGATATGAACAAGTACCAAACTGAAAGTAGATAGAGAAATTACACTCTTATTTAAAGCAGCTAGAAACCATACATGAAGATGCAGTTCCAGAACAGTTTGCTGTGAAGATCAAGAAGCTGCATCTGTTTAGCCGCCTGAGACCATATCAGACGCCTGGGATCACATCAGACACTTGAAGTTGCTGACATGGAATCGTGAGATGATGTGGCGAAACTTAAGTGGATGTGGTGATGTGCTAAGGATGATTTCTTGCTTGGCAGCAAAGATAGAGACGAAGTTTGTGTGAAGATTATGTGAATATTCTTCACGTCAAATAAGGAAAGGATGAGCTTGACAAGCAAGCATATTTCGATTGTGTGAGATTCTCGAAGATCCTAGGGTTAGGATTTTGGATAGTTAGTATAAATAGTCTAGGATTGGCCACGAGCCACTTTGAAAACTTTAGACTCTTTGTGCGGATTGTAAACTTCGAATCTAGCAAAATCAAAAGCTTAGAAGGTGAGTGTTTGTTTCTCTTAGTACTACACGGGTGTAGAGGAGATAGGCTTAGTTCTTGTTCTTTAGTCGGGTTTAATCCTATTGGTAGGAATAGGTTGAGTAAGAGCCGAGACAAAATTTGTTTCCTAGGAAAAGATAAATTTTATTAATAAAGATCGAAAGGAAAAGTGTTTGCTTGGCGCGTTCCAAGCGTACTTGTTTTGTTTGTGTTGTGTCTCTATACATTTTCAATACAGTCCACAGAACATGCTATGATGTTGCCTCTCTTAAATATTATCCTTTGACAACGTTTCTTGCAAGAAACGCAGAATGGTCGAGAGATGTTACATTTGCTAAGAATTTGAATATACCCTCAATAGTCGAAATATTGACCGGGCTTCATATATGGGTCTTCTCCGAGTACGCATTCAATATGAAAAGTGGTGAAGCAGTTATCACATCCGTAGAACACTTTTGTGCTTGTTTCGACACTCGTAGACAAAGCCACCACAATTACGATGACAAGCATTGCATGTGAAAGAAATGATCCTATATTCACTAAAGTCTTTCAATGTAAGTGTATGAGGATGTAATCCATGTTGAATTCTACGTGGAGCCTTAGCACATCTTTCATGGAGGATGAACTCACACTCTATACAAGAATAGAAATTACCTTCATATATAGGAAGGATGCATGCTTGACAAAACCTATTTTCGTCATAAAGTAGGTCGACTTCGAGTCGAAGATGATGGTCATGAAGAAAATAAAGTATCACTCCTTCTGATATCACACTGAACGGCCCAAGATCTTTTGTTATATCATCATCTTCTGGTACACCCTCGAGTTCCTTTCCATCCCACACATCCTTCCCAGTAGCACATATTGGATGGACAACATAGTCATTACACTTGCCGCAAATATATGCACCATAATCACCGTTTATATTTCGACAAACTCCACAAGACTGTTCTCTTGATGGAAGAGAAGGAAGGTAGGAGATACGATGTTGGTGACGTGATATCTTGATGATGTGTGAAAAATTCATACAGTCAATATGAGCTACAAAGTTGTATCTGATACAAATGTAGGTGGGATAATTTTTTCTCAATAAGCCACAAACATTACAAGTTAAGGAAGTTTGTCTCGGGAAAAATGTGAGAGGATGGACATATTTTTTTGGTTGGTCTATAACAAAGGGTATTGGTTTCATCGCACATGTTGGATGCATAAAAGCCTGACATATGGTACAATAATAAACCATAAAGTTTGCCCTTTTTCCGCAACATAAACACTCAATATAGCGAGCTTGAGGGTTATGAAAAGAAAGTTGGAGAGAGTGCTCAGGATGATAAGGATGTTTGATTTTAAGTGGAGACTGAACGCATTCTTTATGGAAATTTTGATCACAGTATTCGCAAAAGTAATAGTCTGTGCCAAAATTTGAACCATAGCATATGTAGCACCCACCATTGGCGTCGAATTCTTTATTATTGCACCAAAACAAAGGCTTTACATGATGATCTTTAGAATTCGTTGTTGTAGGAAAAATGTACTCTGGAGAAGAATTGAGCGGCAATGTTACTGAAAAATGGATCACATTTTTTCTACAACGTATATATGGGCACAAGAAAAGAGTTTGAAAAAGAAGATCATCAGACGAAATCGTAGTATGTGTTTGGGGTATTGGACAATACTTGGGGTGATGGTATACCAAAGATAGTTTACCATCTTTTTCCACCTCATGAAAGCCACCGTTAGAATCCATGATTGGGTTAGTCTTTCTTTTGTTTTATCATAGGCTTCAAAAGAAAATGATTTGGTATACAATGTATCAACATTTTAACATTTTCCTACTATAAATATTAAAATTTGATCCCATAAGTGTTGTTCTAGTTTTCATTATTATCAGATCCTTAGCTTAAAAATATGGTGGATTTTGTTCTTTTCTTTCTAGTGGTATTAATGTTATTCTTTCTTTTTTGTCCAACAATAATGTTATTCTTTAACACATGTAAATAAAGAAGAACCTTTTCTTTGCATATAGTTTTTGTCATTCTGAAGTTTTATGATATCAAGATTCTATACTTGTAATCTAATGTTATTGAGCCGATTGATTCATGCCAAGAAAAAATACATTGAGACTTTATGAACTCAAACAATTAAAAAAACACGCTATTAAGATATATTAGAATATATTAGAATATTGAGATGTGATATGATTCTATCATATAAGGAAATCTCATTATGTACTTACTAAATAGAAAAACAAGGTTTGAATTGGAAAGTAGAATAATCGAACCTACTAAATAGCAAACTGGTTTACTAAGACACTAAGAAGAACAAGTACTTGTTTCCATGTTTTAAACTAAGCTATGATGTGAAAAACTCTAAGTTGTGTGGTTCGATTTTCAAGTTTTTGTTTTATTCGGTTATCCAAGAAAATCTTTAAATATTGTCATCTCTGATATATATACTGTCAACTAACATTGAAAATATGCCCAAGCAACTTCAACTAAATTTCCTTGAGCCTTCTCTTCTCTTCTATGATCACAATATCACATCAAAGCTTGTTTGGATCTCGTAAGAACACCTCCAACCAGTGGCGGATGCAGAACAGAATTGTGCCTGGGGCACAAACACATATAAGTTAATCTTAAATTTGCATTATAAAAATATAAAATTTTAATAACACTAAAGTATATTTTATATTTGAAAATTGAATAATGAGCAACCATTTTTCAAATTACTGTTACAATTAACTATAAAACATAAATACATATAGTACATTTAAATTTACTCATCTAACTATACCACACAAATTTAATATTTAAAAACATTAAATTACTTTAAAAAAAGATACTATATGGTTTAATGATTCTAATTTACTATTTTACTAACATTTTTTCACTTAAGATATATGTATACTATACAATAAAAATTAATTAAATTTCTTAAAGTTGAACTGGAAATAGAATAATAAAATAAGAACTGAAAGCAATTCATTTGATCTAAGAATATAAAAAATAAGAAAAATGCTAAATAACATGTAGAAGCAAGGGTTCGAACTCTGAACCAAAAGACAAAAGGGGTGCTCATTAACCAACTGTGCTGAAAAATCTATTTGTCTAATACTCGTTAAATCTTAAGAAGGAGTATGGGGCACGTGCCCCACCTCCCGACAGTGTAGATCCGCCCCTGCCTCCAACAGAAGTTTTAAAGTGAGGTTTTAAAAAAAAAACTATATTATAAATAATAAAAAGTTACACATAGTGATGCGGACATCAGAACTACATCAAACCGGGAGTACAGCAAACCAATCGGTCCAGACACCAAACCGGTCTACATGGAGCATTTTAGAGAATCTTTGCATAAATGGAGTTCTGATCAATTACAAGACGAATGGTTAATTATTCACAATGATATTAACCCTAAGAAGTCCAATAGTTCAAGAGAGATAAAAAATCAGCATGTCAAATCAATTTATTGTTGGGATATGACTGTTGCACTCTTTTTCCCTTATCTAGGGTTTGTCCCAATGAGTTTACCTAGAAAGGTTTTTAATGAGACAACATCAAGTCATCAAGGAATCATTCACCATCCATATGTTTCAAAGATGATAGCTGATGTACATTCTGATCTACTCGCGGACAAGCATGCTGAACTACTCGCTGACAAGCATGCTGAACTACTTGCTGACCGACTGCCTGAACTACTTGCTGACCGACTGCCTGAACTACTCGCTGACCGACTGCCTGAACTACATCAGATTGCGAGCTGTGAGGATTTGAAGTCTTTTAACACTTGGATCAGCCATGAAGGTAGCTCACACAGTCATTTGATTCGCTAAAAAGCCCCAGCCCATGGAGAACATCCCAAGAGAAAACCGAAGTCCAAACCACCCTTTGAATCAAGATCGTTGATCTACTTAGAGCGATATAAGGAACCTCTCCTTTACTTTCATGAAGACGTGTTCCAAAGCTGCATATGGAAACTAAGAGAACTTGTAGGCCACACAAGACTTGTCCCACACGATCTTTGGTACACCTTACCACACGCCGATGAGTCACTGCTTGCCATACATGGAGCAAAAGGAGATCAAGCTGCAAAGACTCCTTCCTTATTCACTTATGCACGTCTTGGAGCTTCCTACAATGAACCTAGACACCCCAAGGAGTCATGGATTTGCACCCAAGCTTTCAAGACTCAAGGCATCTCTCTACTTGCCTTATTTTGCCAATTTGGTTAATAAAGTCCCAACGGCAAGTGTAATTAATTTTGAGCGATTTGTTTCTTGTTTTACATTATTAGGACGTGTAGCTGAGCCTATAGATTGTTCATTTGTAATTACCCTTGATCAATTTAAAGTAATAGAAAGTTTCTTCTTGTCAAATTTTGAGTCTGTGTCAATCTTGTTCTTTAGTTCTTTGTGAGTGAGTCACTTAGTGCTTTAGAAACTTAAGGATTAAGTTTGTTGAGTGATTCAACATCCTTCATTCGTCCATTGATCGAGTGAGTCGATTATCCCACTGATTGAGCGAGTCAATCACCTGATCTATCCCTTGTACCACCCCTTGATTCACGAGAGAGTGCTTCAGAGCCAGCTCGTGAATTCCACCTTCCGCAAGCTAAGCTTGGAATCTCTTGATCATCAAGTGATCTAAAGTTGGAGTGATTCCAATCTTGTATCACATAGTCTTAAAACAAGCTATTATTGTAGCTCCTTAGGGCATCCTTAATGGTTTTAACACTTCTTTGGATTTTAGTTTTTAGCTTCTAAATATTTAGTTTTTGGTTTTTGCTAAAAAAAAAAAAAATGAAAAAAAAAATAATTTTTTTTTAAATGATAAAATAAACATTAACGATGAAAGAAACCACTATAAATTGGATTTTGATTTTTATTTTGAAAATGGGTAAAATCTTTCAAAAACTAGATTTCCCATTTTTAGGGAAACCAATTTTGCAAAATCTTGAATGGAAGTAAATAAGATTTTTAGAAAAATAAAGCCAAAATATATTGGCCTTGAATGGTAATAGATTCTACAATAGATTTTGGGATTTTTTTTTTCAAAAACCCAATTTTTCTCCATTCAAGATTTTAGACTAAAAAATAAGGAAACTAGTTTTTAAGTTTTCTTAACAATTTTTAATAGAAACCAAAATCCATATATTTGAGATTTTAAGAAAATACTAACGACACTTCTCATTTTCTTTTTTCTATTATGTATAAAAAATAAAAATAAAACCAAAAAATGATATCTATTACAAAAATAAAAACCTAAAAATCAAAAACCAAAAGCTAAAAACCAATAACCATAATCTAAAAACTATTTAAAAACCAACAACCATTCATGGCCTTAAAATCTAGTAACCATTCAAGGCCTTAATCTGTTGCCATTAATGATTTTATAAAATTGGTTTTCCTAAGAAAAAAAAATAGAGATTTTATGAGATTTTACCCAGGGCCTTGAATGGTTGTTAATTTTGAATTTGATTTTGGTTTTAGTTTTAAAAAGAAACTACTATATACCCAATCAAGATTATGAGAAAATTGATTTTCCTAAAAATTAGGAAAACTAGATTTTGATGGTTTTTAACAATGTGCAAATAGAACTAAAATCCATTTTTATCAGTTTTTTTTATCTTGTTAACGTGACTAATACTTTTTTCTATTTTTCATTTTTTAAAAATGTTTTAACACAAAAACTATAAACTATAAACCAAAATCTAAAATCCAAAAACCAAAAACCACCAAAAAAACTTGCAAACATTCATGGCCTCATTTTCAAATAAAAACCAACAACCCTTTTTAATGGTTTCTTTCAATGCTAGTGTATTTTCTTTTATTTTCAATTTTTATTTTTTAATTCTTTATTTTTACTTTTTTTTTAGCAAAACCAAAAACCAAAAACCAAATATTTAGAAACTAAAAGCTAAAATCCAAAAACCAAAGCTAAAATCCAGCTTAAAATCTCATACCATTCATGGCGAAAAACTACAGCAAAAAACAAAAAATAAAAAAACCAAAAAACCAAAAGCCAAAAACCAAAAACTAAAAGCTAAAGAAACATTTGAATACCTTATGGAGGTTGAGAGAAGGAGATAGTACTGGATTGATATCTTTAGACATTGACCGTGAGGACGTTCCAGTTGCGATGCAACAAGTTCCCCTGAACCATTAGGAATACCGAGTTATACACCCATGGTGACATAGAGGCCAACTCCTACAAAACAATCGAGGAAAAAAAATTAGCATGATCTACCTTTGAAGAACAAAATAAAAGAACAAATGAAAGTACCAAACTCAAAAGCTTTATAAATACCGCAATTAAGATGGTAAAGGTGCCTTTCGAACACCACAATATGGGTGCCAAATCAGGAAATAGTGGTGCGTACTACAACAATAGCAAATAATAAACCATTAACCATCCATCTTTCAACGTATTGAATGAAATTTTAGTGAGAAAGAACAAAAGAAAAGATACAACATAGTCCCATAGATCATGAACCAAATTTATAATAATTAAACTTAGTCAAATCTTAGTTTTACTTTCTTTTTGGCTCAATTCTCGTGAACAATAGAAGTAGAACATGACTTAGTCTATCATGTATTTGTTACCTTGATATAGAAGTGAAGTCCAATGTAAAAATAATTAAAAGAGAGAGAGTATTTTCTGAAAACTTCAATCTCAAGTTTTGGGTTACCTTAAGAACATGAATACATTCAAATTTAATCATAACAAACAACCATTTTGTGAAAATAATTTTTTTTAATCAGCTGCTTGTTTTAGAAAAAACTTACCATTTTAATTTTCTAATCTATTTCTTCGAAAACACCTCTTCAAACATCAAATCATTGGGTTCCTCTCAAATCACCTTTCTTTGTCCAGAATAAGCACTCCTAAACTTTTCTTTGAATTTACACTTGATAAAACCACATAAACCTGATCATGATAAAAGAAATTGGTCTTGCCAAATAATTTCAATGGAAAATTGGTCTTGAAAATAATAAATGTTCACCAAATGGTTTAGGCAATTTATTATTATATTTGGTAGGTTTAATATATATGCATTGGTTTGAGTGTTGTGATATTTTTAATTTCTATCATAAACATTTTATATGGTCTATTATAAAGAATATTGTATAAAGAATATTGTGATCTCGTGATGTTTTATTAAATTATTTCTACTATTGATAATTATCCTACTATTTTAGAGTTTGAAGTTATTTTTTTATTGTTAAAATTCATCTTTTCTAAAATATAGTATGATTATTTGTACTCATATATATATATTCAATGGTATTTGTACTTATTTGCATTTATATATTTTACAGTATAAGTTTATTTATTTTTGTTACTTTATTAATTTTAAATTATCAATGCTAGAAACTTGATAAAATGGTCAATTGTGTATATACTTTAACATAACCCTATATGAATATACACTTTTTATAAGTACATTAAAATTAATTAATTGACCATTGGTCAAATCCTATATATCTAACGATATATTTATTATAAGTACAAAAAAATTAATTAATTGACCAATTTTGTTGTAATCTTCCATTCATAATTTTAGATTTTTAAATTTTCTAAAATTTAGGAAATCTAGTTTTTACTTTTTCTACGTTATTTTTCTAAAAAACCAAAAACCACATTTTTGAGTTTTTTAATACAAAAAAGTAATAGAAACTAAAAATCAAATCCAAAAACTGAATTAAAAAACAGCAGTCATTCATGGCCTCAATGATCCAATAACTCAGAAGGTCCGATCCTCCGTTGGAGTCTATTTTTAAACTCTATTTTTACATTTCTTATATATCTATATTATATATATATATATAAAAAAAAAAGGTGACCAAAAAAAAAAAAATATATATATATATATATATATATATATATATATATTCTTCTCAAACTATGAGTGGTTTTTGATTTTGAAAAAAAAAATCACGGCATGAGAAGGATGTTAAGTGGTTTGATTTAAATGTGTTCATTTAATTTGGTATTGGTGATACCAGACTCATTTGTTTTATTGTTTTTTGTTATTATTTTCTCAATGCATACTTATCTAACTTTCAAAGATTTTTAACATTTTAAAAAAAAAATTCAAGAAAGAAATATAATTTAAAATTCCATCACAGAAAAAACCATAAATCTACCTAAATTATTTACACATAGACTGAGACATAGCTTATAGGTACATATGGGAAAGGTACCAATGGGAAAGGTTAATTTTTTTATTAAGTTGGTAAGTACAATCAAATTCTCGTATAACATTTAAATAATTTCTAAACATAATTAAACATCTTTAGTGCATATCCGAGGAGGGTATATAGTACTATACAACATAAATTACTATGGTGTTTTTTTGTTGTGTTTAGAGAAACGTGCATATTGTAAAACTAATCATCATTTTTATAACAAAAAAAAAAAAGAACAAGATTCGTTATATTTAATGTACTATGAAGATTCATTAATTTTATGACATTTAACTCTAAATCAAAGTGAAACTTGCTTTTAAGCCTTTAACAGACTTTGGTTTTGCTTGATTAACCATTTAAGGAAAAGACTAAACCGAATCAAACCTAACCTAAACCCGATTTCAACTAGTGAACCACAAACCCGACCCGATAAAGACCCAACTTCTACTTCTCTCTCTCGAGAGAGAGGGATCAGAGAGAAAGAGCAAGACGGTGGAAGAGACGATGACAACCGCCGGATATAACTTCCCTCTTGATCTGACGATCGAGATCCTGCTAAGATTGCCGGCGAAATCTCTCTTCAGATTCAGATCTGTTTCGAAGACATGGTGTTCCATCATCCGTAGCCGACAATTCGCCAGCGAGTTCATGTCCCTGTCTCTGTCTAGACCTCGTCTTCTCTTTACTTTCAATAACTGTTGTGACACTCGATTGTTGTTCTTCTCCTCACCTCATCAAAGCTGTTACCTTTCATCATCACCCTCTTCAATGTTAGCTTCCAAAAAGAACTTTTTAACGATGCCCATAGTTATGTCTTCCTTTGACATAGTCTTGAGTAATTCAGTTCGTGGCTTCATCTGTTCTTCTCTCCGGGGTAAGTTCGTGGTGTGTAATCCAAACACTAGACAAGTCATACACTTGGGCGAGAATAGCTTTGAATCTGATTATGATTGTTATATGTACTTGGGATACGACCCAAGCAACGATCAATACAAGGTATTGCGCCTGACGATGAACACGCGCTCTCATTCACCTGTTGAACATAGTGTATGCACGTTGGGAGGTGGTGAACCATCTTTATACTCATGGAGGAACATCAAAAGCAGTGTCATTTACTATGATTGTATGCATAATGGAGTCTGCATTGATGGGGTTGTGTACTATGAAGCTAGCTTGAAAGTGGAATATGGTAACGCTAGTATGAGAGTGAGTAGTTTTGATGTTGGGTCCGAGCAGATTCGTCCTATGAAAACACCTGAACATTTTGGTGGTTTCCTTCTAACAAACTACCTTGGGAAGTTAGCTGCGTACCATGATGTTGATGATGGTTATTTTGCTTTGTGGGTTCTTGATGATGTCAAGAATCAAGTTTGGACAAAGAAGGTTTGTGTATTTCCTTCTTTTACCTTTACAATGTTGTGGGACTTGGACTTGCGCTTTGCAGGGATCACTGCTGCTGGAGAGGTGGTCTATGCTCCACTCTACTTTTGTGATCCTTTTGAGGTTTTCTGCTACGATGTAGAGAAGAAGATGGAAAGAAGAGTTAGAGTTGAAGGACTCGTAGATGATGTTTATGAAGGTTCTACTTTCAAACGTCGTTTTCATACCTCTTTATTATGTTGCTATGTCGACAATATTATGATTTTGTAGCTCTCTGTTTTATTGGGGTGACCACTGTATCCCTTTCAAGCTTCTCTGTTACTACTATGTATGTATAATATAGAAGAGAGTTAAAGAACTAGTTTTTTTTTCCCATAAGTATTGTTTTTATTGAACAAGTCAACAAAACAAAGGTTACAAGGCCTAAAAGCCCACAACTATTTTGCGGAAACAAGAAAGTGAAACTCAAAAGAGCCCACCTAATTTTACAACGAAGGCAAAAGAAGTTTTATCGTTTCGACTCTATCAAAAATCACGTGTCAGCCTGAGATTACTAGCGCAACACGTGTTGATGAGTCATCAGAAGTTTACCGACATCAACCACCACTGTCGAGCACCAATTCCGGTAAGGACAGCATCGCCGGCAAACAGTCGCACGAAGCTTTTGTTTGTGTTACCGTTTGATCTGAATTGAGCTCCAAGAAAGGGAGACAGTAGAACGGAATCGTAATATGCATCGGAATATTCTTCGATCCTTCAACCCAAGAGGCAAAACCTTGAACAGTTCCTGCAAATCAAGCTTTTCACTGAAATCTCTTCAACTTCTATGAAATTGAAAACGATTCTTGTAACACCCAAGCGCAAACGACACAAGCCGGAGAAACCCATCATGAACAGATAATCACCAACCCATATCAAAGGCAATTATTGAAAGATTAAACATAAGAAGATCAAAATAAACCGATGTACGGCAAAGAGAAAAACAAAACCGGCCAACTCCACTTGTGTAAACTAGATGTTGCCGGACGAAAGCCGGCCATCTCCACTAACGAAGCTAGAAGATGCCAGACAAAAGCCCGAAACAGTCGGGACGGCAGTTCACCGGAAAAATTCCGGTCGTGAGACTTGCACTGTTCCTCTCTCTAAAAGATACGAGAGAGAGAAGAGAGAGGAAAGGCTTTGATTGAGTTAAAGAACTAGTTAAGTAAAGGTCTTTGTGTTTGTCTGTGTCATGTTAATAATAATGCTTCCTTGTTTAATTAAGGGTTCTGTTTAATTAAAGGATTGTTCGATTTCAGTAGTCTTCTTTTTTTTTATGCAGTTGTTAACCTAAATGGTAAGACTAAACTCGATTTTTTCACTTGTCTTATACGTAAGTATGCATTTTTTTTTTTTGAAAAATTCTAGATTCCACCCTAAAGCTTAGCTTAGAGGTACATATGGGAAAGGCTTAGAGGTACATATGGGAAAGGGTTTTTCTAGTACTGTTAAGTATAATCAAATTATCTAAAGTAGAGTATTTTTGTATTTGTCTAAACTCAATTACAAAAATGTTATTCTTCTAGTGCATATCCTAGGAGGGTATATTGCACCAAATAATTTGTTTAGAAAAATGTCCATTTCTGTACAGGTGGGATTCATCATTTTAGTTTTGCCAATACATCTTATCAATAATTTAATTAATGTGATTACCAAAAAAAATATATTTTAATTGATGTACAATATTTCACATTTAAAAAGAAACAAAATTATCTAATATATATTGTCCAATGTTTCAACTTAAAACACGTTCCACCTTCCATCTACAAGCATCGGGCTTACTCTCAACCATTTGTTTTTGGTATTCCATTTTTTCTCTACTCCTTGATTGTTTCCATTTTTTTTTTTTTTCATATCATTCAAAATTCGTTTGAGATTTATTACCAAAACCCTATTTCCAAGGCTGATATTATCATCTCTTTTTATTTCGTCCAAAGTCCAACAAAGTGTGACATTTGCCAAACTGCTAGAGAACAACAACAAGAAAAAAAACTTGAGAATTTTAGTTTGCTGTGATTTTTTTTCTTTTCTTTTTGTTGATTTGAGATTTTCTTGGGAAATTGTTTCGTGAAAGTTTTGTTGGGAAATTGTTTCTTAAATATAGAAATAAAAAGAGACATTATTGACATCTATTGGTTCAGAAAAAAAAGGTCTGTTTTTCTTCTTTTACGTTACATTATTTTGCTACCTTCGTTCTTAATCACCTTTTCAAATTCTACACATTTTGGATTAAAAGTTAAATTTCTTTTTTCTTTGTTTTCTTTCGTAAAGTTATCATCAAATTGTTGGTTAGCTTTCTTCTGTCATTATAATCAAAAAAATTCAATCTTTTTTTGCTTTGGTAATCTGACATTAACCAAACTTTTTATGATACAAAGTTTGTGGTTATAACCACTTTTCTCTCTTCTTTAACCTCTTTTTATTTTCAATTGATCATTCTTCTCTATATCTTTTTTCCAGGCTTTGATCTAAAGCAAAATTGTTATTTAGAAACAAATTTTGGGATTTTTTTTTTCTGGAACCCTCTAGATATATTTCTGGAGGCAACACAAAAAAAGTTTGGAGGTTGACTTAAAGTCATCAATGGTCTGAATTAATGAGGTAATTGTAATGTGTGGTTAAGCCTTCAAAGCGCTTTATTCTTGAAAATGAAATAATTCTCTCTTTTTATTTTTTATTTTATTTTTTTTCTAGGGGCATCCTATCTCCTAATGAATTGTCACCTACCTAACCGAGAATCATTTACTTTGCTAGATTCTGCATTCAGATTCATTATATGTACTTGTGAAGCTGAGGCTCAAGAAGAAGAAGCTTCAGTAACATCTCTTAATGATGATGTCTGAAGATGGCTACAACAAAGATTTCCCAAGAAACCCTCTTTACATCTTCTTTAGTGATTTCAGGTAAAAAAAAAATTTCTTTGTAATAATCATGATTAGAGAGAAACTTAAAATTTGGTTTACATTGATGTATCAGGTCAGTTTTGAAATTTGATGAGCTTGGTTTGGAGATAGCACGAATAGCTTTACCCGCAGCACTTGCTTTAACAGCTGATCCTATTGCATCTTTAGTTGATACAGCCTTCATAGGCCAAATTGGTAACGACAACAACATAAAGTTTTTCATTTGCTTGTTTTCGTTTCGAAAAAAATGGAGATCATCGGTTTGATTTCTGATCAGTTCTTGTTTTAATGATTATTTTACAGGTCCTGTAGAGCTTGCTGCAGTTGGAGTTTCTATTGCTTTGTTCAACCAAGTTTCAAGAATCGCTATTTTCCCACTTGTTAGCATCACAACTTCATTTGTAGCAGAGGAAGATGCTTGTAGTTCTCAGCAAAACACAGTCCAAGATCATAAAGAATCTATAGAAACTGGTACCAACAATACAATGGAAGAAACTCAAGAATTGATTCCTGAAAACAGTAAAGGTATTTATTTAGTTGTTCTTGGCAACATCATCACTCTTCTGTTTATGAAAATGATCGTAATAATCACTAGCTTGTTCATTTTTATATTCCAGATTCTTCATCAGATGAATCTAAAACCATTAGCAGTATCTTTAGCGTTAGTAAACCTCCAGCCAAGAAAAGAAACATACCATCAGCTTCATCAGCTTTAATCATTGGAGCCTTTCTTGGCCTTTTTCAAGCTGTGTTTCTTATATCCGCAGCAAAACCTCTCTTGAGTTTCATGGGAGTTAAACACGTAAAGTATCGATCTTTCAAGCTCAATATATGATGATGTCATGAGAGTTATGAATTTCTTTTTAAACAAGGTTTGATTTTTACAGGATTCTCCTATGATGAGACCTGCTCAGAGATATCTATCTCTTAGATCACTTGGTGCACCTGCTGTTCTACTCTCACTTGCGGCACAAGGCGTTTTCCGCGGATTTAAAGATACAACAACTCCGTTATTTGCTACTGGTAACGCTATTTGTATATATATATAACAGGTTCAAAATCCATGAAAACAGAACATAGCTGATGATGATCCACTTTTCTTTTGTAGTGATTGGAGATGTCACAAACATAATTCTCGACCCGATTTTCATATTCGTTTTCCGTCTAGGCGTAACAGGAGCAGCCACTGCTCATGTTATATCCCAGTGAGTTGAATTCCATATGTGAAGCTTGGTTAATCCCAAACTGATCTCTCCTTTTAACCTTTTTAGAGGTTTCTATGTTTATTTTCAGATACCTTATGTGTGGAATACTATTGTGGAAACTGATGGGTCAAGTTGATGTCTTCAACATGAGTACCAAACATCTTCAGTTGTGTAGATTTATGAAAAATGGTATTGCAAAATACTTTTAAATCTTCAATTTGTTCACAGTGATATATCTCTGATAAAAGAACACTTTTTGATTCTTGTTTTACTTGTGTGATTATTCTCTCCTAGGCTTTCTTTTGCTGATGAGAGTCATTGCAGTAACATTCTGTGTAACACTTTCCGCATCACTAGCTGCACGAGAAGGATCAACTTCCATGGCAGCTTTCCAAGTTTGCTTGCAAGTTTGGTTAGCTACTTCTCTTCTTGCTGATGGGTTCGCTGTAGCTGGCCAGGTTTTAGCTCATGATCTCTTTACTCATTGCATCTTTTTACCGATTAAGCACCTGCTCTAAACTCTTAACAATTGTTTTTTTTTCTCTTTCCCTTAAGGCGATACTAGCGAGCGCGTTTGCCAAAAAGGACTACAAAAGAGCTGCAGCTACCGCTTCTCGTGTACTGCAGGTACCCGCAATCTATAAATTTATGTTATGTATATTTAGTTGAAGACATTATACACTAAAAGCATATAAAGATTTGATATTCGATCAATGTAAAAACTAAATGACGAAAATCTTGTGACAGTTGGGACTGGTTCTCGGGTTTGTACTCGCGGTTATACTTGGAGCAGGACTGCATTTTGGAGCAAGAGTATTTACAAAAGACGATAAAGTGTTACACCTAATTAGCATAGGACTTCCGGTAATTAATCAGTTCCTATTGAACTACTAATCAGATCAAAGATTATGTAGATAACATAGTTGCTAAAAACCGGTTCATGCTTCCTACAGTTTGTGGCAGGGACACAACCAATTAATGCATTAGCATTTGTATTCGATGGGGTAAACTTTGGAGCATCCGATTTCGGTTACGCCGCAGCTTCACTAGTAATGGTGGCTATAGTCAGCATCATGTGTTTGCTCTTTCTCTCATCGACACTTGGTTTTATTGGACTTTGGTTTGGTCTCACTATCTACATGAGTCTTAGAGCTGCCGTTGGATTCTGGCGGTAAAAATTTATATATGAAACTCTCTGTTTCTTGTAGTTTAAAAAAGGTGTCAAAATAATTTGATTAATAACAACATGTGACTGTTACAGGATTGGGACAGGAACAGGACCTTGGTCTTTTCTTAGAAGCTGATCAAGAAGGAATCTTAAAAGGATGAACATGTTTTTAGTTGTTCTTAAAACCTTTTATTGAGGTTGTAATTATATAAATAACAAAACCAAAAGAGTATGAGTCTGGAGATAAAAAAATAAATCTATGAGGTTTTACTGCTGCTCTTGTAAGTATTCAAGTTGTATCCCAGAATTTAGAGGTGGTTAGTCCAAATGTTTTGTTTAGTTGTAGTTCAGAATTTGTAGTTAATTATATAGAATATATATATATATATATATATATAATGATTTGAATTTTGAGTTTAATTAAAATCTAAACTGTATAATTTGAAAAATATGGTTTGGTTTACATACAAAAGTTTCGAATAAATTTAGCTTTTGTTTTATGTCGATTTATATTTGGATATACATGACATATCCCATTTGTTTGACAGTAAATTAAAGTTCTAACTTCTACTTCATGAGGCATGCATGGGACAAATGGTATGTCATGGACCAACCAAAGTTATATTTTCATAAAATGATATCGTGAAAACTATATAATTGGTACGTTAAGATATATGATTTACCATGTTAAATAGTTAGTTATGTATGTAAACAATGCCAAAATGAAGTGTTGTTAGATTGTGTGTTAAAGATAGCTATATAGATGTCAAAAAAAAAAAATATCTATTAAATTGTAATTGATCTTTAATATTTAATTATAATTATATTTGTTATTAATGTTTGGATAGCATGCAATTCTAGTAAGTAGTAACAATTTCATTCATTTAAGAAGAAAAAAATAAAAATTAATTTTAAATATGTTAGAGATTACAAGATGAGAAAATATGGTAACGGAGAAAGGGATGATTGTCATTGAAAAGGGTGGATACTGGATACATATTAAGGGAGAATGTAGAATGAAAGCTAAGTTGCAAAACGAAACAAAGATGAGTAGTTTTTGAAGTTACAAGTTACAAGAACATTTTTAGTAGTTTTTGAAGAAGAGGCTGAATCGGTCTTAGTGATGTTGATCTACAATATGAACTCATTTTTCTTAGGTAGTTTAGTATCCTCTACAATCTTGTCTATTCACACACTATGTGCGATAGAGTGAAAAATGTATAGATGTGTATCAATTACTCCATCTGTTTCATTATAAGTGATGTTTAAGTTTTTAGCACACTAAATAATAAAACATATAATTTGCCAATTTTTCCATAAAAACATCATTAACTAATATGAATTCAACCAATAAAAAAAAATATAATTGATCAAAAAATATTAAATACATTAAATTTTTGCATAGGAAATTGAAAACATCACTTATACTGAAACAAAAAAAATTGGCTAAAACATCACTTATAATGAAACAGAAGAAGTATTTTTTTTTTTTTTTTTGACATGTGTGTGTATCAATGTAAATTAACAAAAATAAAAGATTTTGATTGATAAGAGTATATTTGATTTCTTGGGAAGATAATTATATCATTTCTTTATTTTAGTCTAATTCTCTTAGTTTATTTCAGTGAATTTAATATTATACTTTTAAATACTGTATAGCTTTGTAAAGAAAGGTGTGGTTTTATTCCATTCACTTCAGTTTATCCAATGATTATATTGGAGGTGATTTAAAATTTTTATTCAATAGATGATTCTCTATAATGTTTTCAAATCAAAATTTATCGGTACAGGTTTCTAGTTCTATCAGACATTAAAAATCCTGTTATATCACAAAAAGAATTCATGAATGTTTCATAAAATTGTTCTGTCACTTTGACCTCAACTTTTATTTTTATTTTCTTCTTCGGTAATTGACGTTAACCAAACTTTCAGTGATAGAAAATTTGTTGTAACCAAATTTCTCTACTTATACTTATTTTTCTTCCCTAATCATTTTCTCTGTTTTACTTTATCATTTCTTTTGAATGAAATAATTTTCTCTACTTGAAATCAATAAGCCTTTGATTGAAGCTAAATTCGAGTTTTACTTAATGATATTACTTTCAACATTAACTCTCTTTTCTGAACCTGTAATATAGTTGACCAAAAAAAATATTAATATGTATAAACTCTCTATTTTCCTAACTAATAAAATGTCACCTAATTAATTACTGAAAAACACTTATATATAATATGTCTAGGCATATTCTTTTGTGTACTTGTGAAACTCAAGAAAGCTTCATTAACTCTCTTAATGATGTCTGAAAATGGCTACAATGCAGATTTTCCAAGAAACCCTCTTGGCATCTTCTTTAATGATTTCAGGTAAACATTTTTGTATAGTTCTGTTTGTAATAATCATGATTAGAGAGTAACGTAAAATTTGGTTACATTGATGTATCAGGTCAGTTTTGAAATTTGATGAGCTTGGTTTGGAGATAGCGCAAATCGCTTACCCTGCAGCGCTTGCTTTAACAGCTGATCCTATTGCATCTCTAGTTGACACAGCCTTCATAGGCCAAATTGGTAACAACAACAACAACAGAGAGCATTACATTTGATTATTTTTGTATCAAAATGAAAATCTATGGTTCTTGTTATGACGAATTCAGGTCCTTTGGAGCTTGCTGCAGTTGGAGTTTCTATTGCTTTGTTCAACCAAGTTTCAAGAATCGCTATTTTCCCACTCGTTAGCATCACAACTTCCTTTGTAGCAGAAGAAGATGCTTATAGTTCTCAGCAAGACACAGTTCAAGATCATAAAGAGTGTACTGAAGCTGGTATTAACAACACAAAGGAGGAAACTCAAGAATTGATTCCTGAAAACAATGAAGGTATGTAGTCAGTTACTTCTCTGTTTTTATTTCATTTTCTGAAGTAATGATCACTAGTTTGTTTGATTTTTCTTTCAGATTCTATATCAGATGAATCTAAAACAAGTAGCAGTATCTTCAGTGTTAGTAAGTCCCCAATAAGGAAAAGAATAATTCCATCAGCTTCCTCTGCTTTAATCATTGGAAGCATTCTTGGCCTTCTTCAAGCTGTGTTTCTTATATCTGCCGCGAAACCTCTCTTGAGTTTCATGGGAGTTAAACATGTAAAGTATCGATCTTTCGGGATCTTTATTGATGTTATAAGGTTGAAAATATTCTAAGCATGGTTTTAAAATTTCTTACAGGATTCTCCAATGCTGAGACCTGCTCAGAGATATCTATCTCTAAGATCACTTGGTGCACCCGCTGTTCTTCTCTCACTTGCGACACAAGGTGTCTTCCGCGGATTTAAAGACACAACAACTCCATTATATGCAACTGGTAATGCCTTTATGTATAATATGATCAAAAGTCCTTGAAACAGAACAAAACTGATGATCCACTTTTACAAATGATCTCATATATATGCAGTGATTGGAGATGCTACAAACATAATACTCGATCCAATATTCATATTCGTTTTCCGTTTAGGTGTAACAGGAGCAGCCATTGCTCATGTTATATCCCAGTGAGTCTAATTTCCATTGAGAAGCTTGGTTAATCTTATAATATAACCCTTATTTTAATTTACTAGCGGTTTCTATGCTCATTTGTAGATACCTTATGTGTGGAATACTTTTGTGGCAACTGATGGGTCAAGTCGATATCTTTAACCTGAGTACCAAACATCTTCAACTCTGTAGATTCATGAAAAATGGTATTGCAAACACTTCATAAATTTGCAATGTGTTCACAGTGAAGTCTCTGATGAAACAACACCATTTGTTTTGTTTTTTTCAATGTGATTTTTTCTCTCAGGCTTGCTTTTACTAATGAGAGTAATCGCAGTAACGTTCTGCGTGACTCTTTCCGCCTCACTAGCTGCACGAGAAGGATCCATTTCCATGGCAGCTTTCCAAGTTTGCTTGCAGGTTTGGTTAGCTACTTCACTTCTTGCAGATGGGTTTGCCGTAGCTGGCCAGGTTCTTAACACATGATCTCTCCACTCATTGCATATTTTCTCGATTAAGTGCATAGTTTAAAGTTTTAACAAGTGTGTTCTTTTGTTCATGAAGGCAATATTAGCGAGTGCATTTGCCAACAAAGACTACAAAAGAGCTGCAGCTACAGCTTCTCGTGTACTGCAGGTACACTCACACACAATTGAGACCTATGTCCTACTTAAGCTTAATAAGACCAATTTGAAACTAAATCGAAAACTAAAGGACCAAGTCTTGTGACAGTTGGGATTGGTTCTCGGGGTTCTACTCGCGGCTATACTTGGAGCAGCATTGCATTTTGGAGCAAGAGTATTTACAAAAGACGATAAAGTTCTACACCTCATTAGCATAGGACTACCGGTGATTAATTATAACTCCTCTTGAAATATACAGTCAAACCAAGATCATAACATTGTGACTCAGTCCGGTTCTTGTTTTACTAAAGTTTGTGGCAGGGACACAACCAATCAATGCTTTAGCGTTTGTATTTGATGGAGTTAACTTTGGAGCATCCGACTTCGGTTACGCGGCAGCTTCATTAGTAGTGGTGGCTATAGTCAGCATCATGTGTTTGCTCTTTCTCTCATCGACACTTGGTTTTATTGGACTTTGGTTTGGTCTCACTATCTACATGAGTTTTAGAGCTGCCGTTGGATTCTGGCGGTAAAAAATATATATGAAACTCTCTGTTTTCTTGTAGTTAAAAGGTCCCTAGTTAAAAAGGTAAAAAAACTTCTATATAACAGAATGTGAACGTGACTGTTACAGGATTGGGACAGGAACAGGACCTTGGTCTTTTCTTAGGAGCTGATTAAGAAGGAATCTTAAAAGGAATGATCATGATGAGTTGTCTTTAATTATTTTTTTGTTCTAATGAGATTGTAATTAGATAAAAACAAAAAAAAATACAAAGTTTTTGTCTGGAGATATAAATCAAGATGTATGTTGGCTTTGGTTTAGTTTGGTTTGGTCTAGATTTGGTGTTAGTTTTAAATAATTTGTTTAAAATATTCGAATTACCTTAATATTATTTTTCACTTCTGTTTTAGATTTTAGTTTATCTACAAATGTTCTTAATTTATAAATGATTATCTGCAAAGTTGTTTTAAAATATTCGAATTACCTTTGTGTTATTTTTCACTTCTATTTTAGATTTTAGTTTATCTACAAATTTTTTATTTATTTATTCATTTTGTATAATACAGATTTATAAAACAAAGCTAGCATCATTCATATTACTTCTTTATTATTAAGTAATAACTTGATAAAATTTCTAATAAAGAAATTTAAATCATTTGTAAAATGGATGAAGAATCATAACCGACGCTTGTATAATATATAAAAAAAAATGTTACACTTGTAAGAATATATAAAAAATAAAAAATATTTCTTAAGTGTAAAAATCGTAAAATATGGATCTGACTTAGATTTATTTCTTTTTAAATCCCAGATAATTATAATTAAAGAAAAAATATATAAACTAAATACAAGACCTATGTTTAGAAAAAACTCTCTTCTCGAACATGATTGGTTGATAGCTACCCTCAATTATTAGTTTAATACAAAAAATAAAAACCCAATCTTTTATTAAACGAAATTAAACAAAAAAAAAAAAAAAAAAAGTTGAAACCTTTACGGAACTCCTCTGCCTTTCTTTTCCAATCTCAATTAACCTTTTTCCGATTTACCGGAGAAACTAAATCTCCGCCATGCCTACCACCACAACCTCCGCCGCTTCTTCCTCCTCTACATCCTCTTCCGCCTCCGGTAATAACCGTCAAGCCGATGTGTTCTGTCGTCTCGCTTCTTCTGACCCTGAAGTCAAGCTTAAGGCCCTTCGTGAGGTCAAAAACCAGATTATCGGAAACCGTACAAAAAAGCTCTCTTTCCTCAAACTCGGAGCTGTTCCGGCCATAGCGTCTGCTCTCGCTGATGCAGATGATTCTGAGAAATGCAATAACATCCTTGTCCAATCTGCGGCGGCGCTTGGGAGTTTCGCTTGTGGGTTTGAAGCCGGAGTTCACGCTGTTCTTGATGCCGGAGTTTTCCCTCATCTTCTTCGTCTTCTCACTAATCCTGACGATAAGGTTAAAGTCTAATTCAAATTTATTGACTTTTTTTTTTTGTTGAAGTCTAATTCAATCTCCCCCAAATTGTTAATCTAGATTGGGAATGCGATTAGAATTACTATGAAGGTCTTGACAACAAGCTTGAACGATTTAGATTTGTTCTGTTATCTTTTAGTTTAGGAGTTAAAGTTTTCACCTTTTGAATTTGTCTGCATCTGTGGAAGTAAAGCACTGGCCTTTGCAAATTTTGTTGATCCTATCATCTTTGAATTATGTTTGATCGGTTCCTTATCGCTTCTGTTTCGTTTATATTCTTCAGGTAGTAGATGCAGGGGCTCGTTCGCTTAGAATGATATTTCAATCTAATCAAGCTCCAAAATACGATTTTCTTCAAGAGAAAAACATGGAGTTTCTTTTCTCATTGTTGAATAGCGAGAATGAGAATGTTAGTGGGCTTGGTGCGAGCATCATTGCTCATGCGTGTGGAACAGTTGTAGAGCAACGAGTTCTCTGTGACGCTGGTGTCTTGGAGAAGCTTGTTATCCTTCTTGACGGTTCTTTAAGCCAAAGAGAAGCTTGTCTTGAATCTTTAGCCACGGTTTTGAAGAACAACCCTGAAGCTGTTTCGGACTTTGTTGGACTTGAGTCTGGGAGATATCTGAATTCTGTTATTGAATTAACAAAGGATAGGTATCCGAGAACAAGGCTGCTTTCTTGTCTCTGCTTAGTTGTCATATACAACACTTCTCCGTCTTATTTTATAAACATGGGAACCAAAATGGGATTGATTACTACTTTGGTTGAGCTTCTCAACGAGCATGGTCAATCTGGAGATGATGCTGCTTTGGGTTTATCTTGTCTAATTGCTGAAAAAGAGGATTTACAAAAGTTAGCTTACGAGGCTAATGCAATCAAGAGTATTGTTGACATCTTGAAGACAGGTAGTGAGTTCCAGCCTAAACGTCTTCAGGGTTTGTTTCTGTCTCTTTCTGAATTGTGCTCAAAGCTGGAGGATTGCAGGTGTAGCTTCGTGTCGATGCAGGTGTTGTTTCCGTATGCCGTTTTCTGATTTTGTATCCGTTTTGTTTTAGCATTTATATGATAGTATGCTAAATTGGTTTGTCTATTTTTCCTTCTACTAGGTGTTAGACCTACTGATTGATGCACTAAGACACAAAGATGCTGATGTAAGAACTGCGGCGGGCATTTGTTTAAGAAACACTGCTCGATCAGTCAAGGTTAGTTAACATTATACATTTCGCATGTTATTAGTATGTCATCTGGCTTTGTATTAACCCCTGAGACATTTCATTTAGAATTTGAGTGCAGGACGATTCAACAGCGATCATGTTATGCTTACTTTGGTTCAGTTATTGCATGATCCATCTTCCTCTGTCCAGGTACTATTATCACATAAGATACATCATTTCTTTGACTTAGTTTCCGATTTTTTTTTTTTCTTTAGAAGCAAACGGCTAAACCAATTTGAATGTGTATGTACCTATATATTGTGGACCAGGTTGCAGTTCTTGGTGCTCTGAACAATATAGTATTGGATTTTTCATCACCGAAGTCATCATTTATCGAGTACGGAGGGATAGAACAGCTTATTGAGTTATCAAAATCAATGGATCAAAATGCTCGGTGTAGTGCTTTACGGGCTTTAAGGAACCTCATGTTCCTGGCCGACAATAAACGTAAAGAACTCTTTTATTCAGACGTCAAGGCTCAAGGATTTGCTAGCCTCATTAGTGGTAAATTATTCTACGGATTCTTCAAACCAAAATCATATGATTCATCTGTATAAGATTTCCTTTGTCAGCTAATAAACAAACTCACTGCCCTCAGATCCTGAGCCTCCAGTGCAAGAGCAAGCTTTAGCCCTCCTCCGTAATCTTGTTGACGGATGTATCAGCTCAATCGAGTTTGTATTTGATGAAGATGGTCTTATCTTAGATACTTTAGGGAGGCAATTGAGGAAAGCTCCACAAGCTCAAACGGCAATACAGGTAACAAATATTAAAAAGTATACCTTATCAATAGATTAACAATATTACTGATGTAAAATGTTGCTCTTTTACCAGGGAATGTATGTGCTCGCAAATGTAGCGAGTGGAACGGAGTTACATAAAGAAGCTGTTATGCGGCAACTGTTTCCTCAAGCCAAAGCTGGATCAGAGAATTTTATGCTGAAGTTTTTGCAGAGCGACGAGAGTCAGTTACGAGTAGCAACAGTCTGGACAATCATAAACCTTATTAGTCCGTCAAGTCCCGGTGCATATGATCGGCATGCGACATTGCGGAGTGCGGGTATCATTCCCCAGTTAAAGAACATGATCAACGATGTTTGCCTCGATGTTAAGGTAAAAAGAAAAAGGCGAAACCTTATTACCCGTTTAGATTACCTTGTTTACTCTGTTACTTGTTATTGACTCGACGATGTTCCATCAACCTCTTTTGCTATGCAGATTCGCATCAGAACCGTATTAGGCCAGTCAATGTCTTTTGGCGATAATTATTAGCGACAGAGATAATACTTTTCCCAATCCGACAGACTATACATTGAACATATCAGTAGTGATATAGGTTTGAGATTCAACTTTCAGCATATAGCAAACAGAGACTGAGCCTAGAGTTTATGATCATGACCATCTATTATCTCACAAGTTCCAGACACACCTATGATTCAACAGGTACTTACTTGCTTTCTTGGGTTTGTTCTTTTCATTTCTGGTTACTCAAAATGGCCGTAACTAAAACTAGTACCATTGATCAAACTAGGGTAAAGAGATTTAATGTGTTTCAAATACTGATGATGATGATCCCTTCTGTTTATGCAGGTGAAAGCTGTGAGAAAGAGTTGTACTATTATTACTTGAGCCACATATAGTAGATTAGATATCCACCAAATTTTTGTTTTGTTTTTTATTTTTGCCTTGAAAGAACTTCAATTCACTGGTTTGTAACAATCTGTCGTTTGTTATATCAAAAACATCTGACTTTTGTATCAGTAAATTTTTATTTTCTCGAAAAATACCAATAATTTCTGATAATGTACCAAATTGATTATTTCTTTTCGCATTTTAGCATTCAAATAATGATATATTGAATTTTGTGACAATATATATATAGCTTTCTATTGTGACATGCATTGAGAAAGTGGTATTCCTAAAAATTAGGAAATCTAGATTTTGATTGTTTTGGTCAAGTTTCTATAGATAATCCAAAATCTGTTTTTTTTAAGAAGTTTTTCATTTGCCGTAGCATTAAGTGCCATTAACATAGTTTTTATTCTTTTCTTCACATATTCAAAAACTAAAAATTACAATAGAAAGCTTAATCATTAAAAAAAACTAACATTTAAAACTATATTCAAAGTTTTTGAAAATCTAATATCTACATAAAAAAATCAATGCACCGCTTCAAAACTTCTGCTTTTCTTTAAAATCAAGAACTAGACAAATAGAATAGAGACAATTACATAATCTTTACTTAAATGGCTAAATCTAAAACTTAACCTAGCTTTGTTTTAAAAAAAAAAGATAAGACTAGTATATACGAAAGCATCCGTGGTGATATGTTTGTCTTTATGTTAGTATGGCCTTTGAGAATCTAACCTCGCCGTTTGTGTGCACAGCACAGTGAATCCTATGTTTTGTTTTTGGATCCGATAAGATTCATCCTCGACTACTGTGTACTTTCTCTTTAAGGATTTATATATATATACAGTAAAACCTCTATAAATTAATAATGTTGGGACCATGAAAATCTATTAATTTATAAAGCTATTAATTTATCGATAAATTAATAATTATTAATTTATAAAGATATATTTTTAATTTGGAAAATATTTTCAAGATAATATTTAAAAATAAGATTTAATCATGATAATTAGTATTTTATATAATCAATTACAAATAAAATAATAATTATTATGTATTAAAAGATAATGCTAACTATTTTTCATATAGTAAAATATTATAAATAAAATCTAACAAAAACTAATGTGTCTATATATACATATATTTTGAAAATTTTACCTAATTATTAATTTATAATATTGATGGGACCATATATTTACAAAGGATTTTCAAAAAAGATATTATCTTATTATTTTATCGAAATATGTCTAAAATTACACTGGTCCCAACTTGGAACCGGAGAAATTTATTAATTTATAGAGATTATTAATTTATCGAGTATTAATTTATAGAGGTTTTACTGTATATAGCCTCTCTTCTCTTTTTGTTCCTATATAATTATTTCTCTCATAACAAAAAACAATCACATTGACGAACGATACGATTACCACAATTGTATGAATTCATTCACATAAAGAAAAACAAAATAAAGAGACAAGAATCTCAACTAAACCCAAAAAAGGGTTAGTTGGTTAAAAAACACAATAGGGTTAGTTGGGAATGTAGAAACCCCATGCATATATTATATATAAATATGGATTGAAATTTTATATACCATCCCACGTGAATGATCTGTATTATTTACACATCTAAAAGTTTCGTGTTATAATTTCATATTTTTATTCTGCCTGTATTGTTCAGTTCTTTATCTTAATTTCCTTTATTATAAGACAAAAATATTATCTTATGGGTAAACATATAAACAATTATATTTTACCACCTAATACCTCCACGAAGACAATACTACTACTTTCGGGACATATCTCTTCCTCTTAAAGTATTGTTCTTTCCTATTTTTTAGAGTTTAATGAGAGACTCTTGTCTTGTTTTTAGTTTAATAATACATACATATCTCTGCTTAATTGTTCTAAGTTGTGGATGTAATTGAATTTATCATTGAATATAGTATATATGCATGTGACAGCATGTCTATTTTAGTATAATAGTATTAATATATGTGGGTGTTATATAAACATTTACAAATTGATTATGTTTAACTTTAATTAACGTATTCACATGCATAAGCATAACTTACAAATAATGTTTTATAACAAAGTTATTTTAGTGTTTGGATTTTACCGCAAACTTAGAATGCATATTCGAAACAATAATTTCTTCCATAATTTGATACCATCTTTTTATGGGAAAAGTGTTTTCTTCGTAATATAAGTTGAAAAGATAATTTTATTGGTAAATGTTAAAAAGGAGATCTACTACATGCTCGTTTGTTTTCCTTTATTATCTTCTTGTTCTTCATGATATATTCATCTATATTCTTTACCTTATTATGCGACAACCAATTTTAACAATACCACACTTTTTCAAACATCATTTACAAACATCTTCGCATCACATTATAGGGGAAAAAAACTTCTTGATGATATTCATTTTATCATTTAGGAAAATCATATTTATTTAATTGTATAAATAGCATTCTGATGATTCTAGAACACTAACTGTAGTATTATATCATCATATTATATTTGTTCTTATGAATATTTAAACCAAAAAGAAGAAAATAAAGTGTAACCATTTCACACTTCACAGTAACTTACTTAATTACATGCATTGAAAACAAAAAGAAACCCTTTCTCTTTAGTTTCCAAAATACTCAGCCAATCTCTCTTTTTCTTGTTTTTGACCTTTTCCTTTTCTTGGCTTTTTCTTCTCCTCTCATATAAACTTTTTCCAGTCAAAAATTTTTAAAGTAAAAACTCCCACTAAGTAAGGTTTGTTACAAAAGTCTTCATATATAGATTCACATTCACCCATTTCCTTCCTTTTTTCTGCTCTCTCTGCTCTCTTCTCTTCTCTTCTCCTCTCTCTGCTCTCTCCTTAGTCTCGAAAATGGCATCAAAAGGAAAGAAACCAATAAGAAGAACAACTACAACAACAAGAAGAAAGAGAAGCCATTTCAAGAACCCATCTCCTCCTCCTCCTCCATGTAGTACTATCATCAATAGTGACGTCACTTCAACGCCATCTTCACCTACTACTTCAGCCGCCACATCAACGACCAGGCCTCCATGTTCGATTCCACCAGAGAGTGGATGTTGTACACCGAAGTCTAAGAAGTCACGTATACCGGAGATGCTGACGTGTCCCCCGGCGCCGAAGAAACAAAAGGTGGCTCAAAACTGCGGTTTGAGGAGGAGACAAATCTCTTTCTTTGCATCTCCAGATGTAGAGATGTTCTTCGTCTTCGCACTTGGTCAACAAATCGATAAATAAGTTAAGTTTTTATGATATTAGGGTTTTTGTGATTAGTATTATCAATATCTTAAAAGTTTCTAGTTTGCTTAGAATACAATAATATATATTGAAGTATAATTATATATATAGAGAGTGTAGTGTGATGTTTTGCTTCTTCTTAAATTTGCTTTTCTTCTCCTTCTTTGTTTTTATTTTGGGATAATTTTTGAGTTAGGTGGGTTTGAATTTGTTTGTGGTAGGGTATGATTAATCAAATACCCTATCTCTCTTTTTATTGTAGTTAATTATATTTTGTCATTGACTGGTGCTTCCTAACATTTCAGGCTTGTTAGCTTTGTGCAATTTTGTTGTTTGTAATTTTGGTTTGAGTTAAATTACAAGTTGGATTATTGTTTATACACACTTTAATTGGTTCTTTTTGTTTTAAGTACGTACTCATCATTAATTATTCGTAATCTCATCAAACATGGTAATACCATATAAATACATTTTTTTTAATCAGAGTGATGTGCTTAAATTCAAATCAGTGTGTACTTTTTTTTGTTCATGAGTTCAAAATATGTTAAGTTGGATAGGGAATTTTTGTTTTTAAAAGCCAAAAAAAAAAAATAGTGGATGCGGAATAATATGGGTTAGAAAAGTTTTGGATGTAATACAAAGTTAGAAAAAGATTCAACTGTTTCTAGTTGGATTTAAAGTTGATAAAAGTTGAGAAATAACTGATGGAATCTATTTGAAAATTAAAGAAAATTACATTAAACTAGTTTTGTGTTGTGTAATAAATTATATAAACTGAAGTGAACTGTGCTAAGAGAATATTTGAGGGAAGGAAGGAAGATATGTTTTAAACGAAAGGGAAGGCCAAAGTGTCGGAGCTGACGATAACATCTCCGAAGGGAATCCAATGAAAGGACTCGTGCGGCTTTTTTCATCATTTTCTCTTTTTCTTTTTCTTTTTTTTCTTCTTCTCCCACACTTCCTTTTAAGAGCAAATTAATAATAATCATAATTTTTAACAAATGTATAAGACTTATATATATAGAGAGTAGGTAAGAAGACGACACAACAGCTATGGTATTATCTATGCAATTTGGTCCAAGAAAAACATTATTAGAATCATTTGTTTTGCTATCCTTTAATATTTATTTTTCGAATTATTGATTATAAAATCTACAGGATTCAATAATGTGGATAAATCATAACACAACGTACGAATCTCAATGATTGAAATTAGACAAAAAACTTACACCTCTCCTTGCATTATTTATTCTTTTTCTACGTCAATGAATAGGTCACTTGCGAAATGCATGTACAAACATAGATTGGAGAATCTTCACTAGTACCAAAATAATATCATTATAATGTTTTTTCCATTTTACAATATTTATTATGTCATCCTTTTGAAAATAATTCGATTTATACTATATACTATATAAAACATTTTGAACGTGTAACTTTGTAACATATATGTTGTTTTATTATTTCATTATAGTTCACTCTTTTGTTTTATTATTTCATTATAGTTTACTCTTTTGTGTTCTATCAATTAGGCCTTCATACACAAAACCCTTTAGTCCTATTTAAAACATCAAATAATGCTAACCTTTACACAACAAAATACTTTCCACAAACTAAAGTAAAAAACTTCAAACATTTTTAACTGCGTATTTGGGATAGAGTTTACACTCCTAAAATAAGTCGCAAGTTCCAAGTGCTATGTACGTAGGCTCATATAGCTAAAGGTGGCCTAATTTCAAATTAATCTTAAAGGTGGCCTATTATAATTCTCATGTCATAAAGTAATTAAGGTTAACCTACCTATGTATAGGTGGTGTATATAATATAAACTCGCACGTGTGGTTCAGGATATCACACACACACACACACACTTGCAAACAAGAAATCGAATTAGGTAAAGTGGAGAAAAATAAAAACACATTGGAATGAGGATTTGATTTTACGTCCATCAATTTCTTTTGGTTTTTCTCCTTTTTTGTCTTTGTATTATTTAATTATATATACGTCCTCCCAAAATCAACTTTAACTAAATACCAAAACCATCATTTAAAAACTATCAAATAAAGTAAAATATCTCATAATACTTACTTGATAATACTATAAAGCTAATCGTACGTTTCATGTTAAAAGCTGCTGATTAACAACTTTTGAAGAATCCAAGGTTCCGTTATCGTTCACAACCAAACACACACTCTGGGCTTTAATAGACCTATTAAGGCCCAATAAAGATTACTTTCTCTAAAAAAAATACAAATTAGAAAATAAGTGACCCAAAATTACGAAACTAATCCCCTTACAAACAAACTCGCACTATGGGCTTTAATAAGACCCATTAAGGCCCAATAGAGAAAGATATATAAATAAAAAAACAAGTGGCCAAAAAATAACGAAACCAATCAGTTCTATCCATCTCCGTCGTCGTTAACCAATGTCTTCGATCGTGGAGCACGTCGTCCTCTTCAAGCTCAAGGACGGTGACGACGTTGACTCAAACAAGATCACCTCCATGGTCAACGGAATCAACGAACTTATCAATCTCGACCAGGTGCTTCACCTCGCCTGCGGTTCAATCCACCGCCTTAGCTCCACTTCTGCTTCCGCCTCCGCCTTTACTCACGTACTTCATAGCCGTTACAGATCTAAAGAAGATCTCGACGCATACGCAATACATCCCGATCACGTCCGCGTCGTCAAGGAATCGGAATCGATCCGTGAAGATATCTTGGCCGTTGATTGGATTGTCGATCAAATCCCCGGAACCCTTGCTCCGCCTCCTGGTTCAATTGCTAGAATCACGCTTGTTAAGGTGAAAGAGAATGTAACAGAAGAGACGAAATCGGAGATTATGGAAGTGATTAAGGAGAAATCTAAAGGTGTTGATCAGATCACAGCTGGAGAAAACTTTTCTCCGGGTAGAGCTAAAGGTTTCTCAATTGGATCGATTTCGTATTTTAAGGATTTGGGAGAGATCGAGGCTATGGATGCTCAGAAGATGATGGAAAGTGATAAGATTCGTAATTATATTGATGATACTATCGTTGTTGAATTCGTGGTGGTGAAGCATCTTCGCACAAGCCTTTAAAGAACCTGAAAAAAGCTCCGATTAACACAGTTACAGTCGTCGCCGCCGTATGTATTGAAATGTCACATATTGGGCTTTTACTTGAATCCCATTACTGGCCCATATTATTTGTTTAATAAATCATAATTAAATGTTAATGTTTCTCGTTAAAATTGTGACGTTCCAACACTGTTTGGAATCTCTTAAACGTCGTCGTTTGGTATTATAAAAAAGAACCCCTAAAACCCTTTTGTTTGGAATCTCCTCCCGACACTTTCGTCTTCAAACTCCAAACTTTGCAATAAGAAAATATCTATCTGAATTAGTGAATTATCTTGATTTTAGCAGAAACAGAGAGAATTCAAAAGTAGAGAATCATGGTGGCAGCGAAAGGAATTAATCGGAAAAGCGAAGGAGCATTGGATGATGAGAATCTGGTGTTTGAAACGACCAAAGGGATTAAAGCAATCAAAGATTTCGATGACATGGGGATGAACGATAAAGTGCTTAGAGGCGTATACGACTACGGTTACAAGAAACCATCTGAGATTCAGCAGAGAGCTTTGGTGCCTATTCTCAAAGGAAGAGATGTTATAGCACAGGCTCAGTCTGGTACTGGTAAAACCTCCATGATTGCTATCTCCGTCTGTCAAATCGTCAACCCTTCTTCCAGAAAGTACGTCTCTTTCTTACTCCCTCCCCTATGATTGGAAACTAATTCAAACCCTTTTTCATATTTTCAATTTAGGTCACACATTTTGCTTACTTTTAGGCTGCAAGATCTGTTTTTTACGCTTTACTAATCAACTTGGTGTTACATGGTTGATGATTTTTTGCTTTGTAATTAGGATGAGTAAGGCTTACTTTTTACTAATTAACTTGGTCTTTTCCTGCTTCAAGGGTTCAAGTATTGGTGTTGTCTCCATCAAGAGAGCTGGCTTCACAAACTGAGAAGACTATACTGGCTATTGGGGCGCATACTAATATTCAGGCGCATGCCTGCATAGGTGGTAAGAGCATCGGAGAAGACATCAAGAAGCTCGAGCGTGGTGTCCATGCTGTGTCTGGGACACCTGGTCGAGTCTATGATATGATAAAGAGAGGAAGTTTACAGACTAAATCTGTTAAACTTTTGGTTCTGGATGAATCAGATGAAATGCTGAGTAAAGGTTTGAAAGACCAGATTTATGACGTTTACAGATCTCTTCCACATGATGTTCAGGTTTCAATCTCAACTGTATGAATATTAGTAGTTGAGTAACTCCAGTTTCTGATATAAGATGAATCTAATCAAGTTGGTTTATAGGTTTGCTTGATTTCTGCTACTCTTCCTCAAGAGATTTTGGAGATGACAGAAAAGTTTATGACAGATCCTGTGAGGATTCTTGTCAAACCTGATGAATTGACTCTGGAAGTGAGTTTTTTTTTCTTCCATAAATATGTTTTTAAGTTTTAGTTTCATCATAAAAAAGCATATATTACAACTTTTAGTTTTCAGGGAATCAAACAATACTATATTGATGTTGATAAAGAAGAGTGGAAGTTTGATACTCTTTGCGATCTTTATGGAAGGCTTGTTATTAATCAAGCTATTATCTTCTGCAACACAAGACAAAAGGTAAAATACAGTTCCTTATGTTTTTAAGCTTTGGTCCACATATCTTTTGTTGATAATCTTAAAGTTTTGATCTGCAATTTTTATATATATAAAAGGTGAATTGGCTTACTGAGAAGATGAGGAGTAGCAATTTCGTAGTCTCATCAATGCATGGAGACAAACGTCAAAAAGAGAGAGATGAAATTATGAACCAGTTTAGGTCATTTAAAAGCCGCGTTTTAATCGCATCAGATGTATGGGCACGAGGGATCGATGTTCAGACTGTATGATATCTCTCTCTTTCTCTGTCTTTGAACTATTAGTGTCACCAAAAACCTTTCATGCTGACATTGATAATTTCTATTTACCAGGTTTCTCATGTCATCAATTATGATATACCCAACAACCCGGAACTTTACATTCATCGTATTGGACGAGCTGGTCGTTTTGGCCGTGAAGGTGTGGCCATTAACTTTGTAAAATCTTCAGACAAGAAGGATCTTAAGGATATTGAGCGGCATTACGGTACTAAAATCCGCGAGATGCCAGCTGATCTTGTCTAAAAGATTTCGTTCCTTGAAGCTGAGGTTGAAGAATCAGTTTTAAAAGAAGTTTTGTTCTTCAACCATTTTTGTTATGAACCCCATTGGTTTAGATTTAGCCTTAGAAGCTCTTTTAAGACAATGTGCATGTAAAATGTATACTTCACTCCGTTCCTTTAGCAACCAAAACAATATCATTGTAGCTATTTATGTATTTGAAAGCAACAATTATATGTTTGGCTTAAGGCTTATATAGAGGTCTACTAATATTTGTTCTTATTAGAAAATGGTGATGGTTTGGTTTGGTAAAATATGCTATCAGAATTACAGAAATTTTGGTTTGGGTTTAATCCGGTTCAAGTAATTGACGGTAACGGTAACGGTAACGTCAATTCACGGTAGAGATATATAGACGGCCACGCCGTCACCGTACACGCCATTTTCCACGTCGTAGAAAGCTTCTCTTTCGCCGTCCGTTTTGCGATTTGTTTTCCGACGAATCCTAATTTCGTAAGCTAAGGGAAACGAAGACGAAGATCATGAAAGGGATTACGAGGCTTCTCAATTCTCTTTCGCGACAAACAGCTTCTGTAACTTGTTCTCCTCTTCTGATATCGCATCGTCCTCTGTTTATATTGGCGGCGGCGACTCACTTGCCGGCGAGTTTATTAGATTCCAGAACGACTAATGCTTCTCCCAATTCTTCGAGATCTTCTTCGTTTCCTCTGAATTGGATTGGTATTGTAACCTCTGCATTTGTAATTCATTGTCATCTTTGCCTCATAATGCGTTTATTTGATGATTGTTTTAGCTTTTACTGAGATTTGTGATTTTGGTATATCAACAATGTTAAAAAGAGTAATCTTTGTCTCCTGATTCTTAAAATGAAGTGACTTTGAAATCTTATCTTATGGCTTGAGATTGATGTTATGGGCAGGGCAAAGGAGGACAATGTTTATCCAAACACAATCAACACCAAACCCTTCTTCTCTCATGTTTAATCCTGGTAAACCAGTTATGGAGATTGGAAGTGCTGATTTCCCTAATTCTCGTTCTGCTATGGGTTCACCTTTGGCCAAAGACATTTTCGCCATTGATGGTATTCTTGGCCTTTTGCTACGAAAAAACATACATTTGTTTGTTGTTCTTCATATGATCAGTGATTAAGATTCTTTCTTTTATGATGCAGGTGTAGTTCGAGTTTTCTTTGGGTCAGATTTTGTTACTGTAACAAAGTCAGATGATGTAACATGGGATGTTCTCAAGCCTGAGATCTTTGCAGCTGTAATGGACTTTTACTCATCTGGTCAGCCTTTGTTTCTCGACTCACAAGCTACAGCTGCCAAGGATACCGCTATTCACGAGGTAGACTTTTGTTGTTCTTCTAGATTTTAGTAGATAACACTTTAAAATGACAAATGCGAAAATTGTTTCTAACACATTGGCAAATCTGTTATAGGATGACTCGGAAACTGTGGCGATGATCAAGGAACTCTTGGAGACGCGTATCCGACCATCAGTTCAAGATGATGGAGGGGACATCGAGTATTGTGGATTTGATACGTGAGTTTTTTCCATGATTTTAAGAAAATGTTTAAGAAGATCAGCTTCTTTATCCTTATCAAATGTATATGTTTTGATCAGGGAAACTGGTATAGTTAAGCTTAGAATGCAAGGAGCTTGTAGCGGTTGTCCAAGTTCATCTGTCACTTTGAAATCAGGAATCGAGAATATGCTGATGCATTATGTATCTGAGGTAAAGCTCATAAGGAGAGGTCCTACCATTCATCGTTTCTGTTATATGTCTTCTGGTCTTCAGCATGATCTTGTTATAGTCTCTTCTTTTGTTTTTAAATCATCAAGATGATTTACCAAAGCGTTTGTGCAAAACACAGGTCAAAGGCGTTGAGCAAGAATTTGATGGTGAAGAGGAGGGAACGTCGTCTGGCCCGTTGGAGTAGAGTCGCAGAAATGTATCAGAACGAAACTTGAGATTTGTTGTTGCTCTTCAATATACAGAAGAAGAAGAATAAACCAGAGGTACATTAGGCTTGTCTTTACCTAAACCTGGCAGCCTCAGAAAACTATAGAGACTACTGAGAAATCATGGGGTCGCCTAATATAACCCAACAATTGATTTTATTTCTTAATGTATTATCATTTTTATGGGGCTCCTCTTACTCTGCGTTCAATTGTAGTCGGAAGGGTAAAGATTTGTTGCCTAATCTTAAGTAAAAGTTTCTGCTGATTGAAGTTATTAAAGGGTTGTGATCGCCATCAGCAGATGATTCAAAAGGGTTTTTATAGATTTGATCGAAACTATGATCATTACAAACCACACTGAGAAAAGTTTAACTGGCATAAATACATAGGTATATGAAGTGTCGCTGGCTAAATAGAGAACTTAGTTACGGCATATCCTGGCCGTAGGCATAGTGACACAGACAGGAGCATACTTCTTCTTGGCAGCCTCTGTTCCTCTCTTTGGCTCATCATCCGCCATTGCCACCTTAGCTAAGGAACATACAGCCGCAGCTGCAGCAGTAAACACCAGATCCCTCCTCATCTTCATACCCTGTTCTTGCTCCTTGTTCTCCAAGCTAGTTGTGTTGTCGCTCATGGAGGCTTTGACCACTGTGAGGCTTCTTCTGTTGTTGCCTGAGATGTTTACCGGAAGCTTTGAGACGGTCGGGAGAAATGGAGATGTAATGGTCATTGACGCCATTGCAAATTGGTAAGTTAGTTTCACACGTGTGCTCTTCTTTATCTCTCTCTCTCTGTTTATCTGATGGGTTGGTGGTGAGTGTGTTTAAAAAGTTGGGGGTGTGGGAACACAAAAGGAATTGATATTGAGGGATGGTTATGATCCATTTCCTTATCCAAAACATGAAGTTAAAGCAAATGAGTTGTTGCCACGTGTCATTTTGATATCCTCTTGTTGCATTACATTTGCAAACACATTATTACATGATGAACTTTGTGGTCGTACATCTAGACTATAGAGTAAGCAGCTTTCCAAAGAGAATGCTAGAAGCTTTTATTTAGGAAGTGTCCAGAAGAATTATTAGGTCCCATTCTTGGTTTGTCAAATAAAAATCTTGACTTTTTTTCTAACAAAGACAAATTTCTCAGAAAAGAAGAAAAAGGTTAACAGCCCAATAATTCACTTAACACCAATAAGGATGAGAGTAGTCCACGAGCTTTTTCTGGCCCAAACAGAAACTCGTAAAATTAAATTAGGAGCTGCTATTGTTCCATTTTTCAAAGTAATATACTAAAAAAAAAAAAAAAATCTAGTTAGAATTTGTCTCATCTGGTGAAAGAACTCACATAAGGGTTTGAACTCAATTTGTATCACATGGAGCAATGACAATTTCGCAAAATATCCGACCTTTCGCAATTCGGATTTGGTGTTTCTTCTTCGAACATTTGCTAATTGTTTCATTTTGTTTCTCTCCTATTAGTAGGTCTTTTAGTCGTACTATAAAGGATACATATATACAGATGTGGAGTTTACTTGACTTATTGGATAAAAGCACTATCATTCAACTGTGAAATCGGCTAGCAACACACAAATTCATATAATAGCCATGTCACTTTTACAAACCTATCTTGGTAACAACATATATACTACATATTCATTTGTTTCCAATGGAATTGTTTTTGAAGTTTCTAACAAAAAAATAATAATAACTAAAAAACTTTTTTGGTGCAATAGGAAAAATCAGTTTTAATAATATTTTGAGATTGTTGATATTTAATGAGTTCGAAAAAGCATACACCATATTTGAAAACAAAAAAAAAAAACTATAAAGATTTTACGAAATTTGAGTTATTTTGAATCTTGAATAACAAATTCATATTTGAATAGACTCCAAAAAAAAAAACATGACTCGAGTAAAAACAACCACTAGTCGTTGACAAAATATAAAAGAAAAAAACACCAACTAGTGACTATGTATTTATTAATGGATATCGTAAAAAGGAGAACAAAGATTATCTAATCCAATGAAGGTTCTTTTGTAATGGCAGAGTTGTAATTAAAAAGGAAAGAGGAAGCAGCGGTTTCATCACGAACTTTGACACACACACACACACTTAACACAACACAGCTTTTATTTGAAATTGGCTCCACTTCACGAGGCTTCTCTCTCTCTCTCTCTCTCTCTCTCTCTCTCTCTCTCTCTTTCTCTCTCGCCGTAGGCTTTACTCGAGAACCAGACCCAAGGATCTCATTATATATACACATCAATTGCACACATTTGGAGTAAAAAGCCAAAATAACACCATTTTTAAATAACCAGTCTTTGATGTATGAATTCTCCAATGTTGTCTCTTTTCTTCTCTGTTTTCGAGTGATTCTATTTTTCGCAACGGTAACAAAGGCTTCTCTCTTTGTTTTTTCAAAATCCGACAGCGAAAAGATCAGAGCTTTCTCTCCTTCTTCTTCTGACAATAACTATCAGACAGAGACAGAGACAAAGAACAAAGACAAAAACAAAAGACGGAGACTTTCGCTTCTTCTTTTGTTTTAAAAGTCGGCGGTGGATAGAAATGGAGAGAAGAAACGAATCGATGACGATAAGGAGATCGAAGTGGCAGTACCCACAAATGGGTTCTCCGACGCCGAGGATTCTTCAGTTGCCACGTAGGCACAGCGTTCGACGGAATGCAGCAAAGGGCTTGAAGACGACACCTTCTTCTTGTTCTTCCTCTCAGAATAATGATCGGAGAGTGAAACTGGAGGTTCTGTTTCATCAAGAGAGGACTTTTGACAGAGGGGACTCTGTTGTGATGTTGAATGATAATAATGGCGGTGAGAAGAAGGAGGAGGAGGAGGAAGAAGGAAGGAGAAGAGGGAAAGTTGCAGACGAGAGAGAGATTGGTGGGTTGTCTTCTTCTACTCCGGTTTATGAAGTTGATGAAGCTAAGTGGAGGTTTCAGGCGGAGATGTTGAGATCAGAGTGTAATTTGTTAAGGATAGAAAAAGAGATTGCTTTGAAGAAGATGGAGAGGAGGAAGAAGCGGATGGAGCGGACGCTGAGATCTGCTGTTCTTACTCTTCTCTCTGTAAGTCATATCTCATTTCGTTTAGTTTGTATTGTGTTTTGTGAGTAGTGTTTCTGACTTTTGAAGCTGTTCTATGCTGATTTAGGGGAGACAGAGAATCTCAGAAGGGACGAAAGAGAGCAAGGCTTTGGAAGATGAGATAAGCTATTTGGTTGAGAAACTGAATGAGTTAAAGTCTCCAAAAGTTAAGGACGTGGAAGCTAGAAACTGCAGACATAATTTTGATAAGAAGGCTTCTGTTTTAAGAAGAGAGCTAAAGAGGTTCGATGAAGGAGTTTCCGAAGAGGTTTGTGTCAAAGGGATTCAGAAAATGGCAGAAGCTAGCTTCTCGGTCCATTCTGATCAAAGCGTTCATAGGAACAACAATATTGGACATGTGAGTGTAACAATTTATTTTAAATGGGCTAAGTCTATTAAGCATGGTTTTGATTTTGATGCTTTTGCTATAGATAGATACATTGAGTAGTAAAATGGAGGCCTTGTCAAAAGGAGTTTTGCTGGAAAGAATGGAGAAAGAATATGGATCCAATTGCATTGATCGTCAAGATGCATCTGTACAAGACATGTATAATAAGGTATATTTGTGAAATCAAATTTTCTACTCTGTATATGAGCGAAAATGAAGTTTGTGAAGATGAATTATTAAGTTTTTTTTGCAGGCAATTAAAGCACATGAAGAAAAGAAAGACTGCTCTAGACACTGTAAAGCAGTTATGAGGAAGATTGCAGATGAAGTAAGAGCTGAAGCAGAGCAATGGTCACAAATGCAAGAGATGTTGAATCAAGTGAGAAAAGAAATGGAGGAACTTCAATCTTGTCGCGATTTCTGGCAAAACCGCGCTCTCGAATCAGATTCAAAGATACAAAATCTAAATTCCTCGGTAAGATAGAAAGAAATTACACAACTTAGATTACTTCTCAAATATAGCATAACTCGGTCGCTTAACAAACGTCGAAATCCTTGGTTGTAGGTTGAAGGATGGCGAAGAAAGGCGTCATCTTCAGAGGCAAAGTTGAAAAACCTGCAAGCAGAGGTTTGCGGATTACAAGAACAGATCAAGAGACTGAGGAAGGAAGATAAGTCTGAACCAGAGAAGAGCAAAATGCCATCAGAGTCAGAGAAGAGGGTACTGATTTGTCGGTTAAAAGAAAACCGACATAGCAACAATGGAGATTGGTCTAAGCACAGTGAAGGAAGAACAACAAAACCGTCTTGCTCAAGACCACCTTTAAGGGAAGTTAAGAACAATTCAGTCACAGTCACATCAAGGCATAGAAACTCCAATGTCATGAAAATGTAGCTTTTTATATCTTATAAAAATATCGGATTTTTCGGGTTTTACTTCCTCTGGTTAATAAAATTTTACGAATTGATTTCAAGTATTGATTTTTAAGTTTATGAATAAAACATACGGACAAGATTAGTCCCGAGTAAAACTCTAACGAACTCTCCCAAAAATGGCGCGCTTTGAAGCCCCAAAAAACAAAACAGGAAAAATAAAAAGGCAGAAACGCTAAGAATAACTCAAAACTTTTGAAGAATTCAAAACACAGAGAAATAATTTTGAGAAGATCTGATCTGATCTGAAAGAAAAATGAGCAGCGAAGAAGAGAAGACAGAGTGTGTGAAAGAAGAGAAGACAGTTTGTGTGACAGGAGCTTCAGGTTACATTGCCTCATGGATCGTTAAGCTTCTCCTTCTTCGGGGATACACCGTTAAAGCCTCTGTTCGCGATCCAAGTCCGTGTCTTTTCTCTATTCAAATCTCTTCCAAATTTATATATTGAAACCCGAAACAACTGATCTAATACAGTTTCTCTTAGGTTTAGATAAAAGGCTCATGTTTAAGTTTTTTTTTTTTTTTGGTAATGAATATAAAGAGCTGTTATAGATCTTGAAAATTTTGGATGATTCAAGATTCACAGATTCGTTTTCTCTGTATATTATGGTTCAATGGAACAGATGATCCAAGGAAAACAGAGCATTTGCTTGCATTGGAAGGCGCAGAGGAAAGGCTTAAATTATTCAAAGCAAACTTGTTAGAAGAAGGCTCTTTCGATTCAGCAATCGATGGTTGCGAAGGTGTTTTCCACACCGCATCGCCCTTCTATCACGACGTCAAGGACCCTCAGGTCTCCTTCTCTCATTTGGTGCATTCTCTTGTAATTGAATTTTCCAGTTTTTTAAAATTGATTTGTGTTTGGTTTTCGCAGGCTGAGTTACTTGATCCGGCAGTGAAAGGAACGATCAATGTTCTAAGCTCTTGTCTGAAGACTTCCTCTGTTAAGAGAGTCGTCTTAACTTCATCTATAGCAGCTGTTGCTTTCAATGGAATGCCTCGAACACCCGAAACCATAGTTGACGAATCTTGGTTCGCAGACCCTGAATATTGCAGAGCCTCCAAGGTAAATCAATATGAATTTCTGGTACCGTGATGTTGAAGTTATTACTCTGTTATTGCTGAATCACTATCTTTCTTTTTCCTTCTCAAAAGCTATGGTATGTACTTTCAAAGACATTAGCTGAAAACGCAGCTTGGAAATTCGCGGAAGAGAACGATTTACAGCTGGTTTCGATAAACCCAGCTATGGTGATTGGTCCTCTTTTACAACCAACCCTAAACACTAGTGCTGCTGCAGTACTAAGCTTGATCAAAGGTAAAGAAAAAAACAGAAGCATCGGTTTGATTCAGTAAACTTCAGACACTTGCTAGCTTGAACATTGGTTTTACATTTTTCAGGAGCACAAACGTTTCCTAATGCGACATTCGGGTGGGTTAACGTTAAAGATGTAGCGAACGCTCACATTCAAGCGTTCGAGAATCCAACTGCCAATGGAAGATACTGTTTAGTAGAGAGAGTTGCTCATTACTCTGAAGTTGTTAACATTTTGCAAGATCTTTACCCTGATTTTCTACTCCCTGAGAAGTAAGTGTTTCTTTTTTAATATCAGAAACAGAGCAAAACAGAGTTTCTTCTAATAGAAACTGTTAGCTCAAAGACAAGATCTTTGACAAAGAACCAATTGAAATTTGTTGTAGGTGTGCGGATGAAAAGATTTATATACCAACATATAAAGTATCTAAAGAGAAAGCAGAGTCTCTTGGGGTTGAGTTTGTGCCATTGGAGGTTAGCATCAAAGAGACCGTAGAGAGTTTGAGAGACAAAGGCTTCATCAGATTCTAAAGTTTCATCCTTCTCACCAAAAAAATTGGAACCAGAAACAGAACCAGACTTGGATATGTATATTTCTGAGTCCCATGTTTGATGTTTCTTTATTTTTGTCTGTGTTTATTTTTCCTTAAATCAAATTTGGAGTGTGTTGCCTACTTGCCTAAGATATTGTGAACATATTTTCATCATTTTGGACTGATGGAATTAAACTATTTTCTCATTGGAATTTGTATTTGCATGAAAATTCCTTTTTGAAGTGGTCACAATATAATATAGCCAATAGTCAAATTTATTACCTTTATCTTTTGCTTTTAGTTTTAGCAAAAATTATTAGGTCTACATAGATATCTATCATTTGTTTTTAGTAGTAGTTGACATTTTTCAGACATGTACCACTCACTGTATTTTTTGTTGTTGCCAATAATTCAATCAAATGGATATTTACACATGTTAGTATACTTTTTAGATAGAGCATTTTTATAACCTTTTTGTTAATCCAAATACTATACATTAAATTTCAAAAAAGACATATAACTTATTTAGATATATACATAATTGTTAACTTATACATTTCAAGTATATAAGATTATTGATTAGTATCAAGAATCTATTTATATTTGGATCTTTAGAGTTTAGAGTTTAGACATGCTTATCACCTCGATAAGATTTGGGTTCACTGGATTTTCGAACACGACTAAACAAGAATGTTCTTCCACAATTCACCTGGATGCCTAGCTACTTGAAATGGAATGCTGATGAGTACTGACGACACACTAAGTTCATCTATGTCAGACTCTACGACCAAACCGACGGTACAAAATGTTATTGATCACATAGCTAGGCTGAAAGATCTTTGTGTGGAAGATGTTTTAATAAGCATTCAGATAATAATATATTTTGGTAGTAAAATAATGACAAACATAGATTCATTGAGATACGAACTTGAGTTATGTTCTTAAACTTAGTAAAATAGACACAAACTTGAGTTTTGTTCCTTGAATACAAGAGAGAGTTAAACCAATCTATATATTGCTTTGTTTAGAATATATGATATTTTTTTCTAGTTAATTGAGATGCAAACTTAAGTTTTGATTTGATCAATGAAAGAAGAAGTTAGGAAGAAGTGTCATGGAGGTTTAAGTTTCTTTAATGTCAATCATCAAGTTTTGGCTCTCCCATCACAATTGAATAATAAGATTAGTCTTTTGGATAACAAGATAATTGATCTTATGGACACAAGACTGATCACTCTGGAAGATTATGTGAATGTGCATAAAGATCCTCAAGATTCTTAGGTTTTTTTGAGTGACAAGATTAAGAGGATGTAAGTTTTATTCAACCAATAATGAGATGGTTGTATGTTGCAATGTTTTAATGGAAAAGTCCAAAAATGATTCAGATGATCCAGTTGCTATCATCCTTTATCTCTGTTTCCTCTGACCATATTTGCTGCACATGTTCCCACACAAACCCTTCTCCTTCCTGCAATTTTTCAATATTAGTTCCAATCCTCAAGAAACAGAACCTACTCTTTATATACTTAATTGTGCATCATGTTTGTCTTAATCATCTCTCTTACCTTCGAGGTGAATTTGACAGTTGTTGTGCAGCATTTCCTCTCATCCCCTGCAATATTCACAACTCGAATATCAACGATTATGGAAGATACTATAATATGGGATGTGTGTGAGTGTAACATGTTAAGGTGCTTTTTTTTAACTACCAGTCTGCTCCCATTTATCAAGCTTTACTATCCAAGTCCCTGGCGTAGTGTCTGTTGCTAAGACCTGATCTGTCCAAACCCGAAACTTCTTCCCTTTTTTGTCTCCATAGTACTTGCCAAGCTCATCAATGGTGTCTCTGAGAGATCTTTCAGCACCAGATGGATGCACAAAGACACCAGCAGGGTGCTGAAGTGATTTGACAAAGGATAAATTACTCATCAAGTCCATGGATACAGTAAGATTTGCAGGTAAAGAGAGAAACAAGGTTATACTACTCACACAGGAAGCTTTGAGGCTTGCAGTATATGTCTCACAGTTCTCAACTTCACCTCGTCTCCATCTCTCGTAGAACAAGAAAAACTTAACAACCTCATGACCCGGGTTCAGATTATCCACCTTACACTCTAAGAAGTCAGAAACATCTCTAGGAGAAAGATTTGGACCGAGCTTAAAGTGACCAATGGCTTGTATAATCCCACCCGCACACCGCTCAGTCGCGTGGATTATGTTTGGATTGTCTTTCGCGTTTTCAGCATACCACTCCAACAACTCTTCTTGAGCATTGCTTACCTATGAAAACAAAGAGAGGGTTAAAAACATGTAAACTCAATTGCAATCAGAAGTATTAGACCGCGTAAAACCAACCAAGACACCATAAATATTGGGAATGGTAAATAGTTCAGTATCATTTCCAGAGTCTCCACAAGCAAGAGTGTTAATAGGGAGTTTTCCTTCAGTCTTGAGCTTCTTTAGCAGATAAGCAAGTGCTTGTCCCTTTCCTCCACCTTGCGGTAAAACATCGAAAGCGTTTCCTCCACTGAAAATTATTTTGATATCCAACTGAAAAACAACACAAAGAGAGTTGTGAAGCAACAAACAAAGATCACAAGAGATCATGCAAACAAAGTTCTGTAAGAGATAAAGGAAAGAAAAACCTATCTTACCCCACGTTTCTCCAACCTCTGAGATAGCTGTTTCGACACTGCCTGAACCTTACTCTTATCAATATGAAAGCTAAGCTTGTGTGGCCTCTGTTCAGTTTCACTCTGCATTTCAATGATCACACTCTAGTCATATAAAGTCTAATACTTTAAATACAAGTAACTTCAAGTATATGGTGAATCATATAGAGAACCTGAAGAGTTAACTCAGGGAACTTGCTAGTTTCTTCTTCGACGATTCCTCTGTCCCATTTGTTGTTCAAGATTTCAATCCAGTTATGATCAGGAACCATGGAGTTACCATAAGCAATCTCAGTTCCTACAGATGTAATGATAACATCAGGTGTTAACAAAGGTCTCTGTTTCCTCAGTTTCTTATACATTGTTGGTGCTCTTCCGGTTGAGAAAACAAGAAGAGAATCGTGGCGATAAGCGTCTTCCCACAATGAATTGAACCTCAAAAGAGATAGATTCTCAGGATCACTATGATGATCAACCTGCAAAATTCAAAACATCAATCAAAGATTCAAACTTTAGAGAAAAACAGAGTCGTTAATGGCGTTTTTACCATTGTTTCATCAAGATCTGAGACTATCATTAGACGAGGAGGAGATGTTAGCCGCTCCATGATTACAGTAAGAGTCCTGAAGATTGATAAGATCATAGAAAGCAAGAAACTTTAGAATCTAACGAAACGATTCCATAATACCTAAAGATCACAATAAAAGCTAAAACTTTGCCCTCAAATCTAACGAAGCGGTTCTTAAAACCTAAAACTTTGCCGATTTTTACAAATCTATAAGTAAAGGTTCTGACTTTACGGGCGATCTGAGATCGGGACAAACCTGAGGAACGCGAAAGAAGGATTTGGGTTTTGAGATGAATGAAATTGGACAGAAGAAAGAGTGATGAGAGAGTGCAAACGAAGCGAAGAGCGGGGGAAGAACAAGTCAACCTTTGCCCTCACATTATATTTAAATTTGTTTATTTTTGTTTCCACGAAATATTATTTGGTTTATGACTTATAATTATATGTGTTCTCTTTTTCCACGTTAACGTACTTATTTAATTAATAAAAATTATATTTCTTTAATATTTTTGGCAGGACTGGCCAAAAACATAACAAAATATGTTTTGGCCCAAATCTATACTATATAAAAGAAATTTGCTAAGAAGATTAGAACATACTAGAAGTTTAATTAACAATCAAGTAATGCTGACATAAACCACTGCATTAGAAGAAACCATCATGATTTTGATGTCTTAATTCCCTTACTTGTTGCACTTATATGCGTATAGTGAATAGTGATTTGTTTATTTACAGGGTTAGCCAAAAAAATAAAAAGATATATAGTCTAGGTTGGGATTGTAATGTTTAGTTTCCCATTTTAATTTGGAATTGTCATGTTATATTGTTAAATAATTCTCTATTTGTTCCTAATATACGGATGATGTTTAGGATTTTTCACCTTTTTATTATATTAAACACTTAACTAATAGTAATCAAATATAGTATGTAATTATTTTCTAATTGTGCATCTTAAATTTCACGATTTATTAATATTAGTCAATAAATATAAATATTATGAAAAAGGTGGAAAATAATTTTTGTGGAACAAAGTAAAAGGGTTAGAGCATCAATCTTTTAGGAAGAGAACTAGTAGAAATAAGGATTATAATTATGTGTGTGTTGGTTTTGACAATTCGAGCCATGATCATAACATATGCTAAAACACATAGTCGTAGACAATATTGCATCTTTATTTTAAGAGATCGAATCAAAGAAGAAAAAATAAAAAAAGGGTACAAAATAGTTATAAATCGGTAAAAAAAAATGTGAGAGGAATTAAATATAGAGTCGATACATATCGATTGCAAAGCCATCTAGTTACTTGTAGTTTTGTTTTAAAGATTAGAGTTATTTCAAAGTTGTGGGAGCATCACTATGAGTATGAGAAGACAATTCTCTAAGTTTTACAAGTGGGAATGTGTCCTTGAGTAAAAATCATGCAACCAACAAAAGAGGGTTGTATGAAATCAAAGATCATGCTCTTCCAACGAAGTTTCGACCCTCGTCAAATTTGGATGTTCTTTTCAAGATCTATAGGCTAGTTTACTTCTGGATTGCTTGAGTTATTTACATCAGGTTACATAGGAAACTAGGGGACTCGAAGTTGAAGCTGAAATGATTCATGTCTAAGTGAGGTAATGGAACTAGAAAAAATATTCGGACAAGTCACTACAATCCACGAGACATCCTTTTAGATTACTACACATGAATTAATATGAACCGAGTTTTCTGACTGTTCCTAGCTAGACTACTATTAAAGAAGTAAAAAAAAGTTATGATAATTTGACTATCATTGCATATAGCAAGTTAGCACTAGTAACTATTGTACTAATATTCCCATCCACGATCCCTAAAATAAATTTTTGTACCTTGAGAAAAAGAAAAACCATTACATTCTCAAACTCATCATTGTGATGTACCACTAGGCACTATCTATTTAAAGCTTAAAAATCCCAACCACAAAAGTTATTTTTTTTTCCGTCTTAGTAGAATCACTTGAAATGGAAGTATCTTAATTCTCAAAACAAAATGAACTTCTTTGGGTTCTTGAGTGGATCTATTCACATATTTTCATACACGTGTTAAACGATGTGTGGTCATATTGTACAATACTGAATTTAGAGCTCTCCATTAAAGGAGAAGAAAGAAACCTCCATTAGTTGCACGTCTTTCTCTTCCTCACCGACTCCATTAAATACACAACAATAAGGAGAGACACTCATACCAAATTCCTCATCAGTCTTTGTAACCCAACCAAATTATAATCATCCACCAAAAAAAAATTACAAGAGCAAATTTAATTCAAACTCATATACATATAAATATATACTCTCCTATATGCTCTCTAGTAGTTGTAACTCTCCAACCACCAATTCTAAATGGCTTCTCCATCATCATCATCATCATCAATAGTTCTTAGGAACCCAAGATTCTTCGTTTCTTCTCCTCACAACATCTTCAAAACCCAAGCTCATACCGTAATCTTGAAAACAAAGTTCAAGACAGCTTCCATCATTTGCTCGTCTTCATGTACAAGCACAAGCTCTTCAACGACTCAAGAGAAGCTACCAAAGAAGCAAACCCATGTGCTAGACGACAAACTAGAAGAAAAGGAAGAAGAAGAAGAAGAGGAAGAAGAAGAAGGGGAAGAAGTTGGTCTTCGAGATATTTGGAGAGAAGTTGAAGGTTGCAATAATTGGGAAGGACTACTAGATCCAATGAACAATCATCTTCGAAGAGAGATCATACGTTATGGCGAATTTGCTCAAGCTTGCTATGACTCCTTCGACTTCGATCCTCACTCTAAATATTGTGGCTCTTGCAAATACCATCCTTCTGATTTCTTCTCAAACCTTGACTTACATCTCCACAAAGGCTACACTATAACACGTTACCTCTACGCAACATCCAACATCAACCTCCCAAACTTCTTCCAGAAATCAAAACTCAGCTCCATTTGGAGCCAACACGCGAACTGGATGGGTTATGTTGCTGTAGCTACGGACGAAGAAGAGGTGAGACGACTTGGGAGACGTGATATAGTCATCGCTTGGAGAGGCACAGTCACTTATCTCGAATGGATTTATGACTTAAAAGATATTCTTTGTTCAGCTAACTTCGGTGACGACCCATTGATCAAGATTGAACTAGGTTTTCATGACTTGTACACCAAGAAAGAATATTCTTGCAAATTCTCTTCATTTTCGGCTCGGGAACAGGTTCTGGCCGAAGTCAAACGGCTTCTTGAGTATTACGGTACCGGAGAAGAAGGCAATGAGATAAGCATCACCGTGACAGGGCACAGCCTTGGTGCATCTCTTGCTTTGGTCAGTGCTTATGATATAGCAGAGCTTAAATTGAATCACTTACCGGAGAACAATTATAAAGTTCCAATTACTGTATTCTCTTTCTCGGGACCACGAGTAGGTAACTTGAGGTTCAAGGAAAGATGTGATGAACTAGGGGTTAAAGTTTTGAGAGTGATTAATGTGCACGACAAGGTACCTTATGTTCCAGGTATATTCGCAAACGAGAAATTTCAGTTTCAGAAGTATGTAGAAGAAAAAACATCATTCCCATGGAGCTACGCGCACGTAGGCGTCGAGCTTGCCTTGGATCACAAGAAAAGCCCGTTTCTGAAACAGACTAAGGATTTGGGTTGTGCTCATAACCTAGAGGCTTTGCTTCATTTGGTGGATGGATATCATGGAAAAAAAGAAGCAGAGACTATGTTTTGTTCGGCGACAAAGAGAGATATAGCTTTAGTGAATAAGAGTTGTGATTTCTTGAGAAGTGAGTACCACGTGCCGCCTTGTTGGAGACAAGACGAGAACAAAGGGATGGTCAAGAGCAGCGACGGACGGTGGATTGTACAGGACCGACCACAGCTCGAGCCTCACAGGCCAGAGGATATCGCTCATCATCTTCAAGAAGTTCTTGGGAAGTTTAATGAATATGATTTTAAACCCAAAATGACTTAAGTCTAAATCAAAATAATTAAATAAAAAGACTTAATAATATGTGGGTCAAGTGTAGTAAATTGTGTGTGTTTAGTGTTTGGCTACGGCTTTAATGAATTCTCTGTCATTTAAAAAATATGATTATTAGCTTGAATATATGGTTTAGAAGGGAACCAATTTCATACATTATATGTTATGTATGCCACATTACATGTTATGTATGCCACATTACATGTTATGTATGCCACATTACAAGTTTAATTATGGGGTTAGGAGTTAACCCGCAAATCGTACATATAATGTGGAAGAGAAGTGGACCACAAGAAAGTGCATGCTTAGAGGGGTTATCGAGTGGCTGGATCACCCAACAAACAAAATAATAATGATGAATCTCTGTTTTTCCTCACAGAGGACATAACAAAGACGAAAAAACAACGATGTGCGCACGATAGAAATTGAGGGATTCAGAATTGTCATCATGCGTTATGCGTACACAAACCTGAGAGAGAGATCCCCTAAAATTTATAGGTAGCTACTATACCTAGATTTGATTTTTAAGCCTTCTTCTTTCTATTGCAATTTTGAGAACGCATTAGAAATATGTAAGACAAAGATAGTTTTTTCGAGCCATAAAGCTTTCATGTAATGATCACATATATATAATATAAGCCACTAAAGTCCCCGTGGGTCTGATCAGCACATAAGAAATCATGGCAATGGCATCACACAAGTGATACAAATCTGACTTTCCCTTAGATATATCATGTATGAAGAATAATACATGTGTAACCAAATTGTAGATGTGTAGCAAGCAATTGTTAAATGATACTCCTTCTGTTTCACATACTACTATGTTTTAAGATTTTTTTTGTTGTTTCTCAAAGATTGATGTTGTAGATTAAAAAATTAAAACTATATCTTCACTTTATGTTTTTCAACACATGGCAGTTATCTAGTGGTTTATATTTTCATTTTCTACCAAAAAGTAATTATAAATTAATTCATAAATAAATACTTAACTTTATCTTAATATGTTTGAAAAACCCAAAACATCAATATTTTTGAAATGGAGGGAGTATATAATTGGATAACAAGCGCCAAATAAATTTGGTACAAATTAGTTGTGTAAAGGTTGTTTTATATACTTTTACAAGTTTACACATAGATATTTACCTGATTTTTAGTGGTATTTTTAATAAACTTTTTAAAAATAGATGTTTTTGAAAAGTAGTTTTTGAGAAAATATATTTTTAAAATTATCCAAACCGAGATTTTAAAAAGAAAAAAAAACATCTCGTCATGAGTGGGCGTAGTTGATTAAACAAAATTGGGCCTAGAAAAAGGAAAAGAAAACCGTAAAAAGATCTCATCTGGATTTGGTTTTGATAAACCGCCGTGAAAGAAGAAAGAAACGATTGCGACTTTCAAAAAATAATAAACGGTTCCTGAAACGTTTTCAATCGACTTTTCCGATTCCGATTCCGATTCAGTTTCCGAAGCTTCATCGGAATATAGAGATTTGCTGACTGTAATCCGCGTGTTCAGATTCAGATTGCCTGTGGATTTTAATATCCTTTTCATTTTTTGTTCTTAAAAGGAAAAAAATGGAAACTTTGGTTTTTGTAAAAAAGGAAAGTCCTTTCTAGTATATAGATAGGTCTTTGCGGCGATCTAATTTGCCACTATTCAGTCTTCTCCGAATCAGATTTTAGGGTTTCTTCAGGAGCAGTCATGAAACGCAAGGACGCTACTGAGATTAACATGTTGTGCCGCAGCTCAAGTAATAAAGATCTGATTCATCTTGACAAGAAATCCCATTTCTGAAACAGACTAAGAAAGCCCATTTCTGAAACTGACTAAGGATTTGGGTTATGGACACAAGTGACACAACCTAGAAGCTTTGCTTCGTTTTAAATTTGGTGGATGGATATCATGGAAACAAAAAGCGGAGACTCTGGCCCTGATTGGTTGTATTGGAAATTTTAAAAAATCTTTTCAATTATATTTTCTTTTACCTTGGGATATTTGGTTTTTAATTCCAAATGTGTGGGGGTTACCACTCGTTTAGTTGGGCATTCCTTTGCTTTGTGCCCTCTGCTTTGGCATCTATAACAAGTCACTTCAAATACATTCAAAGTGAGAGAGGATTTACTTTGATTCAGTTTGCCTTGTGGTATAAACAATGGCTCATTAGTTGCCTTGTGAGCAAAGGATTTGGCTTCTTGATGTATCCTCGTGGCTGGTGCAACATCTTTCGACTTGTTGGGCTTCTTTGATGGGTGTGATGATACTCTTTTTTGACCTGGACAACAAAAAACCTTTGGCTTTGGATTGGTATGGATTCTTATTTGTTCTCAAAGCTCATCGCCAACCTTCTTCACGTACTCCCCATACATGAGCTGCTTCATCTCATGGTTGGTAAGAATTCTCCATTTCGGTTCGGTATGGTTGGTTTAAGACTTGAACCAGCAGGTCTGGTTTTCTCTTGGTCCGTTCTTGTTACTGATGTTATATCATCCCCTCCTTCTTCAAGTGCTTTCGTGCTCAAAATTGTACAAACTGCACAAAGAAAAACACTTTAGTGTTCATTTGATTTTGAGAACTTAAATCCTCTGTATTGATCATGTGCATTAATTCTTGTTGTGGAGTCCTTGACTTCTTCTCGGCTTTGGGCTTGGTTTCTTAAGTCTGGCGGTTCTTCTTTGAATTAATGGGAACGAGTTTCGGGACTCCTGTAGTCTTCAAGATAGATGGCATGATCACCATTTATTTTGGTTCACTCCTGTTTTGAATTTGGTTTATGAGTTTCGTTTTTTCTGGTGAATCGCCTTTATTATTAGGGCATCATTAACAGCATATCTGTTTGGTTCTTATCTCTTTAAAAAAACCAAAAAGTAATAATACAATGTTTTCATAAGAAGTAATCGGATGTTGCATAAGAAGCTTTTGACAAGGTGCTTAACACATGTGGCATATAGTGATTGGCTCTGAATTTTTGTAAATAAATAATGTTTTATTTTAACTTAACTTTTATATTATTAAATTACCTTATTATTTTTAAGCATCATCTTGGCAGATATGCCTTTAATGATGGTCTTAGTGTAATCCTTCTTGGTACCTGAAATTGTATCAATATTTTGGGGAAGAAAAAAGTGTGTTCTCACAGTCATAAAATCACAAAAATCAGGTAAACGTGTTTCAGTTTAAACCAATTCATTAGGTTTCTCTATTACTTGCGTCTTAAGTCAATCATTATGTAGCTTTGGTTCCTCATTTAAGGGTAAACTTTTCTTACTAATACCTGGACATAACAAATCAGTTCACACATTCTTATATTCATCATACAAATATTTGATAAAAAGATAACATACCTGGTCCGGTTTGTACGGCGAATAGGTTATAGGCTTTCCATGTTTAACAAAGCATGATGACTCGAGGTTGTATCTAGTGGTTCTCTTTGTAACCAGAAGCTATGCATGATGATTTTATCCTCCTTAGGGATAGATTTTTACTTTAATTTAAGAGCTCTTGGTCACTACAGCTTCGTGATTTTTCCACTTGGTTCGCAATTACATTCCTATTTAATGTAGTTTTTCTTCGGTCATTGTTCACGTCTAGGGTACCTATGCTTTTCTCAAAACTTAAGAAAAACATCAAGTTGCGGTCCGGATAGGTCATTGTGGACAATCTTCTATTTGGTCTGTTGGTTTATGGTTCTTTATGAACTTTTAGTCTTCTTAGGGCTTAATTTATGATGAATAATCAATCCTACGCCATTTGCCTGATCAGAATTCCATTTGGGCAAGAATTCTCCATTTTGGTTTGGAATGGTTGGTTTGAGGCTCAAACCGGCTGGTCTGGTTTGATCTTGGTCATAGATGGTTACTGATATTATATCAACTCCCCTATGAAGCCGTAACCACATCAGCTGCCATGACGACCGGACCACAACAATAAGAAACTTAGTGGCTAGACAAGTTTAACAAGAAGTTAGTGGGGCTAGGCTTTGTCGTTTCGTACGAAAAAAGGAACTTAAGAGTTTAAGAAAAAACAAAAGTAATAACACTTCTATAATATACTTACGAAAACAGACACGCAACATGCAATACAAAATAATGTGTTAAAACGTTCAAATCCCAAATCTAATTTTTTTTTAAACACACAAGGAAGGCTAGATACAAACACAAGCTTTTAATTTGTTACTTAGAGAATGCAAGAGAGAGTGGTGACAAAAATAGCTAATGGCATCGTTTGAGCATTTTTTTTTTATCATTAACTGTTTAGATATATCATCAGTAATCTCTTCTTTGGAAATGAAAAAAAAAACTTTGTAACCCCTCTTCACTAGAACAACAGCTTAGCGAGAATAATCCCTCCTCTAATTGCAACCGACTTATTAGAGCATTTCAGAATTCAAGTCAACCCAACAAGACAATTACCATCACAAACTTCTATTCCTTTCTTGAAAAGAAATATTTAACAATTCCACCAAATATAATAAAATATCTCTTTAAATCTCTCACAATCTCATATTTCCTAAATCCCAAAATATCCTCCAAAAACGTTTATTAAATCTCTTATAACAAGGTCACACAAATAAATTTTAAGAAGGAAATCAGAGGTACTTTTGGTTAGGTATTGGTATACGACTTGACCTTCTAACAAGCAGGCCAAGATCTTCCTGAATCTCTTTCTTATTATGCTCATCTTCCTCATTTCGATTTTCTTTCATGCTCTTACCCTTCTCTTTTTTTTTTCCCTTCTTTATAGCTTCCTCTTTTTCTCCCTTGCTCTTCTGTTGGATGACGTCGTAACTTTTGTGATCAAGAGCCTTATCGAAGTTCTCTGTGTACACATTGTGCACACTTGGCTAAACTCGTCTCTACGCTTTGTAAATTCTTCAACTTTTTGCTGCAATCGGTTCAACACAATCGGCAATACATGTGCTGTATTTTTCTTAACTATCTCTATGACCAGAGGTCCCTGGTTATCATAGATCCTCTCGATTGTTCGTATGTCTTGAACTGCATACAAAAACATAACATGTTAAATGAGTACATAAAATGGAATGGAATCATCCATTGTTTAAGTTTGTGGGATTACCTATGAAATCATCCTCCATAGATATGGGGCTGTTATGCACAATGGCGGATCCAGAAAACTATTTCGACTGGGGCACAAATTAGATATAGCTAATAATTTTTTTTGTTAAATATAATAATTTTATAATTTTTTTTGTTAGATATAATAATTTTATAAATAGTATTGAATCAAGATTTATATTTTAAAATAATGATAAATTTTATTATGCATTTTAATATACTTTGAAATCTATACTATTAAAAGGGAAGCATTTTGTATAAGTCAATCATAGTTTATACAATCAAAAAAGTAAAACAAAACCAATCTATTTTTAAGAAAACTACATAACCAAAATAATAGAAACAAATTTAGCTAAATTATAGCAAACAATTTTAGAAAACTCATAAAATTAAATGAACCTTCATCCACGAAATTTTGGGTTTAATAAATAATATAATCACTCTTAAAAATACATTCCTAATATATAGCAAACAATTTATTCATTAGTTTATATTCATCAAATCACGATTAATTTTGTTTCCTAAACCAAAAAATCATACCTAACAATTTCGAAATTCAAAAATATAATAAAATTAATAACTAAATTTAAACAATTTATTTATTACTTCGAATCCCTAAATTATAGAAACAATTATATAAAATAAATAAACTCATAGAATTAAATGAACCAGCATCGATGGAAATTTTAGTGTTATGCTAAAATATAGCAAACAATTTGTTCATTACTTCAAATCCCTTAATTATAGAAACAATTATATAAATAAATTAAACTCATAAAATTTAATTAGTAGATTAAAAATGAAAATTTTAGAATGTGATTAAATAATATAATCACTCTTAAAAATAAATTCCTAATATGTAGCAAACAATTTATTCATTAGTTTAGATTCATATTAATTTTGTTTCCTAAACCAAAAAAATCATACCGAAAAATTTAGAAATTCAAAACTATAATAAACATTAATAGCTAAATTTAAACAGTTTATGAATTACTTCGAATCCCTAAATTATAGAAACAATTATATATAAAAATAAACTCATAAAATTAAATGAACCAGCATCGATGGAAATTTTAGTGTTATGCTAAAATATAGCAAACATTTTGTTCATTACTTCAAATCCCTTAATTATAGAAACAATTATATAAATAAATTAAAATCATAAAATTTAATAAGTCATCATCAACGAAAATTTTGCTAGAGATGATTAAATAATATAATCACTCATAAAATTACATTCCTAATATATAGCAAACAATTTATTCATTAGTTTTGATTCATCAAATCACGATTAATTTTGTTTCCTAAACCCAAAAATCATACCTAACAATTTCAAAACTATATCAAACATTAACAACTAAATATATGAAAATAAAAAATACCAAGAATATTCTAAATTCTATTAGTATTAATATAAATAAGAGAAGAATCCATCGATGGTGTATAATCCTCCCAAAAGATTATTAGCGATAAACACATTTTTTCTATCAAAAAAATGGCAGAAACTAATGACAACCAATGTGGTATTCAAAGAAGTGTTCAAGAACCTTTAAATTATAATTTTTCATTTTTTCTTTTCATTTCCTGCAAGTATGACTTCGGTTACATTTCTTTCAATACCATCTTCAAGACTTTCTCATTATAAACTTTGGTTTTCCAATTCAACAATTTCTATTATACTACTCCAGTTAACAAATGCAATCATTAATCCTTCAACTAAATGAAATAAAAAAATTATAAAAAGCCAAATCACATTACATTATTTAAGAAAACTAAACCAGCAAACTATGCTTTGAAAATACACCCGCACGTACGTGCGGGTCATCATCTAGTTTGATATAAAAAAGATGAACCAAATATTTTGAAAGAAAATTTTCCATTGTTTTATAATTATATATAGTCACATATATTAGATGAAAATCAATTTATTAATGAAAAAAATACAAAGCCGCATCTAAAATTCACTATATAATATAATTATATAAATATGTAATTTTAATTATCTAAACATATCACAAAAATGTTAACTCTAAAAATAATAAGTTAAAAAGATATAATGTTTCATGTTACTAGTTTACTAACATTTTTCAATTAATATATTTACTGACATTTTTCAATTAATATATTGCAATAAAAAAATAGTAGTTAAATTTGTTAAAAGTTAAACTGAAAAAAGAAAAAGAAAACATAATTAAAAGCAGAGTAAAAAATAACAAAAGGAAGCTCTTCTCCATTGTAGTGGTAGTTGTTCTTGTCCTTCGTGTCGCCTTTGATTCAATAAACGGAAGCTCTTCTTCATGTCTAGGAGAAACACCTTCCTATACAGATTCTTCTTCGTCCTCGACATCATCTCTGTTTTGCTCTGCTTCTCCATCATTCTCTAAGTCTCCAGATTCCTCAAGCTTAATTTAAAAGCTCCTGCATCACCACTTGTTTCTTTCCCTAGATTGTTCTACTTCCAGCTCTTGTTTTCATCAAAAATAACATCTCTACTAACCATTGTCTTCCAATTTGTACGATCCAATAGTGGATAAGCTTTCTACCCCGGTTCCATTCAAGGTGTACAAACATCCACTATCATCTAATTTTTTCAGATGTTGATTCTCAGTTTTTGCATATACTCGAAAACACGTAGAAGATCTAGACTCGGTTTTTTGGATATAGAGTTTGCATTACTAAAACTCTTGTTGCAACTCTACTGATGAGGTATGTAGCATGTCTTACCGTTTCCCCTAAATATAATCTGGTACCTTCATGTGTTTCATAACACTCCTCGGCATCCTAAGTAGCGTTCTGTTTCGTCGCTCAACTACTCTGTTTTGCTGGGGAGTATATGGTGCGGTTAGGTGCCTTGTGATGTCGAAATTAGCACAAAAGACGTGAATTCTCCTCCTTTGTCCGCTCGAAACGTCTTGATATAGGCTCTCGTTTCTTGGTCAACCAGTTTCTTGAAATTCTTGAATTTCTCAAATGCACCACCATTATATTTTAGAAATAGTGACCGCATGTAGCGAGAGTGATCATCGATTAAAAAAAAAGATGTACATGTTTCTTGAAGCCGTGGACTACATAATAGATCCACAAAGGTCTTCATGTATAAGCTCAAGTAGTTTGGAGGAACGATATGAAGTAGCTTGAGGAAAAATTTGTCTTGTTTGCTTTCCAAGTAAGCATGAAGCACATGTTTCCTTTTCAATGGGTATGTTTGGTCTACAGGTAACGAGCTCCTTCTTTATCATTATCCATGCGTCTCTAAGCCAATGTGTCCTAAGTCCTAACCGTGCATGTCATCTCGTGGAATCAATAAGCATTATTACTTGTAAACATCGAGTAGTCTCAACAACCTCCATGACAACTTTAAAGTCGATTCTTGGATTGAATAGCTCGTACTAACAAAATTTTAAGCGATTATATAATGTTAGATAATCATCCATCATCCTAACATCACATCCGTATTTTGTAGCTTTCCCAAGACTTATGATATACTCTTCAATTCGGGTAAAAATAGACGTCCACTAAATTATATCATACATATATATTACACGCAAGAGAAAGAAACCGATCTAAACACATTTATCATATGGCATGATTAAGTTATAATAAGAATGATTTACCAAATGACTTAGGTTGTATAGTAGTGTATTTATATTCATTATTTTGTATGGTAGCGTTTGATTTATTATCGAGAAATTCTCTTAAATTTTAGTTTTTCTTTCAAAAATACCAAAATTTGTTTTTATTTCTATAAATAACATAAAAGTTCTATTTTTCCAAAAAATATCATAAACATAAAAAAATAGTTTAATAGAAATCCATTGTTATAAAAATAGTTTGTAGATTTGATTTTTAATGATTTTGAAATATTTAAGAGGATTTAAGAGAAGTATTTGAGCGGATTTTACCTTAAAATCCAGTGTTATGAAAAATAGTTTGTAGATTTGATTTTTAATGATTTTGAAGTATTCGAGAGAATTTAGTTAAAAATGTAGAAATTCAAATCTCGTTTGAAAAAGATTTTACAAATATTATATGCACTTATGTTAAATCATCAAAATCATAATTTTTAAAAAAAATTCAAATTACTTTAAATTCTAGTTTGAATAAGTGTCATCAAATTTACTTGTATTTGATCTATTATCTGACTTAAAATAAATAAAGAAATTCATTTTTTTTGTTTTACATGAAGAAATTCATTGTTATAATAAGGGAGCAAAATGGAAATAGGTTTAAATACGTCAAATCTGCTGCGAGTCCTACAAATCTGCGTTGGCTTCAGAAGAAACTATTGTCCCGATGGAGTCTCTTCAATCAAATCCCAAAGGCGAACAAGTTGCTGTTTCAATTTCTCTTCCCGACGAACCCACCGGAGCCGCTCTTCTTTTTCCATCTCAACAGGTTGATTCACCGCCACCTGAATCATCCGCCCCAGTCGAAGAACCAATCCATACTGATTTACAAGCACAAGTCTCAATTTCGCTTCCCGAAGAACCTACCGGAACCACTCTTCTTCCCTCTGAGCTGAATCATTCAGCGCCGTTGGAATCGTCCGCTGTAGTCGAGGAATCAATCAACACTGAATTGGTGAACGCAGATGTAGTAGCTATGGATGTTGTTGATCCACCCGGATCCGATTTGAAAATTGAATCCGATTCCTTCTCTGAAGAAGCTCCTACTGCTTCTTCCGATGATAACCCTAAATCTCCGAAACCGGAATCTGTGGCTGACCAGAACGGTAGTGCGATGGAGGAAGACGAAGGAGATGACGAGGAAGATGATCCACCGCATAAGAAGCAGAAGCAGTTAGATTCTATTACTTCAGTTGCTGTTAAGGAAGAGGAAGAGCCAGAGCAAGTGCAGCCATCGGAAGCAATGGTTGTGGAGGAAGCTGCGGGAACTCTGGTTGTGGCTAAGAAATCGAAATCCAAGAAGAAGAACAACAATGTTTGGGTGACGAAGAGTACACGGAAAGGAAAGAAGAAGACCAAAGCCAACACGCCCAGTTCAGCAGCTGTAGAAGATAAAGTACTGATCACTCCGGTTCCAAGGTTTCCCGATAAGGGAGACGATACGCCTGACTTGGAAATTTGCCTTTCTAAAGTTTACAAAGCTGAGAAAGTCGAGATTAGTGAGGATAGACTTACTGCAGGAAGTAGTAAAGGTTATAGAATGGTGAGAGCTACTAGAGGAGTTGTCGAAGGAGCTTGGTACTTTGAGATTAAAGTTTTGAATTTGGGTGAGACTGGTCATACACGACTCGGGTGGTCGACTGATAAAGGGGATTTGCAGGCTCCGGTTGGGTACGATGGGAATAGTTTTGGGTTTAGGGACATTGATGGGTGTAAGATACACAAGGCTTTAAGGGAGAAGTATGCTGAAGAAGGCTATAAGGAAGGTGATGTTATTGGATTCTACATAAATCTGCCTGATGGCGAATCCTTCGCTCCGAAGCCTCCCCATTATGTGTGGTATAAAGGGCAGAGATATATTTGTGCACCTGATGCTAAAGAGGAGCCTCCTAAAGTTGTACCAGGTATGCTCTACGTTACCTGTTCTTTCATGTTAGTGTTCCTGGGCTTTTAGTTAGTCACATATGTTTAAAGTGGAGTCAAAATGTTTATGAATCCTGTTGCTTGTGATGTTATCTTGATTTGGTAGATTGTAGATATATGGTTAACCTTCTTATAGATAATGAGGATTCTTCATCAAGATTCACATGGCTAAATGCCTTAATGTCGTATTTGCTACCCTCCACTTCTATGATGTAGATGGTTTCTGTGCAGTTCTGGAAGTTGATAATCAAACTATTGTCAATGAATGCCTTCTTATGCAGGTAGTGAAATATCGTTCTTCAAAAATGGTGTATGTCAGGGAGTTGCCTTCAAAGATTTTTTTGGCGGTCGTTACTACCCTGCTGCCTCGATGTACACTCTCCCTGACCAGTCAAATTGTCTTGTGAAGTTCAATTTTGGACCTGATTTTGAGTTTTTCCCTGAGGATTTTGAAGGGCGTGCAACCCCGAGGCCAATGAGGGAGGTTCCATATCATGGATTTAATGGTAGACTTGAAAATAATGGTTCTGATGATATGAAGAGTTAGACAAAACTGGCAGGCGTATTCTTGACAATTTAACACAGTTTTGCCAGAACTAGTTACTGGTTCAGATTTGGTTGAGTGTAGTTGTTACAGTCATAGGGTAGCAGATGAACAATGAGTTCTGTACATGTCTACTCTGAAAAAATCAGGATGGCTTTTCTGATCTCAGAACTGGATTTCTTCTTACTGGATTAGCCATATTTGTTAACGCTATTGATTGTTTGTTTTCCCTTACTATGTAACTTTTCTGGAAGCCGATATTTAATTTTTTCCCAAATTAACCATTTTTGCTTGGTACTACACTTTTAAAGTTTGAAGCATCTTGTCGATTTGTTATCTATCTTTTCAATTTTTCTTCAACAGACGCTTTTGGGAGGTACTTTTGTTAGATTTGTGATTCTATTCCCTGTCAACTTTACTCCAGAAGAGGAGATTTCTTCATGGGCATTAGTGATCGAAATAAATTAGACCTGCATAGCGCAAGGCTCTAGCATATCTGAATCTGAAAGTCAAATATGCCTGGTGGAAAGTTTTCCTCTTGTTCTAGTGCTGTACAGATTTTAGGATTTGTTTCTGCTAGCTGATGCTATCAAGGAAGAACCACGGTTCATTCTACTGTCAGGTTACTAATTTGCATACATCACCTGTTTATTTAAAGCTTTATTAACAAAGGAAGTATCTTATTTGATTTCTTATTCTCTATGGTTGCTGATATACTCTCTCTAAGTGTATATCATGAAGGTCGTATCAGTTTCATGCATGCATCGCTTGTAATATGAGGGTGTAGCCATTATTATCTCTTTAGTAGATCAGCTTTTTTTGGGAAATTTATGTATCTCTGATGGATTCTATGCTAAACAAATCTCATTAGTCAGATACTCAGAATGATATTTATCTCTTTTTTTTCCTTACATAACAGGCTACCAACAGTTTACCAAGTTTGAAGAGAGTATCATCTTACATATTGAAATATATGGACCTCTGGCATAAAGATAGCGAGCAGTATATCTATCTTCCACTTATGGATATTGTATCCTGCTGTATATGCTTCTAATGCAGTGGAGAGTTAAGTCCTTCTTGAGAAGAGAGTGCATGGTGAACGTGGTATCGCTTGGAAGGGAATGGGGTCATTCTCCTGAAAGAAGGCCTTTTTCGGATGTGGCTCAGAGTTCTCTTTGTGTATAACATGTGAATTATTGGGAAAACCTTCTCCCTAAACTTGAGGATAGCGAAAAACAAAATCCTATACCCAATGAGAATCATCATCACAACAGCTAGATCCAACCACTTTGAACTTGCTGGATTTACGCCTAGAACAGTTTGAAGAATGAGCTCCCCTTTCATCTTTGGTACCAATGGTAATGGAGAATCATACTCAACCCCGATCATCTCATTCTTGAATGCTCCCTGCAATTTATCAGGTGTGCACATTTAAGATATGCATTTGCCAATATAGTCTGCATCTAAAGCTGAGTAAACCTGGTTACCTGTAGTGCCCATGCACCGTAGTTTATGTAGGACACCGGGTATCGCCAGAACACCACAGGTAAGTCAGGGAAGAATCGGAAGAACCCCGCACTTAACACCATAATTCCCTGTGAGATGAAGAATAAAGTGGTTTTCAGTTTATAATAGTCTTTGGAGATATATATAAGAAAGCTGTTAGGTGAGAGAAAGACAGGCTATTCTTACAATGTAACCAGCTCCCAACATGACTCCCATCAAGAAGTTAGGAACTACTGAAGCTATCATCATCATGCAACTCTCCACAGTTGTGATTGCAAAGATGAGGTCAAGACAGTTGTAGAAAAAATGAGAACCTCCGGATTGGAACTTCACCATATAGATAGTGATTGAGCTGGTGGAGAGGCACATAAGGATTATGAAAGGTAATGAGGAGAGTAAATTAGACACAGTATATACTGCAACCCCATAGTATCCATTGAGCCTTTCTCGAGTAAACACCTGGTTTTGGGAAAAAAGATGCCAAACGTCAGATAAGTTTTAAGGTGAAGAAAGAAAATTTTCTTTGCTTATCTATTCACCTTCATTTCTTCAATGAAGGATTGGAAACCTCCTATTGACATGAATGTCATAAAGCCTGCCATAAATCCGCCACAAGCTGCAGTATTCATGACATTTGTGTGGTTTCTCCCGACGTTGAAAAATATTGACCCGACACAAATGGATAACACAATGTACACTGCGATCCGCATCCAGTAGTATCCCAAGTCTCTACACATGTTGATGAAAGATCGCCGAGTAAGTATCCTGAGTTGTTTCCACCAGTTTGTTTGACTCCCACTTTTCCTTTCAGTGACAATCCCCTCCTATTGCATCAGGTTTAAATTTTCTTTTGAGACTCTCATTGTATGATACATTGTAGTTTTGAGAGAAATAATAACCATAACTTACTAGTAATGCTATTCCTTGAATTCTTGCTCTTGAAGCTGCTGCATATTCTGAACACTTGAATTTTCTGACAAGTGTTGTTCTAATTTCTGCTGCTGGTGTATCATCCAGTGGATCTAATGTGTTTGTGGTTTCATGTAGTTGGCAAAGAGAGAAAGAAGAAATCTGCAGATAATCAAACGGTCTAGTTCAAGATTTTTGAGTCTATTGGTCAACTCATGGAAACAAAAAGGGCAGTAAGAAGACAAACTTGGATTCGGCGAGATTCGACCAAAGTCGCTGTGACATCGTCGAAATCTGAATTGACACAGCGAAGGAAGTGGTCAGATGGATTTCGTCTGCTAGGACAAGGAAAACCCGCTTCACCAAAGAACTGCAAAAGTCAAAGCAGCAAGAACACAAATGAGCATTGATGGTTATACAGTTAATATATATATTATGTTGCCAATGATCTGTCTTATTACCTTTGTTGCAGATTCTGCCTCTCCAAAGTAAACGGTTTCTCCTCCAGACAGCAGTAGCAGGTCATCAAAGAGAGCGAAAACCTCACCGCTTGGCTGATGGATTGAAGAAATCACGGTTTTGCCGCTGCTTGCTATGTTTCTAAGAATCTGAACCACGAAGAAAGCTGAAGCACTGTCCAGTCCACTGGTGGGTTCGTCTAGAAAGAGGAGACTTGGTTTGGTTAAGACCTCGAGGGCAATACTGAGCCGTTTCTTCTCCCCTCCGCTGATTCCACGCAAATGCCAGTTTCCAATGGTCCTGTCTGAACATTCTTGCAGGCCCATGTCAGTGATTGTAGCTTCCACAATGTCACTGATCTCTCCTCTAGTAAGCTTTGATGGGAGTCTGAGATGAGCTGAGTAGGATATGGATTCTCTCACTGTCAAAGTTCCGAGCAACACATCTTCTTGTGTCACATAAGCCTGAGAATTTCTCGACAGTTTCAGGGTTTAGGACATTCATAAACAAGAGTTTTGTTGTCTGAAAAAGATGAAAGATAGATTTGCTTACGGCAGCACCAAAGTCAAGTCTTCTCTTCTTGCCATTGACTAGAACTTTCCCACTCATTACAACATTCCCTGCTAATCTTCCTGTAACCATTATTACCAACTTGGTTAATTTTGCAGTAACCAAACCGGGTTTAACTCCAAGTCGGTACGAAGATCCGATCGTGCGATTCTAAATTTAGGTGTCAGGATGTTTGGTGATTGGTAGTAGGTAAAAACATTTAAAATCGTAATTTAATTAGAAAAGTTACTGCGAAACTTCTGAAAATAGTATAGGTTAGAGAAATGTAGCTATCAATTTATTCAATACACTAGTCTAAATGTACGACGATTTAAATTTAATACGGAACATGAAAATTGCAACAATTTTTTCACATTTATTTAGGTACTTCGATGATAAACAGCTATATAATGAAAAAATAAAAATGGTAGCTAGAATCCATAATTATAAAGTTAGAAAATATCTATTTATGTATCTTAGTGTATATGGTTATTAGATATAAATATAGCATTGTTTTTCAACATATCTAATTTTATGTAATCTCTCATAATTAAACGGGTTTGGTGCAAAAGTTACAGAAGAGTTCATAAACTTCAATTAATGTTTTAATATTCACCAAAATGGGATATAATTTTGTTGCTTTCAAATCTAGAAGTTACATATTTTTATTTTCCTTCTGTTATTCGAAAAACAAAAGACTATTTTTTTTATAATCAAATATTTTAGGTCGACTAAGACACACACCCACCTCTATACAAATTAACACTCACTTATAGTATTTTCAAATTTAAATACCAAATGAAAGAAATCCTTATTATCGATCAAATACTTTTTGTAAGCAAACATCAATATATGCTTTACAAAAAATGAAACAATTTTCACATATACATGAGAAAATTAACTAAGACAAGTGGTCTATTATTTATTTATACATATAGAAGAGAAAAAAAAAAACATTACTTCATGTATAATTCATCAATATATTGTTATAGTAAGATGTAGAGTATAAAGAAAACTTCAATAATATGTTTATGTTGAATAGAGAATAGTAAAAGGCAAAAGGTTCAAGGTGAACAAGTCTCATCCTTGAATGTAAGCTAAATGTAGTTGGTTGGTAAACATTTTCCTCTCTAAATTATTACCTCATTCAATTGTGTCTTTATTCATTCATTGTTGGTTCGGCTCTCTTAACTCTTAAGGTTTAGTTTATGTTTTAAAGATAAACTAACGAGCTAATCTTCTCTCACGTGAGTGTGAGAGAGATAGAGATAGATAGAGAGAAAGAAGTGACCTGCTAAGGCATCAAGAAGCGTAGATTTGCCAGAACCAGAAGGACCCATAACAGCCAAGATCCTATTTGGCTCACCACAACCATTGACTCCATTCAGTAGTCTCTTCGTCGCTCCTTCACCAAAGTTAGGTATCACCACCGTAAGATCCTCCCACGCCACATACATGGCCTCCTCCGGCGTAGTCATGTATGTATATATAAGCTTTTTGTTAGATAGATCGAACTCAATATCTAAAACTTCTCGTAGCTTAGAGTTTTCTTTTCTAGCTTTGGTGGTGAGGTGAGAAGAGTGTAATGTGTGTAGGTGGTTCGTAGTCTTATTTATAGTTAAAGAAAACAATGTAGTGTGGTGAATGTTAGTGATTAGGGTGGTCCAATTGGTTTAAACCAAATTGAGTCAAACCGAAACTGTACCACTGAAAGTGATTTTAAAAAAGTAGATTGAATTGGCATTAATAAATCGATTCGATATATATATAAAGTATATCATAAGTGATAAAGAAATCAACCGTATAAATTGATTTTTAAAAAAATATTGTAAGAAAGATTAGGAAATTCATAAGCCCGTAAAATCAAAACCAAAATTCAAACCGAACTCAATGATGCTGAAATCTATTTATTTTATGAAAACTAATAATCCATGCAAAAGACAGTAAACTTGAAGAAATAAGCAAAATGTGAACACAAAAAAAAACAAAATATATATTATTAAGTCAATGTGTATGTACATTGGCATGCATGCATAAACTAAGGCATGTGACAGAATAATTGACGTTTGATGTCATATTCATTTACTAGTTTGGACCCATTAGGTACTATATATAAAGTCGATAGCTAAAGACATGCGAATGATATGAAACTTATGGTTTTCGTACACGGATTTAGGAACACATAACACTTTATATATATTAGTTTCATATCACGTAAATCGCAATACATTTCTTTTTTAGGAACTTACGTCCAAAATTGTTATAAGATTCCGATTGGGTCGATCAATCGAGTGTATATCACTCCAAAACATATATTATTATTCAAACGAAGCACACATGAAATGTTAAACCATAATTAGGAGAGTGAGTCTATACATATATATTCCACACTCAAGCTTTGTTTAGACGGACATTATTGCTTTTGGAAAGATTGAATTTCTTATTTTTAATCTGTATAGATCATAACCAACATCGACATATAAGACCGTATTTAAAGAACGTTTACATAGATATAAAGTAATATGGTTGTTGTAAATATAATGAATATATATAGATCATAAACCCTATATATGTGGTGTATATGATTGGATATTTTGCTTTAATTTACTATCTTTTCTCATAACTTATATATCTTCATTTCGTAGTATTAAAGAAATAAACAAAATTTAACGAGGAAAATAGTGTTATAAAAATTTGGAGTTTGTTTATTAGATTTTGAATTTTTTCTGTAAAATTAGATACTTTAAATATTTATTGATCAAGTGCTAATATTTCAATTGGTAAAGATCTCTCGCAAAAACTTCGAGGTCACCGGTTCGAATAACGCTTGGGACAAAACCATAGAACATGCTCTGGTTTCGGGTTTGAGATGATGTATGGGGTTCGGTTCATAACCACTTTGATTATTCAAAAAAAAAAAAATTTATTAAAAAAAAAATTTATCAAGAGTTTTTTTTTTAATCAACACAATATAATTGTTAATTTTATCCTCTTCACCAAGCAAGTATTTATTTCATATGCCTGATCCAAATGAGGTGTCATTTTAAAAGGTTATATATGGACAATGATCTTAAACGCATATGCACTGTTTCATCTTAAAAAGGTGTTTTTATTACACCGTACGTAAAAATTGATTATCAGCAAACATCAAATGTTTATCACAACCAAATTCTAACCTAATACTGATCCCTAGCTCCCCATCAAAATAACTGATGTTAGTAGCATTTAGTTACATATCTATATTCATTTTCTCATATAGACATGTATTTTCTAACAATACATTACTGTTTAAAGTATATTCTTCAACGATGAAAACATCGTTTAGTTTGATACAAACGGAGTTTTAATATTCACTCCAATTTTTTTTTTCTTTTTTGTCAAGTTCACTCCTATTTGGAAACCTGAACAAAAAGGCTACCAAATAATTAACAAACTGATAGTAATAACAAAATTTAAAACTGCAGTTATATAGTGTAGTGATAGCCTAATCATAGATTGTTAGATAAACCTTTATTAAATAACTTATCTCTTCTTCTTTTCCATATCATAAGTCATAACTAAACTCGATCACTTTTTATTTAACAAAAAAAAAAACAACTATACGATCACTACCTCTTTTTTTTGGGTCAATAAATGCTATGAATATCCTGATAAAAATCTGTTGGCAATTTTGTTTAACAAAAAGCTTATATTTTGGGTTTGAACATATATAGATTTTTGCAGTCCATAAAGAAATGTCAATTCTATCTCTCATCTTAGTAAATAAATAATTAATTAATCATTTTTTCCAAAAAAAGCTCTAGTTCTTAATCATGGGAAGCAATGTTTTTCTTTTTCTTTGCAAAGCAGTGTATTTTTATTTTATTTTTTAAAGTTTATTATATAAATAAAAACTATGAAAATTTTCAATAGTTAAGAGAGACTGTTTTGAGATTTATAATTAATAGTGTCAATAAATGAAGACCCGAGAGACAAAAGAATGCAAACAAACGTTTGGTTGGTTGTGTGAGATCTGAAATAAATTATAAGAGAGAAAACAACATTGTGTACGTTACTAGCTAGCTATATATATATATATATATATATATATATATATATGCATATAATACATTTGGTAAAAATTGAATTTAAACCTTTGCTATATTTACTACTATCTCAACTGTGAACTGCGTATCGCTGACACCTTCAATTTAATTCTACTTGTATAAGTCGTTGGCTTTTTATTACCACTCTACAATTTTCTCTCTTATTAGTCCACATTTTAGTAAAATTATATGGGCTTACTCATGTGATCATCATCATATACTACGGTCTAGTTATATAACTAAAGAAGAATATTGAAAGAACAACTTAGTAACAAAGGAGAGCTAGAAAAGTATAGAATGCCAAATCTCGAAGATGTATAGGAATGGTCCACTGGAGGAAAAGGTGATCCATCGACTCATGGCTACACAACATAGAAAGACATGAAGCCGATCCTAGGGAGAAAGATCGATCACAAGGAAGTACCACTGTACGAAACTATATGCTTAGGGATTGGACAGTGAATTGGAACATAACCAAGGGAGGATGGAGACGGCACCAAATGTGAGTGCAGGAGGAGACTTGAGCTAGCCATCGATGTGGTCAATTCTTTGGGATATATGATCATTCAATAGAACATGTAATGTGTGCATCCAAAATATATAAAAAATTATAGAGTTTACAATCAATGAAATTTTTTTGTTAAGTTTTTTTTGTCCAAAATATGTGGAAACTTACGATCTATCGTACCATTTCACAAAATTCCCTTCATTTTTTCTAACACTTTTACGTATATATGCTTCAAAATCAAATATCAAAATAATATAAATGGAACTATTTTTATTAAAAGAAAAATCTCCATGGCTCGTTAAATTTCATCTTAATATAGTAACAATACTACTTTCTCATACATTATTTACATAAAATCAAAGAATTCAACACCTTTAAGTCCTTTGTTATAATTTTTCTTTGCAAACAACGACTTATTATAAGGTTATAGATAAAGACAGATAAAAAGATTTGTTCCAGGACATTTCTTAAATTTCATTTATATTTTCTCCCTAATATTGATACCTGCGCAGGATTTATGTGCATATACTATTACTATATATCATTAGCAATAAAATTTGACTGCTATGATGATAGATTGGTACGTATTGTTCCTTAAAATAGGGTTTGAAATTTTGCAAGTTTAATATTTGACACCTGTCGTCATTTGTCAATGAGACAAGTCATGGTTTACTTATGGAACGACGGTTGCTGCGTTCACAAATACTAGCTTTGAGATTTTGTGATATATATGTATAAGCTACGTGATATTAGACACGGAAATAGATAGATAACATGTATTAAAATTTCCAACTAATATAAAAAAATGTAATTAGTACTTACTAAATGAATTGTTTGATTTAATAAATAAATTTGGATAAAATTATCGTGAAGGAACGAACATATATATTCTTGCGTAGATATGTACATAAATAGGTATATGTCGCGTGAAACATTATACATATTTTAAATGTATAATTAGAGGAATACGATGCCGTAAACCTGAAAATGCATAATCTTAGTAATGATCGCTGATCCCATGCACTCATTCAAAACCTTGTAAAACAAGACAGCTTAAGGTGGAGAACGTGGAGGATCGAATTAATTTCAATGCAAACATATACGTAAACGACTAGTGATGATCCTAATCTACCATACCTAATTAAGGTTCCAAAACCAGAGGACGTTTACTTACGTACCAACATATTTGGGGTAGAATCTTTCTTAGAAGGGTGGACTTGATGTAGATGAAATTAACATAATGTCTAGCTTCCGTAAGATTTATCTTTGACGTTGGTGTTTGAGTTACCCTAAAATTATAGATTAGATGTTTGTGTTGTTGTCCAATAAGTTTCTCTATAAATAGAGACTTTGCTTTGTTGTAATTTATCGTACGTATCTTCTTTCTGATAAATCGATAAACCCCAAAAAAAAAAAAAAAAGTGAATCTAAATGACCCATAAATCCGGTCATTCTTTAAGAATTCAATGGCTTGGTGAGAGTTTTAGTCAATAGGTATTCTTAGAATTCAAAGTTTTATGGATAATTTTGTTACGTCAAAATATAAACCCTTTCAAAGTTCATCATTTAATCATCAGCTAATTAACTCGAAAATGCCTACAAACAAACACACAGAAAGAAACTAGAAATCATTGAAGACACAATATACAAATCTCTCATACTTAAGAAAAAAAAAAGGTTACAAAATTCTCAAAACATGGCAATTCATAAAACTCATCAAACTATAGCCATCCTTGTCCTTCTCTTTGGCGTATCGAGCAGCCAAAAACTATGCCTTTCAGAATGCAAGGCCAAAGGACCCTTCCACTGCAACAATACTCTTACATTCAACAGAACAGGATTTCCCAAAAATTTCACTTTTGGTGCAGCTACTTCTGCTTATCAGGTTTACCGATAATTTTGGCTTTCGCGGATCGAAATTTTCAACTATAACATTTATCATATCCAACATGGTTTTAATTTGTCCTTCAAAACCAGATTGAAGGTGCTGCACATAGAGCAACTAATGGATGGGACTATTTCACTCATAGATATCCAGGTCTTTAACATAAACCTTGATGTCTATGAGAAAACGTTTAAATGTTATAAACAAAAGAAAAAAGAGCTATTTATGCTCATTTTTTTTGTTTTGTTTTTGGTTATCTATATATATATATATACAGAAAAAGTTCCAGATCGCAGTACAGGAGACGTTGCTTGTAATTCGTATGAACATTATAAGGTGAGAGAGAGAGAGGCTATGAAACAATGAATCTATATTTAATTTTGTTCATCATTTTTAGTTTTAGTTTAAGTATTTAGAAATTTTTTAAAACTTTGAACAGGATGATGTCAAACTACTAAAAAGAATGAATGCTCAAGCATACCGTTTCTCAATAGCATGGTCAAGGGTCTTACCAAGTAAACATAACACGCCTCTCCATGTTCTTCATATTTTCGTTTAAGTAACAAAACAAATGTAACTCATAAAATCCAATTGTGATTATATGTTAATCTTAGAGGGAAGACTTATTGGAGGAGTGGACGAGAATGGGATCACGTACTACAACAATCTCATCAACGAGTTGAAAGCAAATGGTATAAATTCTAAATAAAGTTACTTATCTAATATCAAACATTTTAAGACATTGTTACTTAATTAACGTTTAACTTCCGTGATTATATAACAGGGATAGAACCATTTGTGACTATATTTCATTGGGATACTCCCCAGGCTTTAGAAGACGAATACGGTGGCTTCTTAAGCCCACGTATTGTGTAAGTGCATTTATATTTTACGTACGTACACTTGTTTCATGTAATAATCACATCGATCGGATCTATTTATATCTAATATGTGACATGCGTGTATGTGATGCATGAATAGGGAGGACTATAAGAACTACGCTGAGCTTCTATTCCAAAGATTTGGAGACAGAGTCAAATTTTGGATAACTTTTAATAAACCCTACTCTTACGCTGTCAAAGGTTACGGGGATGGAACATACCCACCAGGACGGTGCACTGACTGTGAAGTTGGAGGGAACTCTGGAACCGAACCTTACATTGTTGCACATCACGAAATTCTAGCTCATGCTGAAACTGTCTCTTTATACCGCAAAAGATATCAGGTATACATATTACATACACGTCGTTTAATATTAATTTCATTTGGTATAGTATTGGTAGTTTGTTATGTAAAATAAAATATGCTATATGCAGAAGTTTCAAGCTGGTAAGATAGGAGCAACCTTGATCGGGAGATGGCACATTCCACTAAACGAAAGTAGCAATCTCGACAAGGCTGCTGCAAAACGAGCGTTTGATTTTTCAGTTGGATGGTATATATATAATATATGTTCAGTTTGATATGTTTTTTTATAACAAATTCACACGTTTGCAATACTAGTTTATGATTGTATATGAAGGTTCTTGGATCCAATGGTATACGGAGACTATCCAAAGACAATGAGAGAGTTTGCTGGAGATAGGTTGCCGAGATTCACAGCTCGGGAATCAGCTTTAGTTAAAGGATCACTTGATTTTCTAGGGTTGAACTATTACATTACACGATACACAACTGACGCACCTCCTATTACTGATCCTACTAAACTTAGTGTTCTTACGGATCCACAAGTTACTATGGGATGTATGTCACACTTTTGTGTATTAATTTGTGCTTATTCTTTATGTATTGTATATATCAATTATCAAACACTCATTTTTTTCCTATAATTGGTTTCAGTCCATCGCAATGGAGTTCCTATTGGTGTTGAGGTAAGTATTGATCGACGACTTCAATATAGAATATCACATTTGACAACATTGGTTTGATTGTTTTTGGTTTTTCTTCAATGTACAGGCTCCTAGTTTCATCTACTATCCTCCAGGATTCCGACAGATTCTAAACTACATCAGAGTTCATTACAAGAATCCACTTACTTACATCACCGAAAACGGTATGTACATATATATCATTTTATATTTCATTCAAATATATGTTTTACCAAAAAAAATTATGTGTATGAATATTTGAAATATTCAGGAGTTGCTGATCTTGATCTTGGAAACGTAACACATGCAAATGCTCTCTCCGATCATGGACGAATTCAGTTTCTTTGCAGCCATCTTTCTTGTCTTAAATGCGCCATTGCGTGAGTTACTTAATTGATCGGATAACTATATATAGAAATGCATGTTAATACGCTAAATTAAACATTGTGTTTTTGTATTATAGAGATGGAAGTAACGTAGCAGGATATTTTACATGGTCATTGATGGACAACTACGAATTTGGAAATGGTTACACTCTTCGGTTTGGTATGAATTGGGTCAACTTCACTAATCCTGCTGATCGACAAGAGAAAGCTTCTGGAAAATGGTTCTCTAGGTTTATCGCAAAGCGGAAACCATTGATGTAGATCAATTCCATGTATATATAGTAACCTTGAATTTAAGATTGTATAGTTCTCTCTAGACAAACTATGAGAAAACTGCCCATTGATTTGTTAATTCATTTTAGATGGAGAAACAAATTATTTAATTAACTTGTGTGTCAGTTTATCTTTCAGCTTTATGCAATAATTTGTTTGATTGACGTTTATAAAAAGACACAGAATTATAATGTATAATCTGATTCTCATACAGAATTTATGATTTAGGTAGTCGCAATTTTTGAATTAATAAGACAAGATATTTTAGTAGTTCTCATACAAACTATGTGTGCATATATACATAATAACGAGAGATTCAATTGCGTTTGTCGACATTATTTGTAATATACAACTCTAATATTATATAAAAAAAAAAGTATACCAGTATTTGATAGGGGGCCTAGTTTCTGGTAGCCCTGGGCACGAAGCGAATATTCGGAAAATTTGTGATATTTGTTATTTGCTTCGCTTCGATCGAATAGTTGATTTTGCTATTTGCTTCGATTCGTAAATTTTCGAGTATTTGGAACTTCGAATATTCGAATATTTTTCGTAATATTTGCGAATTACTTGCTTCGCTTCGCTTCGACCCATCTAATTTTTTTTGAAACAAAAAAACATATTAAACAGAAATATAAAGTGCAAAATATGAAATATTAGAGGTTTTTATTTGACATATTTTCAAAATAAGAAGGAAATGTAACCACCGTCCATAGAATTCTCACATTTTATTTTTAATAATGATTTTTCTTGTAAAGTTTTATTTGCTTAAAAACAACATTTAGCAACAACAAAAAACCCAACGAGCCAAAATATAATAATTTGAATAATAGGCCTATCAGATATATACCCAAATCTATAAATACACATATTATATATATTATATGTATTAGATAATAATTTATATTTATACATATATATAAATATACGAAGCGAAGCGGATATTCGACACTAAAAAAATCAATATTTGTTATTTGCTTCGGTTTTTACGAATACTAGATTTTCATATTTGCTTCGATTCAATATCTTATAGATATTTGAATTTTTCGAATCGAATCGAAACGAATATCGAAGCGAAGCGAATCTAACGAATATTTTGCCCAGGGCTAGTTTCTGGAACGATTAATCGGAAACTATAGTAAATTCTTTACTTGTTTTCAAAAAAATTATAAATAGATAACAAAACACATAAATAGATTATATATATATACGAAATATTCAGATTATCATGTTTATTATCCAAAAATAACAATGCTGAATCATAGAATCATTAGATACTGATACATATATTGATAAATGTTGAAACTATTGTATGTGCAAAACAAATTAAGAAACAAAGTGTATACACATATATATATATTGATATAGTCTTTTAATTAATTGGAGAGGTAAGACCTTCTTGAGAAGAAAGTGAGTGTAGAGGTTGGTGTCTCCTTGAAGATATTGAAGATAGTGATGGAACTTTCTTGAAAGAAGGTCTCTTTTTGAGAGTCTTCATCGTTCTCCTCGCTTGTATCGCCTTCAAAGCCGGCGCTGCTCTCTCCTTGAGCTTCAAGACTATGAAGAAGAGGATGCGGTAACACACAAGGATCAACACGATCGCTGATAAGTCCCACCACTTTGAATGTGTGACTTGTACTCCGAATATCTTGTTTATCACTTGCTCTCCTGTCATCTTTGGTTCCCCCGCAAACATTGGATCAAACTCTAGACCAAGAAAATCGTTCTTGTATGCTCCCTGCAGGTCAAAAGAAGATATATAAACATGTTAACTTTTATATTCTTCAAGTTAAACGCTTCAATAGGTGTATTGAATGGTTCTTGTGAATAAGGCAAAGAGAGTACCTGAATTGCCCAAGAACCATAGCTCATGAAGGAAATCGGGTAACGCCAGAAAACTTTAGGAAGATCGGGAAGTAGACGGAAGAATCCAGAAGTCATCATGATGATTCCCTGTAAGAAACCAAGAATCAAGAACACTGTTTAGGAGCAGGTGAAGAAGAAACTTAAAAAAAAAACAAAACAAAACAGAGGATCTTGAAACAGAGGATCTTGAAACAGAGAGAGAGGGTTTCTTACAATGATGCCAGCTCCAGTGATTAGACCCATCAAGAAATTTGGAACAAGAGAAGCTACAACCATCATGAGACTCTCAATGACTGAGACAGAGAAGAATATGTTGAGACAGAAGAAAGCCCAATGCGAGACTCCAGGACGGAACTTGACCATGTTGTAAGTAATACTCCCTGTGATGAGCGCAATCGCCACCAAGAACGGGAAAGAAGAGACGTAATTCGATATTATATAAACCGAAACGCCGTAGTAACCACTCAATCTTTCTTTATAGAACACTTTCATTTCTTCGATGAAAGAAGGAAACCCTCCAATGGACATGAAAGTCATGAAACCGGTAATGAATCCACCGCAAGAAACCCGAGCCAAGATCGATGTGTAGCTGTGTCCCACATCGTAAAAGATCGTCCCGACACAGAACGATACCACAATGTAGATCACAATTCTTGACCAGTAGTATCCAATATCGCGGCACATGTTCACAAATGATCTCTTAGTTAAAGTTCGTAGCTGTTTAAACCATGTCGCTTCGCTTCCCTTTCTCACTTCCATCGCATTATGTCCTTCCTGTAAAACCAACAACACAGAAGTTTTCAGTAACCACTTGTCTGGATTCTTGAATGAACGGGATAGGGGAAGAGTTTGCTTACCATGCTAGCTAACTCACGGATCCGAGATTTCGCGGATTTCGCATAGATTGAACGACGGTAATTCTCAACAAGCCTAGCTTTGATCTCAGATGTTGCTAGATTCATCAAAGGATCTGATGTAGCTGGTGTCTCCTGCAATAAAAGATTAAGTCTCTCAACTCGAAAGAATCTACAATTTTACAGTGTTCTTCAGAGAGTTTAAAAGATCTTTTAGATATCTCACCCGAATCCTCTGAGATCCTTTGAGTGTAGCTGTAACAGTATCAAAATCTGAGTTAATACATCTTAGGAAATGGTCAGAAGGATTCCGTTTCTTCGGGCAAGGGAACCCCGCTTCAGCAAAGAACTGCAGACAAAATAAGTTAGTGTTTAGCGATCAGACAACAATTCTTGAAAACCAAGAAAGATCTCAGTACTGTTTTTACCTCAACAGCAAACTTGGATTCACCAAAATAAACAGTCTCGCCACTAGAGAGCAAGAAGAGATCATCAAAGAGAGCGAAAACTTCGCTACTAGGCTGATGAATGGAGGAAACAATGGTTCTACCGCCATCCCGAGCAATGTTCCTTAGCGTTTGAATCACAAAGAAAGCAGAAGCACTGTCCAAACCGCTAGTGGGTTCATCAAGAAACAAAATCTGCGGCCGCGTTAAGATCTCCAACGCGACGCTGACACGTTTCCTCTCGCCACCACTGACTCCTCTGGAGTGCCAGTTACCTATGACTCTGTCTGCACAATCTTGAAGACCAAGCTCAATTATAGTTCCTTCAACAATGTCATTGACTTCTTCTTTGGTCAAATCACTTGAAAGCCTTAGATGAGCTGAGTATGTAATTGTCTCCCTCACCGTTAGTGTTCCCATCAAAATATCCTCTTGTGTTACATAAGCCTATCCATACACATATAATCTCAATAACAAAATCCTAAAACACCAAAACTAAATAAAATTGGATATAAGATTAATACTTACGACGAGGCCGTAGTCTAGTCTTGCCTTCTTCCCATTCAATAGAAGATTACCAGTCATAATCACGTTTCTTGCGAGTCTACCTAATATACATAAGATGATCATTCGGATACAATTATACTAAAATTAGATTTAAGATCTCATCATAACCAAACTTTAAGAGAATTCATAAATAGATATTGGTAATAAGATTGACTATATGTTATGATATCTATTAAAATATATATGTGTATCACTCCAAAACGTACCTGCGAGAGAATCAAGAAGAGTGGACTTGCCGGATCCGGAAGGACCCATAATGGCCATGATCCGACCAGGTTCAGCATGACCGTTAAGTCCATCAAGCAACCTTCGAGTCGGACCACCACTAAAGTTTGGTATAACAACCGTCAAGTCTTCCCAGGCCAAGTAGGCACCACGAGCAATCTCTGCCGGAGGAGGTGGACGCCGGCCATTGCTCGTACTCTCTACTTCCATTTGATCTCGTGAAAAGATCAAAACTTACTTAGAGAGAGGAAGAGAGAGAGAGAGAGTTCTTTTTGTATCTTGTTCGTCTATAAATGTATATTGGTTGGAAGAGTGAATGAATTATAAAGATAAGTGATTAAATCTTTGTAGGCCGAAAGAGATTTGTGTGTTTCTTAGGTGAGAGAGAGCATAGCAACAATCAACAAACAACTAATTACATTTAATGGGTGGCTTTAATATGATAACCAAATATATGGATATACGTCTATAAGATATAGTTCTTAAGCACATTAAATGTGAGATGTGAAGGAGGAGGAGGAGGTGTTGTTAATAAGATTTATATACAATCGTCGTCGTCCATGTGTAGTAAAGTAAACCACCCACCACTTATTTATAGACGTATGAATCGTATATATGTATGTATGAAATATTTTACATAACTTTATACATATGTCGGTTATTGCCGATTAATTAATTGGTCCCTCACAAGAAATTTCGCCACGGATAGCAAATGATATTTTTTTAGTAAAAATAATTGATGCTATGCTACTAATTCAAGGGAATGATAACGATAGTTTTGATAAAATTTTATCGTTTGTTCACAACTGAAGATTGTATAAACTACTCTTTCGTGTTTTTTTCTGTACCTAGAGCTATCTAGGAAAGTAATATTATGGTGATTAATTACTGAAGAATTGTTATAGATAAAAGTATGAAACTAAGTGTTATTTGGTTGAAAATGTTAAAATCAAAGAGGAACTGATAAATGTTGATGATATGAATGAGGTAGAGAGAAGAAGAAGCTCACAAGGAGTCTTTGTTTACAGGTGTTTAAATGAAAAGGGGAAAGGAATTGAATGCGTGGTAGTTGCCGATTTATATAAGTTATTTTTTGTATTATGCTTCATTATTATTTTCTTTTTCGGTTTTTGTCGTTCATATTTATTATCTTCATGATTTTATTTCTCTGTGTTTTATCTCTTTAGCTTTTAGGTGTGGCTTTGTCTAACACTATATTTCTAACCAAGATCTATTACTTACTTGCTAATTATGTCTGATACTAGTTTTACTAATTTCCTTGGTTTTTATACTAAACTAAGTAGCAGCTACGTTTAACAAAGTTTTGGGTACAGCTTAAGAAAAGAAGATTTCCGGAAATGAGATAGAAACCCAGATTCTAAAAATCAAACAGAAACTATTAAGGTACGATCTTATCAAAGAAGTTTACTCTTGTTGGAATAATGTAAAAAGAAAGAAGCCTTTTTTTGTTTTTTTTTATTACATCAAAAGCAGAAAGTGAAGTACATATAAGAAAAAAAAACATAACTGTTCCAACGGTTTCACATATACTTTAGATTTTTCTTTTCTTTTAGTAAATGCAGCAGTAGTTTTCAGTGTATACGGTTTTTAGCCATTATACATAAAAAATTAATGCACAACAAAGGCTTTTACTGGTAACCATTAGAGGAACAAAAGGAAAAAAAACAAAAAGAACAACGGAATAAACAATTTTTGAGGAATGAAAGGAAAACATGCAGAGAATAACAAAATAATAAATGGTAACCAAACAATAACACTATCTTTTATAATATATTTGATTAAATAAATCAACTTTTAATAATAATACTAGATATAATTTATATATAATGAATTTGACACTAATTTTAAAATATATTTTTGAATGAATTTAAATATTTAATGTTAAAAATTAATAATTTATATTAACCTATTATAGATTATAGTAATTTTTATTTGTTATTTATGATATAAACATCTCTTAAATATGTTTTACTATCCATACAAATTTTAAATAATGTATAGTAAGATTTTTTAACATGAAATTCATATTATAAATATTTTTTAATGTCAATACATGATAAAAATATGAAAAATATTATATTATGAGATAAAAATATTATTAATAAATATTTTTTTATTTATTTTAAAATAAAAAACGAATTTTAATATTTGTTCTTTTTTTTGTTTCATTTGTTCCTCGTCAATTTTGGAGAGGAACATTTTTGTTCTATTGTTCCTCATTTTGTGAGGAATGTAGAGGAATAATGTGGAAAAATGATTCCTTGTAAATGGTAAAAAAAATTGAGGAATGAAGAGGAATGTCACATTCCTTATCATTTTTTTCCTAAATCATGGTTACCGATCGAAGCCAAAGTGTATATTAGAGGATTGATTCGTACAAACGAAATCATGCATCCTGTGAGTATCAACTAGCAAGCAAAGTACGACCCGCTCTCTTTTTCCTCCCAATCATCAACCTTTCATGACTTCTGTTTTCATATATATATATATATCGCAATTTACCAAAGTTCAACTAATTCACATGTTACATGTACAAGTTTGTTTTTTTAGTTGAGGTTGGTTTTTCATTTTCAAGTTCTTCCACGAATCAATAGAGAATGAAAATTAAAACATCTTCCTCATCCAATGTTTGTCCTTTTTTACCAACACAAAGCATTTAAACAGATCTCATCATGGTATTTAAACGCAAACAATCCCCTCCCATACAAAGGCATACGATTAAACAACGATAAAGCAACCAAACCCTAATTAACCGCAAAAAAAATAATATTGTCCAACACTCAGCGCCTTGTTTCCATACCTTACAGATAAGAGTGAGAATCCCCGATACTGAGAGCTGTGGAAACAACTCTCCACATCAAATCATACAATCAGTAACGTCTTCTCGGGCTTCGTGAACGCCTTCCAGACCTGCAAAAGACCCAGAGAGAATCCAGTGATCAATGGGTGATGAATAAAAAGAGAGGTGCACCTACTTGAGTAGTCACATTGTGATTGATTCATTAGTATAAGGACAGAATAGCTTGTAAGTGGTTAGGAAAATAAAGTACTCTGTTAATGGTTAAAAGGTTTGGCATACATAATCTTTTCAGTCTAAATATTCAAGACTACACTTCATCTAACCATAGATTTCAGGCAACTCGTGGTACTGAGTTAATGAGAGGCAAAACAGAAGAGAAATTAGGTTACCAACCTCTGGTTCTTTCTCCACTGAGATCCACCAGCAATGGGACCATTGCTGAATGCCCAGTCAACACTGACATTCTGCGTTAGAAGCTCCGCCCCATTCATTGCTGAAATAGCCTTCTGTGCTTCTTCTTTCTTCTCATATTCTATCAAAGCATAGCCCTGATCACGACAAGGCAAACATGATTATCATACTCAGGCAAACTGATCATATACTCCCATTCTAGAACACAGCTTATCATCATACTGGGGATTTCATTCTGATACATAGTATATGGATTAACACATAAAGTATGTCTAAGAGGAGTGTCATATAGGATAAAACAGCATTGCAACTTACAGAAAACATCTGTTGTATAACAGAGCAAAGTTTTACATATCATTTATGCCTCTCCATTTCTAATACTTAAGCATTAATGCATTATATTTGATTTAACACATAAACATATGTTAGATAGTAGAGTCATCTTGGACAAAATAGTATTGCACTCTACAGAATATCACATCTCTAACCTCCATCATGAATAAATCTAACATACCAAAAACTTAACTTCACTATAGCAAACCAAACGGCTGTTAAACCCATCAAGACCCACTAAGAACAAATGAAAAACTCCATACCTTGACAAAACCAGTACGACGATCGAGATTGAGATGTAGATTCTTTATCTCCCCAAAATCACCAAAAGCATTGAATAAATCATCATCCTGTGCCTCCTCATGAACTCCAGAGACCAAAATAATCCATCCTTCAATGGCTACACATAAACACGAAGAACAGGTCATCCAAAACAGTTCCAAACCTTTATTTCCCATCAAAGAAACTATATTCAGCTCTCACAGACTACAGTTCAGTTTAACTAAAATCTCTAAAGTAGAAGTCTTTAGTCAGTAGATAAAAAGGTTACAAACTAATTCAAGAGTAATCTCATAAAAAAACACTTCTAGGTCAAACTGAATCCAAGCTACAAGGGTATTTGATAAACCCTAGAACCAAATTACTCACACAAATCAATCAGCGACGCAAGGAATCAGTAATCTCACACTACAAACACCTAATTAGAAGCAGCGAACGAAGAAGGGACTGAGAGAAATTACATCTCTGTGGACCAGAACCGCCGTCAGAACCGAGTGATTCGAAATCGCGCGATGAAAGATGGCGCTGACGATCGGAATCTCTCTCCTCGCGAAACCCACGGCCTTTGGTCTTCCTCTGCGGAGCTGATTCGCCATTTGCTCCGGCAATAGCCGACTTAAGCCTAGGTTGTCCGGCGCGTGGAGAAACATCGGCGGGGTCAACTGCTGTACCTTCTTCATCCATAAGGTCATCCTCCTCTGGCTCGAAATCGACTGCTTCTGACTCTATGTTCGCCATAACTTCCGCCTCCGGTAGCTTCCCGATCGATCTCTTCCCGTTCCGCCGACTTGATTTTGTTTCCTTTGTTTTTGGGGACGGAGCTTTCTTCTATCTTCGATATTTCTCTGCCTGTGGTTTATAGGAAGTTAGATTGGGCCTTTTATGGGCTTTCGACTTTCAATATTTAATTGGCTTTTTCTCACGCTTGCGTATTTGATTTCTAATTTTGTAAACCGGCCTTAATTTAGATTAAACTATAAAAAAATTGGTCAGCAATGTTCTTGATGTAGATCCTAGTTCTTATATGTAAAATGAAAATTTGATGGCTACAAAACCTTTTTAGGTTAATAGAGGTAGATTTAAAATTAGAAATTCTAACTATCACAAAATAAAATAAAAACCAAGTTAAAAAGATACATCTTATTATCTATTTTAGTTTATCATCGTATAACGGTATAACCGTATAAGTATACATCTATATATATAAAGTTAACTTTTTCTCTCTTCTCCTTAAGCCACATTATCATCCACCTCATTTTATTATTTAATTTTTAAAATTAATTATACAATTTTATCATTTAATTTTAATATTTAAACCTATGTAAATAAGTTTTTCAAAAAAGAATATGAAAGGTCTTTTTTAAATTATATATTATAAGACTAAAAAGATAATTGATTAAAAGTTAAAAAAACTTACTAATTATCGATTATCTTAACAAATATATAAATAATAGATTATAGTTTTTAGTGAATGTTTAAAATACAAATATATAAATAATAGATTATAGTTTTTAGTGAATGTTTAAAATATATATATGATTATATTTACACAATATAAAGCTAAATATAATGAGATTTAACGGGAATAGAACAAAAAGTAAGAAATTTTGAGAATATAAATCTATCTAATTTATGTCTCAAAAAAGTTTCTAACATAAATGAGATAGGTCGGACCGAAACATGAATTATCATTTTTTATAAACATATAAAAAGGTAAAAATAAAAATAATATTTTTTAAAAAGTTTTCAATATGAATTTAACTATTTTTTCCAATACAACACATATGTTAAACTAATAAACAAAATAAAAAATTAACTATATTTCATAAAATTGAAAATTAAAATAAAAAACATTATTAAATGAAATAAACTAAATATAAAGTAAATTATACAATATGTTAAATTTAAAAATGGTTCCATATGAAAAACAAAAAAATATATATAAAACATAAAATCAGAAGAAAAAAAAATATATATAATAGTATATAAATGAATCATTAGGAGATATAAGGTACGACAAATCCAAAAAAGGAAAACGTAAAACAATATATAAAAAAATAATGTAAACAATTAAAAATACAACAATCCGCCCAAAACCCACAAATCGTGTTCAAATTTCATGCCAACATATAAAAGGGCCCAAAATATTAACATCTAGATCTATATTTGGTAAAAACCCTAATAGCACACGTTTCTCAATGATTCTCAACCGCACTTCCACTTTATGCTCACACTTTGACTTATACTATACACACTTAATTTCTCAACAACTAATGAAGCTAAAACACAATAGTTTTTCTATACAAACACAATGTAAGTTTTAAGAAAGTAAAATATGATATAGTGAAAAAAATAAGTAGCAAATAAAATACGAACCAATTACTCATAAACAACATAATAAACGCCCGCGCGTAACCGACTAGTAATATATAAAGTAAAATTCTCAATCTTCCTTTCATTAGACTACTTAACAATACATATTTAAAATTTAACCAAATAGTTATATCCAATTAAAAAAAATAAAACTGAAAAGTGAATAATTTTGTATCTCTTTTGATAGAGCTTTTGTGAGCAGTTATAATAATAGAAATTTCAGAAGCCCCTCTCGTGTTTACTTAACCGCTATGACAAGCACAGCGGCCACCGCCACCGGAGCTTTTCCTCCGGACGAACCGGAGCCGCCAGATCGTCTTCGCTCCGGTGTCTCTCGGCTATTCAGAGCTACTGAATCTGTACTTCTGCCGCCTCAGTCACCATCTCCAACCCTCATCGATCCGGTCACCGAGATTCTCTCCTCCGCCTGTTTTGTCCACAACAACGTCTCAGTTCTAACTGTTGTTGCGGCAAAGGGCTTAGTCCCTAGTATTAGCCTGGATGTTTTTTGTGTTGTTGACAGGTTATGTGATGGTCTATGCTTCACGAAACCGGACATCTATGTTAAGCTGTCCCTTCTCGTCTTTCTACCATCTCCGAAGATTGAAGCTTATCCAATATACATGGCTAGTTTCTTCCCTGCATCAAGGATGGCTAAACGTATTGGTTGCTTTCTAGGATGGTTCATAAAGGATCCTCTTAAAGCAACTATCCAACAAGAATTATTTTCAAGACCCTTTGTTTCCTCTACTCTAGTAGTAGAGGCGCTTGCTTTGAAGTCGGCGATCGGCGTGGCTTTAGCATCGGGTGTTTCAAGGCTGGCCTGTTATTCGGATTGCAAAGAAGTCATCCTTCTTCTCAATGTCGATGGTCAAGCAAATGAAGTTGATGGTGTTTTTGCAGATATCAAACTTCAAGGGACCAAGTTTCCCACCTTTTCCTTTCTACTTGTTTTGCCTACGTCTGTTGGTTCTTGTAACATCTCCTCATTCAATGGAGTTTGAGTTTTCTTAAGTTAATTAAAAAAAAAAAAAAAGAAAAAACACAAAAAAAAAAAAAAAAAATGATACCATACCACTGCAGTACGAATTACTAATCATTCGAAATTAAATCATTGCAATACCTTTTAAAGCATTCATGCATGATGTCAAATTATTATTTTTTTCTTGTGTCGATGATGTCAAATTATCGTATCACATAATAATTAAGATACTACAAATCATCTTGTGGTGGTATTGAACACTTTACAGAAGATACTGGTCCATGTCTTTTGATGGTGATCATCATTCTTTTATCCGTTTACATATAATCATTTTAGTCGAACATTACTTTCTAATTCATTTCCTCGCCCAAAAAAAAAAAAGAATCACATTAAAAATTTTGAAATTTGTTGTTTTGTTTTCTCCCAACATTTAAAAAATACATTTAGCTGCAATGCATTGTAACAAAAATAAAATAAAATCCTTATAGTTCGTCGTTAAGCTATTAAACACTTTGGTCATTAATATGCGAAAACATTACTTTCGAGTATTGGATTTGTCTGGTTCTGTTGACTAAAAAATTCAAAACTCTGGTCAAATTCACGACCATTAGTTAACAACACACGTGTCCTAATAAAGCAATCTCAGCCGTTACACATGATATCTAAAGACAGGTTTGACGGCTAAGATATCAAAACGAGTAAACAGAAGGCCCGTACGTACGCTCTCAATTTTAATTGTCACGCACGAGTTTTGGTGTGACGTGGGCAAAAGAACAGCTGGCTGACAAAAAAAATGGTTTATGGATAGGTATTGTTGTTTTGTTGTTGATGAGCTCCAACAAAAATGAGGTCAAGTTTATCAACATCTTGTTGGCTATATTTTTGATATAGAGAAGAACGAAAGAAAAATATGGTCTTTGACGAAAGATTTAATTTTTTAGTTTGTTAGAAGTTATGCATAATTTAACGCACGCATAAAAAAATTCACAATCGAAAATCTAATATGAGTAGTGAGTTGTTTTACCGTGCCATATTTTATAGTTTGATTTTCTTTTTTAAAATCGGATATAAGTTTAATTCAACCAAAAATGTTTTTAAACAAAGTTAACATAATATAAGATTGATGGTTTAAAATTAGCATTATAACTTAATATTTAAAATCTAACCTATGTCACTATTAAACAAGTCATTGCTCAGTTACTCACATTAGTTTTGGATTTGCTTACTGTGTTTGAAATTAAATGTAGAGAATTTCTCGATTGTTCTTCATATATTTTTTAGCTTCTTTCTCTCCTAAATTGTATGAAAGGCGATTTGAAATACATATGTTAGAAGCTATATAACTGATTTTATATTGTAATGAGTCAATTAGAAGTTCTATGATTGGTACCCAATAATGTGTACCTTTGTGCTGGGAGAATTTTAGTTAAATGGGTCAAATTTGCTTACATATATGACCTAAGAGACTGCCTATAACTTTGGTTTCAGTCATAATGAAGTGACTGAACTATCTTATGTGATCTCTATTTTTCGAAGTAGTGTCGTCGTTTGGTCAGAAGAGCATGGTTTGTTCCAACATATTATTGACTAAACTCAGTTCATAATCATATATGGGTGGTTGTTAGTCTGCCATCAACAAAAATCATCCCAACATTTTTTATATTTGATGGAATTAAGATTTTCAAACCAATCAATCTAATAAACAAAAACACAAAATGAGAAAAGCTACTTTATCCAAGAAAAGGAGAATATAGTGTTGATACCTACTAAACTAGTAGGCTTACCCGTGAATGTGAGATCACATCTTCTTAAGAAATCTGTTAATTTATTTACTACAAAGTAAATCAGGTTGTTTACACTCTAATCCCGCTCTTTACGAACTTCCAAAACCCTAAACTTATCAAAAACATTCGAAATGAAAGAAGAACAATAAAACTAAAAAGGTTAGGTTCTTTTATTTCCTCGTTTAATTATATTTATATACTACAAAAATAAAGGTTCGGTTCCCTTATATTTCTTCGTTTAAATATTTGCTAAATCACTTTTTACAAAGACAAAATCATAACAAATTTCTAAAAGAAACATACATTTATGATTTAACGCTAACCCAAATATTAAAAATCAATTACACAACACACACACACACACCCCATTCTCAGAGAGAAAAAGCTTTTGCCTTTTGTTTTCTCTCTTCGTCTTCTTCCTCTTCTTCTTCTCCTTCACCATCTTCTGGGGAAACACAAAAACAAAAACTTTAAACGGCCATGGATCCCAGCGACCCAACTTCGATAATCTTTACAAAGATTAGAACTTTAGAACCAGATAACGCTTCCAAACTCATTGGCTATTTTCTAATGCAAGACATGGAACAGAGTGATTTGATTCGTATTGCTTTTGGTCCTGACACTCTCATTCAAACCTTCTGTCGAAAAGCTAAATCCGATTTGGGTCTTTCCTCCAACGGTTTCTCGTT